GGTGTTGCATAGACCGAGCATCACCATGGGTAGGGCATCGGTCCAGGGCTGTGTAGAGCACTTGAGAACGGCTTTTAGCGTGCTATGAAAGCGCTCGACCATCCCGTTGCTGATTGGATGGTACGAGGTGGTCTTGATGTGCTGGATGCTGAATAGTTTCGCAAGCTCTTGGAATAATTCCGATTCGAATTGGGCTCCGCGATCGGAAGTTATGAAGTCCGGAGCTCCGTAGGCGCTGATCCATTGGAACAAGGCTTGAGCAACTGTGTTTGCTACCATGTTTGGTAATGGGATTACCATTGGCCAGCGTGAAAAGCGATCTACTATCGTGAGGCAATAGTGTTTGTTGTCGACAGACGGTAATTTAATGAGATCGATGTGTATGCGCGAATCGACAATCCGGCTCGGTGAAAAGACCAAATTTTGATTTTTTGTGTCGACTAACTTTCAACGTTTGGCATGCTGTACGGCCCAGGCAGAGACTTGTTTTCGCATGCCTGGCCAGACGTACTTCTCAGCTACAGCGCGTGCGGTCGTCCTTATGTCTGGGTGGGAGAGATTATGCAGCACCTCGATAAGCTTGGCGACGAAGTCGTTCTGGTAAATATGGGTCACACCAAACGTCGAAATCGTTCAAGACGATGCTTTGAAGATCCAAGCTGCTGTTCTGGAGATTGCGTAGCTCATCATCGTTGGCTTGTGCTTCTGCGATGGAGCTCGGCGTAAGCACGTTGGGCATCGAAATCGTTAAGACTTCAACGTTCAAGATCTGAGCGTCTTGGTGTCTCAGAAAGGTCTCGTTGGTGTTGCAGACCTCGTTGTCCTGTTCTGTGTCTTCCGAGGGCTCGGTTCGCGATAGTGTATCAGCGACGACGTTGTCTTCTCCTCGGGTATGTTTCAGAGTAGTGTTGAATCTGCTAATGAATTCAAGGCTTCGTACCTCATGGCGTGGCGAGGCTTTGTCCGAGCGTTGCTGTGCTGCGTACACGAGTGGTCGGTGATCGGTCCACGTGGTGAAAGTCCTGCCTTCGAGAATGCGTTCGAAATGCTTGATCGACGCGCTGACGGCGAGAAGCTCGCGGTCGTACGTGCTGTACTTGCGTTGAGTGGAATCAAGCTTCCGAGAGAAAAATCCAAGAGGACGCCACGAGCCGTTAGGCTCCTTCTGCTTCAGGGCAGCGCCGATTGCGATGTTCACAACTGGATTTTTCAGTAGAGCGCACTGTACGATTTAGTAATACGTTACCGCCACCTGACTATAGAGCGTATTACTAAATCGTTCAGTGCGCTCTACTGAAAAATCCAGTAGTGGCTACTGAGTCGGTGCGTCGCCCAGATGGCAAAGAGAATTCATAAAGAAATCTTTAAGAATTCGCAGGTATTCTTAAGAATTCGAAAAGTGATCATATTATGTTCAAAAGTATTCTTTAAGAATTCTTTAAGGGTTCTAGTTATGACCGCCAATAGAATTCTATTTGAATTCTTATAGTATTCTAAGGTATTCATAAAGTATTCTTAAAGTATTCACGATGAATTCCCAAGTATTCAGAAAATTTCACTCGTGTTTTTATTTATTTCTTAGGTAAAGTCGGTTAGACGTCAGATTGGAAACACAGTAGTGCAGGTATGACGTACCGTGAAATCAGTGTGCAAGCTGCAACAGTTAATCCCCAAAATGTGATAGCACGCAATGTTGTGAAAATGTCACCTTTTTGTCATCTTTCATAGTGTTGTCATCCCGGTTGAAAGTAACCCGTAAACTATCATAGAAAACGACATAATTTCTCGACACTCTATCAGGGAAAAAATATTTCTGTCAGAACTCTCATGCGATTTTATAGTATTTATCCAATGATCATTGTTATTCAAGCTCTTATCATACCCATACTACAAAAATCGTATCAGATTTTATCAAATTTCAGGAGTATTCGATTTTATTGGTATAGACAGACACATTATTATATGGATTATATACATTCACACATATCGATTCATTAAATCGTAAGGAATATGGTATTTCTGAAAGAAATTTAATTGAACTTTATGATAATTCTATGATGTTATTTTGTACAGTAACCTCAATGGTTAAACTGGTAAATATTCTATTATAAATTATATGATTTCACCATTATCATATTGTTTTCAGTGTAATTTGCATGTTTAGGATCTTATAAGTAATCGGAGGTGCAAATACACATATCGAAGACTATTAATAAACCGACCTACAGGTTTTTATGTGGTTAATGCCGAACTCTTTGACAGGAAATAACATTAAATAACCATTTAATAAATACTTAGTCTGAATGATATTCCAACTGTTATCTATATCAGTATTTATAAGGAAACTCAGTTTAGCTGATGGACGTGCATATTTGTAGTGAATAGTAAATATCTATTTCAGACAATTACATCCAAAATGGAGTAAATATTTCATTAACTCCAAAATGCACTACATTTAAGTATATAGTCTCTATGAAAAGTATAAGTTTCTATGAAAATATCGTAGAATAATCTATATTGGAATCAATGGGTTTCGTCTATATAAAAGACAATGCAGTTATCACTTTTTTTCTGAATTTTACGATCGAATTGAAAGAGATTTTATGCGAAGTATACAAACTAAATAAATAGGGGAAATAAATAATTGATTTATGGTTTAATTTTATTATAACCATGCATTGGTTTATATTATTATAATGATGCATCAGGTGTGAATATCAACTCGGTGACGACTTTCACCGAAGATGAAAAAAGTATTAACACAATTTTGAATTACTGTATGGTAGACTTTTTAATTCGATATAGCACTTGGAAATATTTGAATACAAACATTTTGTCTTATACTATTAAGAGCGATTGATTCTTGTTTTTGTTCGGGGTTTCCTGTTGAGGTAGGCTAGTAAGTCAACTATAATAACAGGAACCCAACGTGATTTCTCTTTCGCCCTTTCATTATCATATTGAAGAGTTTGAACCAGGTAATTGGTGAGTTGGTCTGCAAAAAAAATAGAAATAATGAATCATTAAAAATATGTTCCAGGGTAGATATTCTGAAGGTTTATTATTCTCTAAAATATAAGTTTTCTTACCGTTCACTGCTTGCACTCTTTGAAAATCAATCGGATTTTGGCATCTTCTGCCAAAAATGCGTCGCTCCCAATAATTTGTACCGCCGTTAATTTAAGTGTATTATTGTTATTTAAATTTTCTTCCGGTAATGTCAGGTACTCGGTTGAAACTGGTTTTTCTTCTTCGTTCTTCAGCGACAACCCAATTTGGTTGGCATCGGCTCCATATTGTAACAGAAGAATCAACATTTCTTCATTGACGTTATCGCTGGCGAATAAAAAGCGAAGGAATTGAAAACTTTTTAAGTTGGGACGCCCTGTATAAAAAAAATCAAAAACATTATCAAAAATTTATAGATATAGTCATACCAGTTAAAAAATAAATTAAAGGTGCAACCTAATTTTAATAGTTGTTTGATTTCTTATTTGTAATTTTTCAGTTGGCCAAACTACATTGTATTGTATTACAATTGCAATAGTCCAATCATCATCAATTGCAACTGTTGCAATAGTCCAATACCAGCTTCGTAATGTTCGAAAAAATTTCTTTGTTTATTTCTTTATAAATATCTACTTAAAAGCTACCTCTGAATCCGAATTCGCATTTCTTATGAAGAAATCTATCAAGTCCGCAATGTAGATTTCTAAAAATCATTAGACACGTATTTTTTTGTTTTTCAATTAATCAATTATTAACGGAGGTATGATCAGTTAAAAATGAGCGTGACGTCACAATCATAATACTCCTCCTGTTATATTTACTATGATTGTGACGTCATGCTTGTTGTTTTAAATGTTATATCTCTGTTAATAAGTAATTAATTGAAAAACGAAAAAATACGTATCCAATGATTTTCAGAAATCTACATTGCAGACCTAATAGATTTTTTCATAAGAAATGCGAATTGCATGTGGCCGAGACAAAAATTTGTAAAAAAGCAATGTTATTACGATAGCCGCTCTGATAAATTTTTCCTAATATTTCCAACAGCTTTGAAAAGTGTTAATAAATTTTAAATTATAAATACCCAAAAGTAGCGGTGCATTCTTTGTAGTTATTCACGATGAAATATGATATGACAACACTTGTATACTTGAATTTTGGTAGCATTGAGTTGGATTGAATATTTGTTTAAGCTCATGATAATATTACGTGACAGGTTTTGATACAAACTGTTATACGAACTTGCTTGTATAGTTTTTATCTAATTTTACATAAATTCAGTTTCAAGGTGCTTTGATAAAGTGATGATTCATAAAACTAATTTTTCATGTGTAAATTTCATGAAATCACCATGCAAGAAGTTTTTGTCAAATTACTTCAATGTATATGCTAGAAAGTTCATGTAATATAACTTGAAAAGATAAAAATTTCAAAGTCATAAAATTTTTTCAAGTATTGTACAATTATACTTTCTCAATACTTTGTTATACTCACGAAAGATTTTATATGACATTTTTATTCAATTATGACATCATAAAAATTGCAAAAAACTGAATGCGGAACCCATATTATTTTCATTGCAAAGATTATTAAATTCTTATGCAAGATAATTGGCGTTTAAATATTCAGCAGAAATTGCATTGTCTGCTGAAATTAACAGTGGCTCTTCTGCTGCAATTTTTCTTACATACTGCAACTTTACATCAGATTTGCATATAATTGTAAAAGATTTTGCTACCAGGGTAGTGCGAGCTGTATTTTAACAAAAAAATCAATTTTTTTGTCAGTCCAACAGATATAAAAATAAGCTTTTTTCGTGCTCTCTCACAGATACTTAAAATGAAATTCATACGTTCGAGTTTTAATGATTATTAAGTGTTTTTATATTATTATTTGATTGTCAAAGATAAATGAGAACAATATTATGGCAAATGGTACTACTTAATAGAAATAATTATTATTTAAGAATGATTCGTACAGCGAGATAATCGAGTTGATCAACACCTATTTCCTCTGTGATGGGCTCGAAAATGGGTTTTGAACCGGGCGTCTGAGGATAACATATTATTAACGAATATTGACATATTCGTTAATTATATATTAAATTATCAATAAATGTATTGTTTCGTTTCAGTTTGATAAAACAAGATGTTCACGCCGAATAAAATTTCACGAACGTATCACGAATCGAATGCATTTCGGCTCTTAGCAACGTATAATGTTTGTCTGTATCCATCATAATTCGCGTGTAGGCGTACATCGCACAGTAAAGCTCGCCGATTAGTCGATAATGACAATCCAGCTGAACTGCGAACTTTTCCGTGACTGCCCAGCTGAATTGGTTTAATAGTATCGCGATAATGACGAGCGCGAGTGAAATACTAGAGGAATCGTTTAAACACATTGGTACGATCGTGAGGCACAAGCAACTGCAATATTTCATTTTAAGATTTTCAATAAAAAAATAATCGAACGTGGAGATTGAGTAACTCTACTTATTTTTGTTCGTCGTGAGCAGGCTTGGCAGATTGGCAGGCCAAAGAATGGGAAATTCACGAGACTGCCAACAACAAGAAAAACGAATCGTTCGATTTGCGCTACGAGTCAAAGTCTACGATTTTACAAACCAATATTCAAACGGTATGGAACAATCACTTGAACAATCACAAACTGTCCGATAGGTAATGTATTTAAAGTTTTTCTTTTCCATTTTAAATTCGTCATCAACACTTAAATTAAATTTCTTCAATAGAGTCACGGAACTATCTCGCTGGCGCGGTAACTTCGAATCGGTACTCGACGCATTGAGCAAAGAAATCGACTTGTTAATCGAGGAGAGAGCCGACACGGAAAAGGAGCTGGAACTGCTGGACCACCCGCTGCAAATCGCGAATCGCTGCATCGGCAAGAGAAACAATCGCACCAGCTCGGAAATCACCTACGACGACGTCGACGTGCAACTGAGAGCAGAAGTTGATTTGATCGAAGCCAAGAGGAAATTGTTCACTGCCGAGTGCGTAATGAGGATAATTTTTCAATTTTAAAATCATACCAATAAAATTTACGGTTGACGTTGAATTTATCGATGAAGCATCAAAACAGCCTGGGACAAACTAAATCGTCTGGAAGAGATGAAAGCTAGAATCATCGAGGAGATTCGTGATAAATCCGAAGCCACGGGCATCGACTCGGAAAATTTGGAGCTCTCGCGGATATTTCCCAATTTCACTTACAAACCCTACGCTCTCAGCATTCCAGAAGAGTAAGTGGAGCGCGATTGTTTCGTGCATCACGATAAAATATTTTTGTTTCGCATAATAATATTTGTGCGCTATCGCAGTGCCGTGTCGTACGAGAGTTGGCTCGAGCACTCGCGTCACACGCAGCAGCTGGCCGAGCAGGAGATGAGCGACACTTACAGCCTGCGCGAGTCCATGCGCGTCGACAAGGACACGGCCAAGCGCGAGCTCGTCTTCCAGCAGGACGCCACGGATTACGCGCTGCGTCGTCGGGCCTTCGCCACGCGCAAAGCTCGCAACGAGCTCGACTGGCAGAAGCTCAAGATTCGGCGCGAGGCCGAGAGTCTGCGGCTGCAGATCGTCGATCTCGAGACCGCCCTTAGAGCCAAGGCCGACGACCTCAAGTGCTGCGAGACGAGGCTGGAGAATCGCACGTACAGGCCGCGCTACGAGCTCTGTCAGGACGAGCCCGAGTTCGGACTGAAGGACGAGCTGGTGAAGCTTCGCGAGAGCATGGCCAAGCTCGAGGAAAAAATCAACTACGCCAAGTGAGTGTCGATCGTTGATGTGTGGCTGTATTTATTCTACTGGAAAATAGACTCATTTAAACTACTTTTGTTTTAGATCGATTCACAATGATTTGGAAAAAATTCTCGAACGCATCGATCAAGATTTGGAAAATAAGCAGCACGCCTTGACCACCGACGTCATGTGTCTGGATATGCGCTCGACTTTGTTGACGAGGGACGAGAATAAGGGGCAAAACGAGACTGATCGCAATATCATTTTGACTGATCTTAGCAAAGAAATTTCGTTGGAAACGAAAAAAGCATACACAACTTAATTTTTATCACTTATTTATAATAAATCATTATAAATATACAAATCAACGTAAAACATAGTTAAAATTCATAAAATCGCGTATAAAAATTGTATAACTAAATGTTTCGTTTTTTTATGTCGATATATAAAAATACAGATTGAAATATTATACAAATTTCGTAATTCATTGCTATATACATGATACTTAAAATTCCAATGTTATCGATTCAGGATTAGCTTTTACTAAATTAAATTCACTAGTAAAATCTTCCACAAGAGCTGGTTCTAAATTTTGAATAGCCCTTTCATAAATGTTTGATACTCTGTCTTCATCTCCATACTTGAGTTCAAACTTAACATATTCTATCCAAACATCTTTACTTTTTTTTCCAAATTGCAAAGTGATCATCTCATAGGGCTTGCGAGCATTTTGCAAAGATATGTTGCACTGAAGTAGTTCAAGAGATGCCATTTTCTTGTGAAGCTCCAAACAAGGAAAGGGCTGTAAGACTAATTGATCATAAACAGAGCGAGCTTTTTCAATATCTGAAACAAGTCATTGTTTATAATTAAATTTTAAAAAATTGAGAGATAAAAAAGTACTCTTAACAATAAATATAATATACCATCGTTTAAGACAATCCATTCAATGTAAACTGGTTTTATATAATTACTAATTTCGGGAATACTTTTGAGTCCTTCTTGGAAAAATGATGGCAATTCTTCTGGATTTGTGATTTGAATATGCAGGAATCTCAATTGCCACAGAGGAACTGCGTCTTTTCCTAAAATTGCTACAGCCTGAAATAAATGTTATTTATAATATTTGACATTTATTTTTTTTTCAATGATAAAAAAAGTAATGTTTACCATATTAAATTTTTCTAGAGCAAATTCTTTTTGTTCTATGTTAAGAAGGTAATTAATATATCTCTTCCAAAGATCAATACTTTTAGGCAGAGTTTCTATGGACATTTGTAGAACCTCCAGCACTTTGCGCTGCCCTTCTTCATCTTGACTTGTATTAGCTGTTATCAAATCAATCTAAAGAATATTGAATCATTTGGCTTTTAATTTTATTAACTATAACATAATCTTTATTCAAATAATAAATGCTTACCCAAACTACATAATATTTTTCTTCTAGCTCACCAGCTGTATGTCCTTGATTTAAGGCATTTTTCAATAATTTACGTTTGAAATTTGGTAGTGTTCCACCCTGATTGATTTCAATCAAGCAATCAAGAAATAACGACCACATTTCTTTTGTTTTTATTTTTTTAACTGCTGTTAAATAAACTTCATAACAGTTTAATATTCTATCTCTCAAGGACTGATCAGTAGTATCTACTTCCATTACAGAGTCATTTTCATTAAGTGATGGTTGAGCTAAGCCATTTAATTCTCTCCTAGCCATTAAATCCCACATTGCTGGCTCATGAGGGAATCCTTTTACTAAATCTCTGTTGAGGATTTTTTAGTTAAAAAAACAAATTATTTAATAGGTAAAAAATATTGTGACAAATATTTCAGTACCTTATGATTCTCATTTGTAAGTCTTTCATTTTTTTATGATTATGTACTTGAGTTAGGTTCAATAAATCAATCATGAAATTTATGTTTTTGACCTTTTTACAAGCTTGTTCATAAACAAGAATAACCTTTTTTAAATCTAATCTTTTTTCCATTTTATCTGTTACAATATCATCAGATATATCTATGACAGTCTCACATTCCTTTAATTTGGATAGAGCATCAGATAATTCCAATCTATGGTAGCATAAATATTATATTTGAAATTAAAGATTTGAAAAGTTTGAATTAAAATAGCAATATAAAATGTTATATATACTCATAAAGATAAGTATGAAGCATTTGAGATTCTGGATGGTGATGTAATCCTTTTATAAGATATTCTCTTCCAGTCTTGTAATCATTATTTTCTTGTACTTCCCACTTTGCTGCTGTTAGCCAGCACTTTGGTTTATCTTGATGAATCCCAAGCATTCTCCCTAAAATTTTGTTTACACATTTATGAAATTTTACACTTTTACAAAATGCTATGTACGCAGTCCAAAAGCGTATGTCATCTGAGAATCTCTCTAAAGCTTCTTTGTACAAATGGTTAATTTTATTAGCTATGGCAAGTTCGATGTCAGATTTTTTTTGTTTAGTTTTGTTTTTCTGTTAATGTTTTGAAAATGGAAATTAATGAAATGTAATGAATTGATGAAATAAAAGATCACGAATAAGTTTTACCTCTCTTCGTTGTTTTACAAGTTTCATTATATCTATCAAATAATGTATATAGCGTAAATAGTCCTCTTTGTTTTTTGTATGACGTTGAAGTCTGCTTTCATTGTCTTTCATTTTTACTGTAATTGTTCTATATAAAAAAAAAACAAATAGTTTCAAAATCAAGCATAAAAACATATTATTTTGTTTGTAGATTGAAAAAAGAAATTTTTAAAATAACTTTTATGCAGAGTAAAAAAGCAGTTGACAGTACCTCAATTCATTTTCTTCAAGTATTTTCAAATTTTTCATTTGGTCAAGCAAAGAACGCACGCTTTCCACATTTTCTGTTACTAATTCAGTCATTGTTGATTAAATATATCACTTATATTATACTTTATCAAGAAACCCTGTTTAAACCTATAACAACATGCATCCGGCGTTTAGCGATGCAACTCAACCGAGAATCAATATACCACGCATTATATCTGTCAGAATTGTGTTTGAGACTGAAATTCTCGAGATTCAGAACTACACGGCCCGGGCCTCCGGCCTCTGCAGACTGACACACCAAGAGAGACGCGTTGTATCTCTGTTTTCAATTTTCATGGGTTCGTTTTGGCTGAAAAATTTCGCAGTCACCAACAGCGAGTAGCGACATGCGCACTGTAAACATCAGGATCGCCAATCGCCATCTTAGCCGTGTTACGAGTTAATTGCAGTGCACGTCTCGACTCGAGTCAGTACGAGTTCAGTCGAATTCATTAAATCATCAGTTCTAATGAAAAATAATACACAGTGAATGTGTATACTTGCCTTCACTCGGTCGCCTAGTGTTTGTCAAACTCGATTGTTGACTGAACACAAGAATTTGATCAATAATACAAATTTGGCGTTGGTTATTGCTGTGGAGGAGAATTTAGCGAATGTCGTTAAAAATGTCGTTCAACAAACCAAAGCGCAATATTCGGCGACGGAATTTCGACGAGGAGGAAGAAAACGAAAACAAATCAACATCCCAAGTAGAGGAGCAATCAAGTCATCTGAAGAAAGACAAGAAGGAAAAGAAACGTGAAAAGCCAAAACAAACGCTCCTTAGTTTTGGTGAAGAACTTGAAGAGGGTAAGCAAGTTCTCTTTGATCAATTTACACTGTCCAAGATTTTTGTTCCTTTGCATATTTACTTATTGCTAAATAATAATAATCTTTCTTAAGAAATTTGCATTTATTAAACAATTTCATGTTATATCAGATATGTAACAGTTAAGTTCTACTTGCTAATCAGTTATCAAAAATATAAACTGAATATTTTTATTTTGTTGGAAAGGCATCTTCCAGAGTTGATTATTCATTTAATGTGTACTTAAATTATGATTTATATTTTGAATTTTTTAGCCGATGATGGAGAGGTGTTCAAAGTAAAGAAATCATCTAGAAGCAGAAGACTAATGAAGCAACTTGATCTAGAGCGGAAGAAAAAGAAAGGTGAAGACAAAATGAAAATGGATAGTGACTCGTCAAACATGTCTAATAATCAGGAAAAAGATTTAGAAATAAAAACAGATGATCTAGTAGTAAGCTATCTCTATGAAGTTTTTATTTACAATAAGCAAATCTGTTTTGTTTTCCATTTATAAAAAAATGCCAATGCTGTGCAGTTACAATTTACAATAACTTTGGCTTTTTTTACTGCAATTTTTAAAATCTCTTAATACAAATAGATTCTACTTGTTAACTTCAAATATTAATGAAATGTAATTTTGTTTTAACAGGTAAAAGTAAAAAATTCTGGACCTTTGATTCTAAATGGTAGAGAGGCTCTTACAGCTGGTAAAAATGACTATTCGGATGAAGATGAAGTTCCTGAAAGAAGCCATAGATTTCAAAGTAAAACAGATAGAGCAGATAATATGAAATTTTTCCTTCAAAGTAAGATTATCTGAAATTATTTAATAATTTTCATTGCAATGAAATATTTTTTTTAATTTGTGAACATTTTTTTGAACTATTTTTCTCCCTAGGTGGGTGTATACCTGATGCTGCTATGATTCATGCAGCTAGAAAAAAAAGACAAAAAGCCAGAGAATTAGGTCAGGATTTCATTCCAGTAGAAGAACCAAGGTCTGTGAAATGGATTTTAAAAATTACAGTTTTAAAAGATTTATAAATAAGTTCTAATATTGATTTTAGTGAGGACACTACAGGAAAAGGATCTAGATTAATTCGGGAAGAAGATAATGATCGCAGTGATGATGAGGAGGAAAGAATAAATATGACTGTTAACACTGATGAACTACATAAAAAAATGCGTAGGCAGGCAATTCTTGATTCTCAAGCATCACCAGAAAAATGTATAATATCAATTGTTTAATAATGAATTATTGAGTTGAAAAGAGTTTTTAATGTTACTAAATTTGATGTATTTTACAGTGTCTGATCAAGAAAGTGCTCCAGAAGAAGATGAGTGGGAAAAACAACAAATTAGAAAGGGTGTAACTAGTTCAATGGTATAATCATATTTCATTCTCTTTGAAATATTCAAGTTCTCAATCTAAAAAAATGTGTATATTTATAGATGTCAGCTGTCCAAGAATCTGTCGCTATGCAATACAATTCTTCAGTAGGATATAGTCATGGATTAGAAACAGGAATGAAGATGATGGGAAATATACCAGCAGCTCCACCACCACCAATTATTCAAGCCCCTGATCCTTCCCAAACTGTTCCTGTTTCTGCTGAAGATGTTTTAAAAAAGATGCGTGAAAGGTATACAGATTGTCACTGACGAATAATTTTAATAAAAAATATGAAATTTTAAAAGTGCTTTTAAAATTTTTTAAAAATATTTTAACTTTCGTTTCTAACTTGATTGATGCTTCTAATATCTCATAATAATATTTACTTGTGATTCATAGAATTAACAGCTAATTTTAAATTACAGAATCGAACATCTAAAAGAAGAACACAGAAGACACGAGATTAATTGTGAAGAAGTGGAACAGGAGCAAATTTTGTGCAAGAAAGAATTGATTGATGCAGAAACTCAGGGACCAGAGTGGGAGGCTCGCTACAAATTTTACCAAGAGTTGCGTGGGTATGTCACTGACTTGGTAGAGTGTCTTAATGAGAAGGTGGGTTTTTTTATATACTAGGAAAAAGTGATTTTACTCAACAATAACAAATTTCTTTCCAAGGGATAATCATTAAATAAAAATGATAAAAATGTAAAATTATTTCTGAAAGTTTGGTTTTTTGAATGAAAAATGTTTAGTACTCTTGAGAGTCTAAATATTTAGTTCAATCAACATTTTTTATTTTTTATTTAGCACAATAATTGAATATTATGCATATTTGCATATTGTAAGTGATTGGGTAGAGAAGGATTTATTATCAAAATATTATAGGAAGATTTAAAAACTCTTTCTTGTGAAAAAAATCCCACCATTGCTATATTTAATATAGAGACTAAGAAAAGTTGCCTACATAATAAAAACAAATTGGGTTTTAAATCAAATCGTTTATTTTATAATTACTAGAGATTCATTATTTATACTGAATCGATGTTGAGGTGCATTAAATTTAATTCAAATTAATTTGAAGTACAGGAATTAATTTTTATAAGTATGAATGAAGACAACAATTTTGATTGGTCATGAGAGTTAGTTTAAACTGAACTTTCAACTACGCAATGTCTAACAATTTTTTTTCTTTTCCAAAAATTTTTATTAGCTGCCTATCATTTCTGCATTGGAGTCCCGCTGGCTAGATTTGTACGCTGAACGGTCAAACTTACTCATCGAAAGACGTCGCCAAGATACAAGAGATCAAGCAGAAGAAATTACCAATGCTGCAAGTCAGTCATTTTTATCTGAAATCATAATTATTTCTCGAAACACGATCAAATATATACCATTATAATTGATGATCTTTTTGAATTTTAACTGTTCTCTTGGTGGATTATTCTATAAATTGATTTTTTTCTGCAGGGGGTTTCACTGGTAGAAGAGGACTGGAAGACGATGCTCGAATGCGCCGAGCAACGGAAAGGGAAGGCAGAAGAGCTCGCAGACGAAGAGCACGAGAGCTCCAATCTCTTCCGCAGAGACATGTTGACGGTATGTCAAGCGACGATGAAGTCACGGAACAACAGAATCTATCTTTCAGACAAACCAAGGGTTAGTATTTTTTTTCACGATAATAATTCATTCAAAATGTGGAATGTAACATTTAAAATAATAATGAATACTTATACTTTCAGAAAAAATTGAAGAGGAAATACACGAAGTCTTTATTGATGCAGAAGATGACTTTTGTACTGTAAAAGGTATTTTAGCGAAGCTTGAAAACTGGAAGGAAAAATACATAGATTCTTATAAAGAAGCTTACGTATCTCTGTGCATTCCTAAAATGGTCTCTCCTATTATACGTCTAAGCTTAATTACGTGGAATCCGCTCATAGTAAGTCATCTAGTATAGCATAAAAATTAAAAAAAAATTAGTTGCATAAACTTCAGTGATCATTCATTTTTTTTTAGGAAAGCACGGATTTTGAAAAAACCAAATGGTATAGTTCTCTACTATTTTACACAATGAAATCTAATGTTTCCGAAGAAGCGCTGCAAGCAGATCCAGACATACGATTGGTTCCATCAACTATCGAGAAAATCGTCATTCCCAAATTAACAAGTAAGAAAATTTAATCAGAGAATATTATTAAACTAATCTTTAAAAGTGGCTAGTGATGATTAATTTAAAAAATTTATTTTCATCAGCGATTGTTCAAAAGATCTGGGATCCTTTGTCAACGACGCAAACGCTACGATTGATAGGACTTATAAATCGATTTATGAAGGACTACCCAACATTGAATAAAAGTAGTAAACAATTAACTGCATTGTTTGCCATGGTTATGGAGAAAATGGAAGATGCAATTGACAATGATGTTTTCATTCCAATATTTCCTAAGCAGTGAGTACTGTTATTTTTGGTATCAATACATTTACATTTTATTTAGTTTTATTAAAACAACATTTCGACTAAATATTTTAGAACAATGGAACCTAAACATCCGTATTTCCAACGTCAATTCCACATGGCTATGAAGCTTCTGAGAAATTTCCTCAGTTGGCAAGGTCTAATTGAAGATGATTTGTTAAAAAACATCGCATTAACATGTTTGTTGAATCGATATCTACTCGCTGGATTGCGAATCAACACGTCAGTTGATGCCATGAACAAAGCATATATGGTAACAAATAAGTGTATTTTGACTCTCTAATTTTTTTAAAAAAGAGTATCCTTATATACTCAAAACATTTTTTTTTTCAGATTATGATGATGTTACCAAGAGCATGGCTGCAAGGTAAATCAATGGACTCATTGAAGATGTTCGCATCGGTAGTTAAACAAATTAGCGAAGATTTGGATCAAGCAAATCCAGCACACAAGTAAGAATCATCCATCTACTTCAGACATACATTTTTTTTGTTTATCGTAACATAATCGTGTTTGTTTACAGCGAGGCGTGGGAGTATTCCAAGGCAATCTTGAAAGTGATAAAAGTTTAAAGAGAAATGTTATGAAAGCGCCAAGTGATTCTCTTTTACAAACTGACTCGAATATTATATAGACTACAAACAAATTAATGAAATTGTTAATTTTGCATTGATAAACGGCTACGTTTTGATAAATTTAAGATTTGTAAAAGCATCATTAACTTTATTTTTTTTGTAGATAACTACTTGTAATTGAACGATGTAAATATAATAACATTACTATAAATAATAAACAAAGTCAAAAAGAGCCTAATAATACAATAAAATCGTAATTTTATTAAATTTAAATTGTCGCTCTGAGCGCGGCGATAGACGACGATGACGCCAGTTCGTTACAATAGTTGCGAGCGCGCGATACACAAAGCCGGCCACTATGAGACTCAAAGCTCGGCTTCATAATGTAATACATGAGGCTGCTGCGCTTGTGTATACATATACGAACGCATACATTTTCTGATTGAGTAAGGGGGTCATAAGTCAGTGAGCTTATCTTAATCCTCGCCTTTCGTCGCAACATGTAAGCCTCTTCGGACGCATATTAAAACAATCATTTGTCGGGGGCCGATCATCGTCATCGTCATATCATCGCGTTCATTTCGCGCAGGCACATAGGGCCCTATAAATAGCCCCGTGCTCATAAGCTTTTACGTTTTCTCCGAAATTCTATCGCCGCCGCCGCCGCGTACAAAACGTAAAGTCAATGTCTTATCTCCTCTCTTTCGCTCTTCTTCTGCTTCCACTTAATAATTTTTTTTTCTTCTCATATTCCTCGTCGTTTATTATAAGTATGTGTATGTGCGCCCGATGTCGAACGGCTGGTCTCGCGGCGAGGATTTAGTCGACCGTCCGTTTTCTTGCTGCGCGCATTGCGACGCTATTCACTTTGCCGTTGTTATTACCGATCTCGTAATTTTGCTCAAAAAATCGATCGCAGAGAAGGAAGTCGCGCGCGCGGGTGCTACGTGCGCTCTCGTCGAGTACGGGCTTGTGTCGACGAAAAACCAAAATACCAAAGGTAATAAGGGTTTTTTTCAAAAAACCGAACGAAGCTCGGAACAGAGCCGACGAGGAGGAGAGGTCGAAGGGAACGAGCACTCGAGTGAACAAATAAAAAAGTAAAATAAAAATAAAGTAAAAAGATCGGCCTCGTCGAGGTCATCGCAAAACTACGTGACCTCCGTGTTTATACACGATCCGGCGACACATCATGAGGCGTCTTGGCGGTGAGTTCATCTCGACAGATACACACGACGCGACGATCCGCATACGCTATACATAATACGTCTTTTCGACGATAATATAATATTACGAAATTGGTGTTTGCTGTAAACACGAGAGTTGCCCGGACGAGCGAGTTTTTTTGCTCCACGCTCTTTTTTTCGCCTTTTTCATTATTATTTTTTTTTATTTTTTTATGGTCAGCGCGAGAAACTGCTGCTGTTGCTCCTCCATTCCGCTGGAATCAGCGCGCAACACGCGCCGCGCGTCGAATATTTTTGTATTCGAATCGCTTTTTATATCTTTGTTTCTCGGTTTTTGCTTTATTTATTTATTTTCGACTCGTTTATCCGTCGCGTCACGTGGCCACGGCGTAAAGCGCAGACTTCAAAACAGAAATCCTAAAACGACAGCTATATAATATCACGCCGAATTCACTGCCATCATAACACAGCCTATCACCGATGCGACAACCCGATGCGAAAATGCCAATTCGCGAGCTCGAGGGGTGTCCGGTTGCGGCTGCTCGTCTTGGCCACCTGCTGCCTCGTCAGCCTCCCAGGCAGCGCGGAGGGTCTGTTCGAGGCCGGCAAAGAGTACGTCTACGATTACGAGGCCGTCTCGAGCACGGGCGTGCTTCTTCCCTCGAAGGCTCAGTCGTCCTGGGGCTTCGCCGGCTCGCTGCGCATCCGCGTCGATAGTCCGGGAGACGCCCTGATGCGCCTCGAGTCGCTGAGGCTGCAGGTGGCCAACGGGCCCGACGAGCTCAGCGACGACATGGACGCCGGCGCACCGCTCCAGGGACCGGCCCTGGACGAGATGGCCAGGCCCTTCAGGGTGCAGTACCGGCACGGCAAACTGGAGAACTTCAGCGTCGAGGCGAGCGAGGCCGTCTGGGCGACCAACATCAAGCGCAGCATCGCCGGCGTCCTCCAGCTGGATCTGCCGAATCTCGAGAGCCAAGTGGCTTTTCACTCGACCGAGGTAACGTATGCCGTAACGAACGAGGTTTTATGTCGAATGTGATATAACTAAAAATTAACAGACGAATCACTACGGGCGCTGCACGATGGAGTACGTGGTGACGATCGAGTCCGGCGAGTCGGAGACGCGCGTCATCCGCAAGTCCGTGGATCCGCGCACCTGCCAGGGCCACGGCCAGCGCCACTGGACCAATGTGCCCAACATGCCGTGCCCCAACACCGAGCAGAATCCCGTGATGAAGGCCAGCGAGCGCTTCTACGAGATCTCGACCGCTCTGAATAGCAGCATACTGATCAGGGTCAACGCCACCGGCGAGATCTACGTGCAACCGTTTCAGAGCCTCGGCGAGGCCCACTTCCTGATTACCAAGTAGGCTTGTAGTTTCTTTTTCTGACGCATAACGATCGTTTGAATGAATTCTGTGTTGTGGCCAACAGTCAGAGAATGAAGCTGATCTCCGTGTTGGGCATCGCTGAACAGGCGCCGAGCCTCGGTAGCAGCAATAACACCAATAGCAGCAACGTCGAGACGGATAATCTGCACGAGAAGCACATACAGCACGAGCTGCCCGGCGACGACTTGACCCAAGGCCGTGGCGTCCCCGACAAGGAAGCCATCTTCAAGACCGTGAGTAAAATATAAAAAAATATCTCAAAATCTATGCGCAACTACTTTCTCGAATCGCGAACCCTAGATCAGCGCACTGCTCGATCGGCTCAGTCAGCGGCTCGAGACGCCGGGCCTGGACACGGAGGTGCGCAATCTGCACAACACCACCATCTCCGTCCTGCTGTACTACATGGGCCAGCTGACGCGGCCGGATCTGCGCGCGGCCTACAGCAACATCTCCGGGACGAGCTACAAGGAGGAGACGGTGCGCAACATGTTCCTGGAGGCGCTGCCCCAGGTCGGCACCACCGAGTCGGCCCTGTTCGTGCTCGAGCTCATACGCTCGCAGTCCGTCTCGGACATCACGGCCATCCAGCTGCTCACCCATCTGCCCTTCCACGTGCGCAAGCCCGACGTCCAGCTGCTGCTCGGTCTGCAGCCGCTGCTCAATCTCAACGCCAAGATCGCGCCGGAGGTGCAGCACACCGGCATACTGACCTTCGGCACCCTGGTCTACAAGACCTGCCTCAAGTACTGCCCCTACGAGATGCTCGACGACTACGTCAAGCTCTACCTGGACAAGTTCACGGGCAGCCAGGACTACGAGAAGAAGATGGTCTGGCTCGAGGGCCTGTCCAACATACAGCTCGGCCGCGTGGTCGAGTTCCTCGAGCCCATCGCCAGCGGCATGAACGCCGAGTCGAGGCATCTGCGTGTGCTGGCCGCCTGGGCCTCGCTGCCCACCGCGCCCCTCAGGCCCGACGTCATCTATCCGCTCTACTGGCCGATCCTGGTGAATCGCACGGAGCACCTGGAGATGCGGGTGGCTGCGCTCACCCTCCTGCTCATCTCCAATCCGACGGCCAACAGGATCGCCTCGATCTACTGGTATCTCAAGGGCGAGCCCAATCGCCACCTCTACCATTACTTCTACACGACCCTCAAGTCCATGGAGAGGAGTCACTTTCCCTGCTTCGTTAGACTGTGAGTAATCGATTGCACTAATTGCGCTACGTAATTGATCTACAATTGACGTAAATCGATGATTCCGCAATTAATCAAGCTCCGGAGTGGCGGCGCAATTCTCGCGACTGCTGAAGAAACCGACGGGCCACCAGCACATACTCACGGGCAATTATCTGTTCGATTACAAGGACTCGAGACGTCACTTCGGTGCCGTGATCAACGGCATCATAATCGCCAATCCCCTCACCAACATACCTCAAGTGGCCTACGTCACGCTAAAGAATCACGGCTCCGGCAAGGACCTCAATCACGTTTCCGTAATGATACGCATATCAATTAATAGCTCAATTAAGATGCTTCTATACCAATTTTATATTATGACGAAATGAAATATAGCTGTACATCAAAGCCGAGGGACTGCTGCACGCCATCTCGACGAATCTCAACGACCTGAGCATGTCGACCCGGGTCGAGGATCTGCTGAAGAAGTTCAAATTCAATCACCAGAGCACCACACCGGTCCACGTGGAGATAGTCGCGCGCGTCCAGCAGAAGGCCGTGCTCTGCCTCCATCTCAATCAATCGAACCTCGTCGACGCATTCAAATGTAAGCGATATACAATCGCATTGATTTAATCAATCAATTAGAAACATTAACTGCGACGTCGATCCTTTAGACATATCGAGCTTGCAAGACAGCACGTACCACGTGTACAAGAACATCGAGTTCCACGTGAACCAGCAGAACATCCACGTGCCGCTGACCGTGGACGCGGTGCAGGTGACGGATCTCGGCACCAACGTGCGCATCGCCGCCATGGCCACGTCGCTCTTCTCGATGCGCGGCAACTTCACCCACGTGCCGAACGGCCGCAACAATCACTTCATACTGCGCACCTCGATCCACGGCACCGAGAGCATCGAGAATTACAATCCGCTGGCGGACATCTGGCACGCGGGCATCAGGTCGCAGTCGATACACGGCTATCTGCCCGTCAACGTCACCTTCGGCCTGCAGGACAAGCTCTTCGTGTCGTACATGACGCCCGAGCACAAGTTGAAGGCGGGCCTGACGGCCCACGTGAAGACCGTGACGAGCGTCCGGGGCTACAAGGTGCGTGACAAGCTGCGGGCCGTCTGCAGGCCCGGCGAGTCGCGGCATCCCTGTCCCGAGCTGCACACGGTCAAGCGCTTCCCCGACAAGGAGACGACGTCGAGCAGTTTGCTGGAGCTGCAGGCTCCCGAGCTGGGCGGTGTGATCGGGGTCAAGGTGTTCGACTGCGAGACCAGTCGCACCCACAACGAGGAGCAGTACATCGCCGACGTTCTCGGCAGCCACCAGAGCAACAGCCAGATCTGGCCGCTGCTGGAGTCGCTGCTGCTCTCGCTGCACTTCTTCGACTATCTGTCGTACGTGCCGCCGATGGGCAGCTGCGGCCTCGAGATGTACATCGAGCCGCTGACCAATCAGTCCTCGGAGGTGCGCTTCGAGTACGCCAAGACGGACAAGTACCACACGCTGGCTCTTACCAGGCGAGGAATCGGGCCCCTGCAGGCCCAGACAGTCCACCAGCAGTGGAACCTGGCGCTGGCCTACGACGTCACCAGCTGGCTCTCGGACTCGTTCAAGGTCAAGGCCACGCGGAGCGCGCCCGGCGAGCAGGTCTTCAAGATCTGCCTGGAGATCAGCCGCGACACGCCCTGGGACTGGGACTTTTTGAGCGTCAAGCCGAGCGAGCCGGCCAGCCTCAAGGCCAATCTGCTCTGGGGCATGGCCGAGCAGGCCAAGGGCAAGTGCGCGGGCTCCTCCCTCACCCTCGATCTCGTCGGCGAAGTGACCAGCGATCAGATCGAGGAGAGCCGCAACGACGTCTGGCCCTACAACGAGTGCAGACGCCAGTCGGCCAACAAGACCTTCGTACCCTACACCGAGGCCTGCTACGAGGCCTCCAGAGAGATGTCGACCCTCAAGAAGTACAAGATAACCATCACACACGAAAATGTTAGCCAGGGCCCACGCGATTTGTAACGAGCGCTACGATGATCGGTATCATCCGTAATCGTGCTTTGCCGATTTTGTTTCAGCTGCCGACGCTCATTCTCAAAGCGGAGAGAAAATTGCGGGCCTTGCTCGAGCTCCTCGGTAGCAGCTACTACCGACCGAGTGGCAGTAGCGCTGGCGGTATTACAGGCACGGACAAGGGCCTGTCGATAGCGGTGACCTTCGCCAAGGATCTCCATAGCGGACCGCAGCTCTACGTCAACGGCGATCGGGTCTACTCGCAATTCAACAGCGACACGGTTAACAACTTCCTGATCAGGAGCCGACTGCACAAGTACATGGACAGCGTATTTTTGCAATCGTTTTTCAGTGAGTGATTCGCGAGATCGACTCTTTATACTAAAAAAAAACAAATCATCCCTTTTTTTTCAACTAAAAAAGTATTGTTTACGCGTCAGGTACGTGCGTCTTGAATCCCAGCTCGATCCGATCGTCGTCCAACACCACGCACGCCTTCGCAAAGAACTCGGAGAAGCTCGTGCTGGCCCGATGCGACGACAACAATCCGAGATTCGCGTTGCGCGCGACCAACAAGGGCGACTTCGTCGAGCTGAGCTTCGACGACGAGGCCGACCGAATTATTTTGAGCTCCAACGGCGAGGCCGCCGTCATACACAACTACTCGAACCCCGTGCCGCTGACCAGAAATTTCGAGTTTTCGTACATAGGTTCGAAATGGTAAGTACTCGATTGTATAGTTCGCGATTGCTCGTTGCCCGTGATATCGGCAAAATTTTTTCTTTTATAGGGCAAGAATGGACAAACAGGTCGTCGATCTTGTGGTAGCTGAAATATTACTCTTTGTGCATTGGTCGAGAGAGCAAGTACTTTTATTTTATCCTAATTACATTCAAGAATTTGTCTGTGGGTATTGTACTTTACAAGATGCCAACGTCAGTGACCTTTACGAAAGGTTTTAAACGATAAACTATCCTTCAATATCAATACATTATGTAAAGAGCATTAGGCATTCTTCTTAAAATATAAACTTACTTAAACTGTTAAAATAATTATCATAATATTAAGAAATATTACTCCGACTTATTTTGTTAAAAAATGTGTAGTAGACGTATGATTTTGTAATTGTTTAAAAATTTAAAAATTATAATAAAACATCTCCAAATAATTTATCAAAAATTCAACCTAACTTTTTAATTTTGATAAACTCATGTATTTACAATATTTATTCAGATTTTTTAACATTGCACAACTCTGCTAAATTATACTTTTTATAAAAGAAATATTTTGGTGCAATGGAAATGGCACACACACCTTTTAGCACTGAGATAACAACAGCAATTTCAGGATCTTTCAAGTTTGCCTTGTTTCCAGGATTCTTTGAATTTATAAGTTTTGCTAGTTCTTCTATAACATCTTCTCTGTGTAAATTATTATTTCTGTGACGACTGTAAAACATAATAAGACTATGTATCTTTGGAAAAAGTTAAATGTGCAATAAAACAGTTAATCTTACCTAAATACAATGCAGAATGTTTTTGGTTCTTTAACAAAGTATTGATCAAATAATGAATCAGCTTTATTTTTTAAATCATCCAAATAAGCCTTACAAACTCTTTGTACAGGTAACATTCTTAAAATATATCTGGATTTTTGTTGTTTAGTTTTATAAATATCTTCAATGATAGCCATTGATACTTTTAAAGGGTCACGAAGTGATGTGGCTTTGATGAATACAACATTAGGTACTCCTGTATCTACAGCCTAAATCAAAGTATTGATTTTATTACATAAAGTACAATGATAATTAATTCATTTTTTTTTAAATAACTCACAGAAAGTCTCTTTTCTTGTGTTGCCTCACTTCTCAATTCTTTAATTTCATCTTGTAGTTGAGTTGCAAAATCTAGTTCCTTATTCTCTTCTTCTTCGTCGCTAGAATCATCACTTGCTATTTTCTCTACTTTGGTACTAGTTTTTTTTTCATCAACCACTTTTTCTGATTCATCAGCTACTGTTTCATTTTTCTCTAGACTAGTTTCTATTTTGCTTTCTTTTTCAGATTTATCGACGGCTGCTTTTTCTTCCACTGTGCTATCTTTTTCAGATCCATCAGTGATAGCTTTTTGTTCTTCAGCAGTAGTATTGACATCATTATCTTTTTCAAATTCATCGGCAGCAGCTTCTTTTTCATTTGGACTAGTTTCTATCTCTCCATCTTTCTCAAGTTTATTGATTACTGTTTCTGTATCTTGTTTTGTATTTTCTTTTTCTTTGTCATGTTTTGCCTACAAAAGTATAAAATTGTTTAATGTTAACATTTGCACTGAATACATAAATTAAGAAGAAATTCAAAAGTATCTTACCTCTTGTGTTTTATAATCAGAAGCATCTGCATACTCATTAAGTAAGCTGTAGGTATCACGAATACATTCTCTCTCTTTAAAGTTGCATGTGCAAAGAAAACCTGTCATCCCAATTTCTAATGTGGGACTTTTCCATTTTTTCATGGGACCTCCTTTATTGTAAAAATTACCTTTTCTTTTCTTGTTTTCACTCATATTGATGATTTACTATTATTTAGAAAAAACACGACAACACCTGTAAAGTCAACACAATTTGAGGTTAAAACCTTTTATTTTTTACTGAGAAAAAATACGTTGAGTTTAAAATCGATGATTTTAAACTTGAATCGAACTCACTCAAGTAAAATCTACTCGTCTTTATCTTCGGCGATAACGACGGTTCACAAACAAATAAGATCTGTACACAACTGCAATATTGATGTTTAGCTACACAGTAAACAATCACACATACTGACGATAAGTGCCGGTCCGGAACATCAAATCCGCTCAGTTCTAAGTAGGTCAAGGTCACGCGGAATATGTTATGGTGAATTTTTGAAAAGATGATTTGGAGTTTTCAATCACTAAACCGCGCTGATGTAAAAAAAAGTTTATGTAGCAATTATTTTTTAACTAATTTCAAAAGTCTATAGTGTGATTTTTTTAGTATTAAAAAATAACGAAAAATAAATTTATTACATTTACAAAAGCTTTCAAACGAATTTTCTCAAGACTTTGTGGCATTTTACATAGATCATTTAAATTTGAGCGCCCATTTGACTTTATCACTATACCCAACGTAACGTCACGAAAGGACCGTTAAAAAGCTCTCCCAAAATCTCAAAAAAATTCATCACTGCGTCGCAATTATAAAGACGAAAATATTTCAGGCGCTTTCGGTAGAGCTAAAAATAATCAGGCGAGTTTTCCTGATAAAAACAAAATTTTCGAGCAACGTGCCAACTGCAATCAGCTGTTCGAACAATACATGTACCAGCTGCACATTGCAGCAGTATACAATATATCTTTACCGAGCGTGCAACAAAGAGAGAATATAGCTGTGCAGTGCAGTGCGCAGTTGTGGCAAACTAGCGACGGTGGCGTAGAAAGCCAGCAGCAACGCACACTGCGACTCCGATGTTTATTTCAAGGATCCAGTCAGTCAGTCGCTCGTGCGAGTAAGAACCTGTCAAAGTTCATTGACAAAGGCTGCATTCGTCTTTGTTGATGGAGTGTAAATAATTTACGCACACAATAGAATTTCGTAAAGAGAAATTCGTGAAAAAACGTGACGCGTGCCTGCAGTTTATCTGAAAACTGTGACGGGCACTCGAGTTAATTGCATCTCGTGAACTAGAATATCCATATCATCGAGCTACATCTGTCAGTCGTTACCGTTGTTTTGCCATTGAACTCCAAAATTAAGTGACGTAGTTGTAAAATCCAATGCAGGGCCGCAATTTTTCGACAATTGCAGCTTTCAAAAATGGCAGGTATGTATGAGTTTGCTGGGCATCCCAACGTTTACAAACAGTTCTCCGCTGTCATACACTGTCTGACAGTAAAAAGAACGAAAGAGATAACCTTGCGTTCGATTTCGTCTGTCTCGTTTCTTTGTTCGTCGCTCGGGCATTCGGTGATTTTTTGGGTATTTCCTTGAAATTGGTTCGCTCGATTCGCGATTATACGCAGGCATATCCGAAGAAAAATAATGAAAAACGATCTTGAACTCCGTCGAGTCACGCGTATTGTAGGCAGCTCAATGCAATCGAGTTTCATGCATCGCGTATAGGTATAGGCGCACGTACAGTTATTACGGAGCGAACGCAAAAAGTGCATTACATTCGCGCCTCATAATTGGCTTATGTATCGCTCGTTGTGTATATAATTCGGATGCAATTGAACATATGTTGCACACTTTGCATAATGTTTATAATCTCGCGCTCGAAGCTCTGTATAATGTTGTTAAGGAGCGCGGTGCATTATTAATAGAAAGTCGTTGCTGCGATTACACAAGGTACACACGAAAATTATGAAAGTTTAATTATAGCCGAATGCGCATCTACCGATATTTATTTTACATGCACAACACGCGTAATTGGACATAGAAGGATTTTTGAACGTTTTCAACGTTATAATATTTACGTGACTTCGAAAATTTGACAAGGTCACTCATGATACTTAAAGCAAACGCGCTCTTTTTTTATTTCAATGTCAAGAATACATTGTTGTAAACAAAATAAAACATGTGCATGCTATATCGGATGCATGTGCTAAAAATACGAGCAACGCTAAATCATGTACAGCAATACTCGTAAAGTATATTGAAAAGGGACATTTATTATCATATTTCTATTTTTTATTTTTGAATATTTAACAGTAAAATATCATTGAGGTGTGTCTATCGTTAAATTCTCGATTATGCTAACAAAAAATGAATTGTGCAATATTCCGTAACAACGCGTGTATAGAGTTGTCACAATGGAGTTTTGGAAAGCGCCATATCTCTTTTGTCCAGAAATATTGCAGTGACGCAATAATACTTCGCGGTGACGGGTGCTTTCGGAGCGCTATTCAAAATTTTTATCGTAGATATTCCGATTCCAAAATAATCGTTTAATTAAATATTATAGATAATTTAAGTGATTAAAAATGTCTAAATTAAATCCACTGATATTTCTATTAAAAGCTATTTAATAATATTTTTTTAATCAATTAGTTCTAAAACAAGCACGTTCATTTCCGCTTGATCTAAATTAAATGCAGAAACTTTTAACATTTTTGAATCTCTGGCTTCAGACCAATTGATGAAAACGTCAACATCTGCTTGTTTTTTAAGATAGTATTTTTTTATATTTTAAATCCAATTTAATGATTTACAGACATGGATTCATTGGTAGGACTGTTCGACCCAGGAGAGAGTAAACCAAGAAGGAGCAGAAAATCTTGGCATGAATCAAGCAGTGGTTCTTCAGATTTAAATAATGGCACATGTGAAGAATTTTTGCCACCGGAACCTGAGCAAGGGAATGTAGAGTACAAATTGAAATTAATAAATCCCTCCAGTGAAAGATTTGAACATTTGGTAACGCAAATGAAATGGCGTCTACAAGAAGGTCAAGGAGAAGCTATTTATCAAATTGGTAAGATTTAAAAATGATATCAAGCCTATTAAAAATTACATTTTTATGTGATATTAATTAAATTCAATTTTAGGTGTAGAAGACAGTGGCAGATTAGCAGGGTTATCAAAAGAAGATATGAAAGCATCATTGAAAACACTGAGAGAAATGGCTAATAGATTAGGAGCAACAACAAGTGTAATGAGGGAACGTTTAACTAAGCCTAAGCCTACTTATAATAATAGCAATGGTAAAAAATCAAAAGCGAGAAACAACAGAGGTGAAGAAAAAAGAGTCGCAGAAGTACTAATAAGAAAACTGAGGAAAGATGATAGAGAGGATGAATGTGTAATTGATTTACGATTAGCAGTCATGGGTGGTCAAGATGCAGGAAAATCAACTTTATTAGGTAAATTTTTATTATTCTAGATGTCATGTGTTTTTAATAAAGTCTTAAAGCTGTTTATTATCTTGAAATAACGTTCTTCCAGGTGTTATGACACAAGGTGAATTAGACAATGGTCGGGGGAGATCTAGACTTAATATGCTAAGGCACCTGCATGAAATTAGAACTGGACGTACCTCGTCAATTTCTCATGAAATTATTGGCTTTGATAATGAAGGTCATGTTTTAAATTATGCTGAAATGACTACGGCAGAAGAAATATGTGAACATGCATCTAAAGTTGTCACCTTTATAGATTTAGCAGGACACAGAAAATATTTAAGAACGACACTATTGGGCTTAACAGGTAAATTATTGACTGAGTTTTTAAAAGAACAATTAAACTGATGTTGGATATCTTTCACAGGTTATTCACCCCATTATGTGATGCTTGTTGTTGCACCACCTGTAAATGAAGTTGTACAAGAGCATATGGCTTTATGCTTAGCCCTCCGTTTACCTTTCTTTGTTGTAGTGACAAAAGTTGACTTGGGTTATTGTAATCCACAAGATACTCTTGTACAATTGCAAAATATGGCTAGAGTTCAAGGCTGCAATCAGAATTTCATTTTGCATACTAACAATAACAATGATAGTTCTATTGGTAATCCTGATGTAATACCAGTTTTTCCTGTGAGCTGTGTAACTGGAGAAGGATTGAATGAACTGACGATATTTATCAGAGATTTGTCTCCATTAGAATCAGTTCCTCCTGATTCAGATCCAGATTCTTGCCTATTTCAAATAGATGAAACTTTTAGGTACCATAAATTTACAGCCAAATTTTATAATTAAAAAATATGAAATTAACATTTTTATTATAAAAAATTTTTAAAAATTTTACAGAGTGGCTGGATCATCTGAACCTATATTAGCTGGATTGCTTGTGAAAGGTGCAATGGAACTTGGAGCAAGACTTCTAGTCGGTCCATCACCAGGTGGAGAATTTAGTCCTGTAAAGGTAGTTAGTCTACACCGTAATAAGGCACCGTGCTGTCTTGTACGAGCTTCCCAAAGTGCTAGTTTAACATTGGCACCACCCTCTAAACGAGACCCTCCTTTACCACATCTACGGCCTGGTATGGTACTAGTTTCAATAAGAGATCAGCCACGCGCTACTCTCTACTTCCAGGTATAAAGCGTTTATGTCTTTAATTTTTATACATTCAATATATTTTTTTATTAATCTTATATTGTATCAAATTTCAGGCCACTGTGATAGTCGTATATCATGCTACGGCAATTTATCCAGGATATCAAGCAACAGTGCACATTGGTAATGTGCGACAGACATGTATAATCGAGGGAATAATGGATATGAAGCAAACTGGTCTCCAAACCAATGATACTGCATCAGTATTATTTAAGTTTCTTAATCATCCAGAATATCTACACGTCGAAATGAGCTTACTCATGCGAGAAGGTCGTACGAAAGCTATTGGAAAAGTGACACAAGTTTTTCCTCTTGATAATACGCAAAATAACGAAGTTTAAGTTAACAGAAAACAGTAATTTCTTTCTTAAAAATTAAATTATTTAAATAATACTTGGAAAAAACTTTGAAAAGTCTAAAACAAACTCAATTCAATCACATACGTTAATATAAATAGAAGTAGTTTTGTTTTGAGCTGTGAAAAAAGTCGTTTCGTTTTAATATAAATATATATTCTACGACAATTTAAAAGATTTAAAAAGTATATAAATATTTAAAGTTACAGACAAAGACCTATAATTTTTACAAAGTATTAAAATATATCCTATAAGATGAATGTATAATTTGACAAATTTGACTTCTTGATTCGATTGTTATCGAATATTCGATAATAATGATTGAAATGTAGAGTAAATGATAGTTCCAGACACTTGAAACTCAAACCTACCATTCTGAACTTTTTTCAAAGCAATATAATTGTTTAATTTCTTATAAATCAAAATACCTTGAACATTACTCTCGTATTTTTTTCATTTAACAAAGAGCTTTAATCATAAAATTTGAAACGCTTCAAAAGTAAGTTCAAAAATATTTATTTATTCTCAAAAAAGAGGATGTGTTTAATAAATCCATTGAAAAAATGTTGAATTCCATACAGTGTCTAAAAACTAGAACATTTACCTTGTTAAGTCGGTTTGTACATTTACTTGAATTTCAACGTTGAAAATACTGTAGAACCATGCAACAAGGACATTCAAGTGAATAATTAGACTTACCTAAGAGAAAATTCAAGTATTTTTCCAATACGATGTTTCCCTTTGTAAGAACATTTCAACCGACAAAAGTTCTACTTTGCCAAAAGTAAATCTATGTCATTTAGGACATTTTCAGATTTATCAGATTTTCCGAATTTTACAAAAAAAAAAATCAAAAGAACCACGACCATTCAACACTTTTAAACTGTAGAACTTGCAAAATTTTATTCATTAACAGTTTGTACGAAACGTGTGTTTTTTTATTCGATCGCAGTGAAAGTCGACGAATTACAATCGTGCTCGCAAGAGTACGCTCAATTCCAAAATACCTATAACTTTGTAAATAAAACTGATGAGTCGTGTGTGTAAAGGAATTATAGTGCTTTTCACTTTCTAGACATTTGTTCATAGATACACAGTACATAGTTGCACGAAGTTGCTCTTTTATTATATTCTAATAATCAATGGTTGATTGCATAGTCTTTCTTTCTTTGAAAAAAGAGAAAAATTATAAACAAACAAAGTTGTTCACATTGTACATTACACAATTACTTAATGTAATATCTTGTATCGTTCGTTTTTGTAAAACGATTTACAAACTCTTGGTGAAAAATAAAAATTAAATTAATATCTTTAAAAGGCGAGTTGTGATTTATTTTATCATGTATATATGTTATTTATGTTAATGTTGCCGTCGGCGCGATCGAAACTATAATAACAGCGCCCCGCGTGAGCCGATTAATTTCGACGCTACAATATTTACCTGCTGACACACACACACACGCGCGCGCGCGCGTAGTCTGTATAATTTAACGAATGGCGAATTATGTAGATAGAGATCAGTGATATCACGTCAGTCCGTGATATGTTTTTACAAAAATCGAGAGGCACGTGTGAAAGGTCTCTTGCTCGATGAGAAAGAGAGAGAGAAGATATGGATCATCGGCATACTCGAGTGCATGTGCAACAAGTGTGTTGAGTGACTCAAGTGTCGTATACACTCGTGATGAAATTGACGCATTTGTGGATGTTGTTGTTGTTGTGGTCGAACGCGTCAACGATGGCAGCCAGTCGACGAAGACAACGAGCTGTCAACTCGACGACGGGCGTCGAGCGTCGTCAAAACGAGCCCAATGCAAAATCGTGCGTGTGCGTGCATTTTATGATTTGCGACGTGACCGGCATGGATGCCGTAGACAGCTACAGTCTCATCGACGTGCGCCGTCGTCTTCTGCAGCAGCGGCAACAGCAGCAGCAGCGCAATAAAATCAGACCAAAACGATCGTAAGTAAATAAAAATCGGTTGCATCCGGTCGTGCGACGATGATGACGATTGCGTGCGTGCGTTGTAGCTGGGAATGCAACAGTATCCTGGAGGTCTGCTGCGAGCGGGCGAACATCAGGAAGCCGGACAGGCCGTACCAAGTGCCGGGGGCCGACGATCGCCCCGAGTACGGCGGCTACGACAGCTGCGGAGTCTACAACGGCCGGGACGAGCTGCTCGCCCAAGACAGGATACAGTACTCGAATCGGGACGAGAAGCAGACGCAGTTCGCCGAGTTTCCCTGGATGGTGGCGGTGCTGATGCGCGAAAAGGACGCCCAAGGAGGATCCACCTCCAGCATGTATCGATGCGGCGGCTCGCTCATCCACCCTCAAGTCGTGCTCACGGCGGCTCATTGCGTTCACGGGTATACATTATACGTAAATCGGATTTTCGTTTCATTTAAATAAAAATAAACGACGCGATGATTGCAAAAGGCAGGAGAGGAAAAAAATCACGGCCCGAGTCGGCGAGTGGGACACGCAGTCGACGAGCGAGCGACTGCCGCACCAGACGCGCTACGTCGACACGATCATCGTCCATCCGGATTACAAGGCGGCCTCGCTGCAGCACGACTTGGCGCTGCTGATACTGCAGGAGCCCGTGGAGATCAAGGAGAACGCCAATCCCGTATGCTTGCCGGACTCCGAGACCAAGTTCGATGACTCGCGCTGCCTCGTCACCGGCTGGGGCAGAGACAAGTACGGTCGGTATTTTTTAATTAAATTTATTACGATCGCGTGCGCGTACGTATCGATTGTATGACCTTCTGAACGGAGAAAATTACGATGCAGCTGGACGCTATCAATCCATTCTCAAGAAGGTTCGTTTATCGATAATTCCGAACGAGTCGTGCGAGCAGCAGCTGCGTCACACAAGACTGGGCCGAAGATTCACGCTGGGAAAAAGTTTCGTTTGCGCTGGTGGCAAAGCGGACGCCGACTCCTGCATAGTAAGATAAACATTCAACACCATCACATTCATTCGAGTCGTATTATATAAATTTAAAATAAATGTGTCAGGGTGACGGTGGAAGTCCTCTCGTCTGCCCGTTGAGGTCCGATCCGCGGATCTACGTGCAGGTCGGCATCGTGTCCTGGGGCATCGACTGCGGCGGGCCCGACGTGCCGGGCGTCTACGCCAGCACCGTCCAGGCGCGCGCCTGGATCGACGAGCAGCTCATGTTTCACAATCTGGACAACAGCGTTTATCGCTATCAGGAGCCTACGTTACCTTTTGGATTCGACGACTATACGTGACGATGACGCGACCGATCGAGCCGCTATTGTATTGCGTACGTGTGTGTTGCCCGACGAAAGAAAAGAAAAAAAATGTTTGATGATTTTTGTTGCGTACTTGCAGCGTTCGAGTGATCTGCCAACCATCCAAATCGATTCGACGATGAGCGCGACGATGTTACGAAAAAATAGAGGAAAGAATAATTATTTTACACTTTTCGAGACTCGAATGAATTTGACATTATTCTCGATCAAGAAATAAGAAATATTTTTTTATATAATTTAAGTCCACTTTTTTATAATTACTATCTGTATCATAATATAAATCAATCAATTGCAGACAAAAACATTTATTGATATGAATTAGAGGAGCTGCTGAATTTACAAACAATGAAAAATCTAACTCGCAACAGCAAATGAATTGAATAAGCATTACTAGTTATAAATAGATTAAAATAAACTTTAAACCAAGCTTATACATAAAATAAAACAAATTTCTCCCTTTGTGTCTCCCTCTTATTATTTAAAAAAATTTAATTACGTAGAATCCGCTCTAATAAATTTATTTATCACTTTTATGATAAAAAAAAAGAATTGCACGAAATTTTATAATCATAAATTATTTAGGAATTTCGGCCATCGCCGTGCTATATGCGAAGCCTATATCTTTTATTTGTATTTATTCTTATTTTGTACGTCTAAATTTTACATAATTAACAGGGAGAGACAGAAAACAATAAGAGGTTTCAGTCAAATGACACAATTCGTAGCTTCAATTGGTATAGGTGTAGCTCACAAGGCTTTGCTCTTCGCAAAAGTGACTTATGTAAGTACAGGGCACCGCTCCAAGATGAAAATTTTCAGATTTTAAACATAAAAAAATGAAAAAAAAACATACAATCCATAAAATGATAATATAAAAGAGAGAGAAATTAAAAATATTTCATCAAATTATATTACTTTCATGGGTAAACTATGTAAAACAAAAATAAAAAGCATTATTAAAATTTTGTGGATCCTCCAGGGTAAGTAAATGAGTAGCTGTCATATACCCAGTAGACTACCGCGACTCGGACTAATATTTATGTAAAAATACGCATGTTTCACGCCCCCTGTGATATACAATATAAAATAAAGAAATTGGAAAAATTGTTGTCGCACTCGTGGATCCACCGCATGCGTGTCAGCTGATTCCAAATCAACTGCACCAGCTCATCGAGTTCGTTTTAATATAGCACGATGTAATTAGATAAGTAATATGTATTATCGTAAAAAACAACATTTGAAGGCTCTCGTTGCAAAATTTGTTTTTTAATATACCTATAGATTCACAAGATGTACAGGATTGAATTATGCTATTTATAATATGTAACCGCGGCGGGCCGCCGAAAAAAAAAATACAAAAAATAAAAATAAATGACAAAAGTAATGTTTGCATCATTAATCAATTTCGATCTCGAAAAATCGAAGAAAACCTTCGCACGTAATAGTAATAATCGGTCAGACCATTACACGTACGCTTCGAGTCCTTGGATGTGGCTACGTTTCTCGAGAAAGAAGTGAGAGTATAAGCTTGCGTGCAGTCTTTTTGTTATTATATATCGCTGGTCGTGATCGTTGTCGTAACACGCGTTAAAAAACGCTTGCTTAATTCGCTCGCACGCGAAAAAAAAAAGACTCCGAGAGAATAAAAGTCGAATTAAAAATAATATTTTATTATTATTATTATCGTTATATACACGCGTGCCGCCGCCGAACGACGTTACGAACGCGATCAGGCTCCGAGCCGGCTTTGCCAGGCCGCGTACTCCCTGGGCCAAGCGATGCTCTCGATCCAGTCCAGGTAAGGGTAGACCGACGTGTAGATCGAGGGTACGGAGCTGCCGCAGCTCTGGCCGGTGGACGTGACCCCGATCACGCTGTTGGCGGCCCCGGGCTTGGTGATGAATATCAGTGGGCCACCGCTGTCGCCCTGGCACGAGTCCGAGCGTTGCGTCAGGGACCGGTCGATCACGCAGAGTTGGGTGTTTTCGTCGACGCCTTGACGAAGCTTCGACGACCAGCTCTTGTAGTACTGGTTGCAGTCGTTGCGATTGACGAATCTGCAAAAACGCACAGATGGTAATGCGATCTCGCATAATCATTGTCGAGTGTAAATGATGTCATATCGGCGGATCATTTTTTAGAAACGAAATAATAATAATCGATGCATCGTTTTGTTCTCGGGCGCGGCTTATTGCTTTGTTGGTAAACAACCGCATATACTTGTCTAATGGAATGGAAAATACAATCATCGAGGTATTATTTATAGTTTGTGCTGATTATCTCGGTTGTTGAAAATTACGACGAATAGGTTTAAAAAAGATTATTATTATTATTATTTTTATTATTTTTGCGAGGATGCATGCAATTCTGGACTTTACTTTCATGAATGAAAATTTAAAGCTGAGGCCGTGATCATTAAAATTATAAAAGAGAACTAATGCTAGCGAATCAATGCTTGCCTCTCGCGACTGACAGTGATAATATGTAAACTAAGAAACATAATATTTGTAATGAATACTTCTTCTAAATTTCTTGTTTTTCAACATTTAATTCAAAACGATTACTGTCAATAGTTTTTAATTCTTAAAATGTCGACCGAACTATTGACTTGAAAATTTTTTAGAAGGAATGTCTCTTTTTCTATTTTTGCTTTGGCGATTGTAAGTATATCATCGTATCAATGTGGCTCGTTGAGCGCGTGGGCGATATTGGAATTATATTTACTGTCGTGTAGCCTCGTCACTGACGTCAAGCTGTTTTTTTTTGTCAGTTCACGTGTTTACCATAATTTTAATGATGTGCTTTTAATGCGCGAAATCTGCTCAACTCGTATATAAATTTAGTTTATAGCAATTTGAAACTCACGACAGGTTATGGGTTTTCTTCAGGTTGCTGCCTCTCTCGCCGTCGATGTCGATGTTGCCCCAGCCCGTGGCGATGAGCGAGGAGTTGGCGTAAGACGCGAGATTGTTGAGCGGCAGGTAGTTCAAGCAAACGGGCTGGACGGTCTTGCTGGTGTCGACGGCCCGACGCAGCCTCAGCAAGGCGATGTCGTTGTAGGCGGAGTTGCGCCTGTAGTCCGGATGCGATATCCACTCGACGATCCCGATGTGCTGCGTGTACGCGTTCCTGTCGTTCAGATCGACGCTACCGATTCGCACCTACACACGATAACAATTTCCACAATGACTATAATCGAGTTTCGATTTGTGCGGGAGATCAAAATTTTTTCAATTTTCAAATGCCTATCTTTGTCTATTTTTACTGTATCGAGACGATTTTTTTTTATTTCTTGAAAATTTTTTAAATCGAGTTACTATATTAGAGTAGTATATTAACGCAAGATTAAGAATTACTAAAAAAATCGATCGTATAAACGCGTTCATAGACTACAGTAATTTTTTTATCAAAATCCAATATACACCATCGCAAATTGCTCATTTCAACGACAATACAGCTTTCTATGATCATTTTTTCGTCCTGTAGTGTTGCGTTCGAATACTACTGGTAACTAGATATTGACTAACCCATCTATAGTATATGGCCAATTCTCTGTGAAGTCAAATGGCCAAAAAAAAAAATTTTTTCTGTAAATATGAAAAACTTGTTGTATTTGATGTCAGATTTGTCCCAAAAAAATTTTAAGTACCCAGCAACATTTTTGTTGGAAATTGTCTAAATTTTCAGAAAAAAAATCATTCCAAAGTGATTGGAGCCACCTACAGACGTATAATGTGAAAAGCACAAGAAAAAAACATAAAGCAAGAAATCTAATCGAGTACGAACCGGACTTTCATTTCCAAAACTATGTAAAAAGCTTCCTCCTAAAGATGTCAACTACGGCCTGATAAAGTTTTGTAATGGGTCTCACAGTGTAACGCAATGTAGACAACAATATGTGTAATTACTTTGGCATATTTATCTTCTGAAAATTTGGACAATTTCTAACAAAAAAGTTGCTGGACACTTTTACTTTTGAATCATTCTACCCTGATCCAGGAATTATTTGAATATTTGGAATTTTTCATGAATATCAAAAAAACCCTAAAATGGCCAACTTTGGGCCTCTAAAGAAGTGTCATGGAAAGCCCCAATTTTTGTAAAAAATTTTTTGGACAAATCTGACATCAAAAAATCATCCCGATACCATGAAAATAGACCAAGATAGAAGCATTTGAAAATTAACAAAATCTCGATGAAAATTTTTTTCGCGATAATTTAGTTGCGCAGTGTATATTATATGGGATGCGTGTACCTCGAAGGGTTTGCGCTCGTCCATGTTGTTGATGCAGTGGGCCGCGGTCAGCACGTGTCTGAGCGTGATCAGGGTACCGCCGCAATCGTACACAACCTTCTTGGCGTCCAGACCGGTGCCCCAGAAACCGAGCGCCACTGCGAAAGGAAACTCGCCCTGTTTCACGTCCTCGCCTCCAATTATGTTCGTAGTAACTTTTTCCGTATTTTTGCCCGATATTTCGTTATCGTATTCCTGACAAGCTGTGGATACATAATGTTTTTCAAATTTATTTACTCATGAAGACCATTTTTATCTACGTTGAATACCGTCCAATCCATGCTGATAAATCTGACAAAATTGATTCGGGACATAATCGTGACATAAAGTTTTAAATGAAAAGTAAAATTACATGTATATCAAAATTGAGTGTCTTCAAGAAATGTTTTACTTTTTTTTTCAAACTGTTGAATGAAATTATTGAAATTTGGAAAAATACTCAATAAATATATTAATTAAACTCGAGTCAACATTTCTATTAAACTATACATTTTACTACCAATTTTCGAAGATACCAGACAACTTAACACGCGTTAATTGATGTTCGACTACTGTCTTGTCAGTAAATTGCTCTCGGACCATTACAATTGTCGCGCGATAATGCAAATTAAAAACTAAATTAGCAACGTTACCTTCTTCAGCGGGTCGCACGTAATTCGTAAAAGGAGCTTGCGTAGTCGTCGTCGTTGTCGTGGTCGTGGTCGTGGTCGTCGTTTGCTTCGAACTCGACGTCACATCCCACAGTGGACAACACACGATCTCGGTGGTATGTTCGAAGGAGCATCTGCCCCTCGTGGTCGTGGCCGAGCGCTGACCCGCCAGCACCTCCTTGATGCGGTAGGGACACTCGGGCAGGGGGGTGCACACGCCCCAGCTCGAGTCCTCCATGCGACACTCCGAACCCGCTGAAAGACCAGGCTCTGAAGCGATTAGCGACAACAGAGAAACAGAGGACCGGTTTAAACTCTCGCCCGACGACCGCCGATGATGATTTATCCATTTTTTATATGAGAAAAATAACATTTATGAAGAAAAAAATAGTAATAATAATACTTTGTCATCGGTTGTCGTTTTCTGCGAGGTTTTATTGTTCTCTTAGCTCGTCTGGGGGAACTTTTTAATTTAGAGTCACGAGTTATTTTTTACTCGCGCTATAATAAAATGCAAAAATAATTATGTGACTTCAAAAAAGTCAACGTTTCAAAGAGCTGCACAAATTTAATAAAATGGAAACTTTTCAAATCAATCGCAATTCATACAGCAATTCAATTTCAATCGCAACAAACAAAAAAAAGCTGAAAATTAAAACCAGATTCCCACGAAAAGCTGTTAAAAATTGTCTTATCTTTACAAGCGTCGAGAGTATAGAAAATGAAAAATGTCAACAGACGTGTAAGCATGAAGAATAAAAAAAAAATATTTTCAGATAAATGTTAATAGACCCATCACTCAAAAAAAGAACAATAAAACAGCAGGAAACAATCACCAATGCGAATATTTATGATACCCGTATACCCTAAAATGCAACGTACATAATAGCAAGCAACGATAAGTTCTTTTAGATAACTTCAACTATGAATTCATAGATAAATAACATTTATGTTTTTCTCCATTATCTAAATGTCACGCAGCTGATTTTAAATTCGACGCGTTTTCACGAGTATTTAACATAACAATTATAAGGTATTAAGGTATTATAAACAATGTACTTGTAATTACGGAACAAACATTAGAGATGTGAATGTCAACAATTATGAACAACGTCATCGAATATCTTAAAAAATTGTTTCAAACATTTTATAACCAGTAATTGTAACAATTTTTATCTTTCAAACAAATAAATATAAATGAGGGAAAAAAATATTTCATTCTGCCGACAAACAGAATTTCCCGAATATTCCGTCGCTAAATTTAGAAATATAATTTTAAATTATAAGCAATCGTATAAAAAAAATAAAACCAAACCAAACAAAATAAAATAACAGAAAACCAGATAGCTTGAAAAAAAGTAGTAATATTTTACTTTCACCAAAGCGAAGCGATAAGAAAAAAAAGTAATACAACACAGCACTCCAAACGAGACGTAAATAAAAACTATTACCATAAAGCTCCTGTTCGATATAAAAGGCACTGGCCGAACAAGACAACAGCGAAACGATCAACAAAAATCGTGCCGGCCACATTAGCGACGATGGCCTTATTGATTTGATCCGACTACTCGTCACTCTCATTTTCGCAGAGTCGTGCGTATATATCTTTCACAATTCACCACCTGATAATAGCACAATTATTGTGCCCCGAGGGCCACCACACACACGCACTCACGCACTCACAAGCTCGCGCACGAATGCGCGTTATACGGTGCCGCCTCGTTGGGTGCGAAAAAACAAGATCGCTGCTTTCGCGCTATACGTCGTCGCTCTTGCAGTGCGTTGAAAATATTATTAACACTTATTTTACATATACATTTGTGACATTAATTTATATAGACGAGAAATGCGGGCCTACAGATTTGTCGCGGCGCGGGATCGAGGTGCAAAGAGGCCTGAGGAGGAGGAGGAAAAACCCGCCGCCCGATGCGATGTCGAGGCGCGAGCGACTAAGCGATGACTGAAATCGCGTTTGGTAGCAAAAGCGAGTTTTATATATACGCGCGAATGCCACCGAGCACACGACCGCCAATATATATAAAATAAAATGCTGCTTTTGCCCGCTGCTGTGGTGTGCGAGGCTTAAAAAGCCCGAGAGACAAGCGCTGACACCGACATTATTAATATAGTATATGGTAATCGCGCCATGGACATAATATCTTGTGTATAATAGAATCTTGCAGTTTCTTCGGAGGCTTTTTGCAGAGAGAATTAATCGAGAAAGAGAGAAAAATCGCACCCGTTCGCGAGGCGCTTATACCCAAAGCTTTTAATGAACGTCTAAAAAAAAGAAGAAGAAAAAACTATTTACAACGAGGGAATTCTTTATCTTGAATATACAGAACTTGCTATATTATGTATTTTATGAATCAGATTGTTCGCCAGTTTTAATTAAGATGCTACTCCGCGTGCGTGTATGCTCGAATTCGAATTGGGGATTTTTTTATCGATAAATTATGCCTACCGAGTGGTGGAAACTATCAACATACATCACACGCACAGCACTAAAGAGTTGAAATCCGAGAATCCGCATTGTACCGGAATTTTTGCTCGTCACCTTTGTGTATAAATTTTAACAGGACAAAAGAAGCTCATCATTTTTCAAAACTTTTGGTAAGTGCTTGAGCAAATACACATGTCGCAAATACAAACGAACATCATGATACCCACTAAAATGTAAAAAATATTTGATATCGCGCTCGCATTGATGTACGACAACGACGTCGACGAGCGAGAACGACGGTTAAATAATTTGTTTGACGCATGCGACGATCGATTTCGCAAGGAGTACATAATAATGCGAGATAAGGGTTTTAAAGAGCTGAGCGAGCTCGAGATTAGAGAATAGTTACAGGCCTATTAAACGTGTTAATTTTTTAATGTCGTATGATGAGAAAAATTATGTCACCACCGATATTTGGAATAATCGAGTGGGTAATTCACAAATAAAAGTAGGAACAGGAGTTCTGTAAATTGAAATTATGCATGGTTAAATTAAATCGAAGAAATTCTTTTATAAATGATTAAGAGATTTTTTAGATAAAAAATGTGTTCATTTTATACTTTTTGTTTCGTTCACAAAATAATATCTTTTCCTCTTGCTTCTTTTTCTCCTCCAAATGATTAATTTTAAATGTATAGGGTAAGCACTGAACTATATTAGAATGAGTAGAGGAATAACATGGTTACTCGAGCGGTTATTTCTCATGTCCAAAACATTTTTTCCATCCGTTTTGTCTAATAAAAATCTTTTGTATATTTTTCGTAAGCTTATTTACGAATTATCCAAATAATTCATTCTCGACATGATTGAAATATAAATTTTATTAAAAAAGTGATTCTCTGCAACAAAGTTCAAATCCGCTTTACAACTAGAGGATGGATTTCTTGTACTCGACTCTAGGTATCCGGCTGAGAAACAGCAACAGATAGGTGAATATCACGGCAAAAAGGGCCAGCCAATCGATGATGAGGGCCAATCGTCTCCAGTTGTCGGTTTTCATGGGCATTGCCTCGATCGGCTCGCGGTCATCTTCGCTGCCGATGACCTTCGAATTTCCGGGTGGCCAGTCCTCGAGCAGCAGCCAGCGACCGGCCGGATTGTTGGCCACGAAACTGACGCTCGACTCGATCCAGATCGGCGCGGGGATTCCCCGGGTCGATTGCAGTTTCCGCAGCAGAGTCGTGAGGACAATCGCGAAGGTCGTGATTATCATCGAGTCTCGATAGAACAGCACTTGCGGTGAAAGAGAGAGAGAGAGAGAGAAAATTGAAATGGACTTTTTTTGGGCGCGATCATTAAATTACTTACGCACGTGAGGTGGGGTCAGCCCATTGGAGGGTATCAACCAATGGAGGTTGTAAAGGCACAGCAGGTGGCAAATGAAAATGACGGCCGCCAGGATGAGTCGTTCGGTCGATCGGGAGTCCAGCCAAAGCAGCGTCAAGGTCAATATCGCCAAAACTGTGACACACGATTCAAGATAATGTTTTTACTGCTATTATCGTTAAATTACATTACCAATGAGCGGTGATATGTAGACCGCCTGAATAATTCCCGAGTGCCTCTGGATCTCGAACTGAAAGGATAGAAAGGGGAAACTGTCGTTTTTGAGTTTCGGAGTTACTTTTCTCGACGTGTAGTTAGTCACCAGCCACAGTTTGCTCTCTTGGAAACTACTCATGTTGATCTGTATATGAAATACAATCCAAATTCAATCACATTCGACATTTTAATTTGATTAATCATCGTACTTTTTGTAAATTGGCACATCCGATATAGTTACCGATTTTCGGCGGAAATTGAAGTTCACCTCGGCGCCGGTCTGCGTCCACGAGCCCATGAAGATGAAGCAGTTCTGCAAGTCGTAGGGCCAGTTGGCGTAGTCGGTGCTGCACAGAGCGACGAACTTCAAGGCCGGCACGCAGACCACGAGGCCCGTGTAGGAGAGCTTGCACATGGCTCGCAACAAGGTGCTCTGGGACACGCTCAAGTCACCTCTGCTCGCTCGCGCACATATAATGGAAAATTGGGGCAATGGGGAATATGAGAGAGGGTCGAATGCATCGAATTTTCGGGGCGAAAATCGAGGAGAAGCCGGGAGATCGGCAAACTCACGAGTTGAAGACGGATATGTCGGGCAGCCAGAGGTCGTCGCTCTCGATTCGCAACGAATCGACTCCGTCGTAATCGTCGGGATCCCAGCCGAGGTGCTCGTCCTTCCAACTCTGCGACGATAATAACGATAAAATAATGAGATTTAGAGTGCACATCGATCGGCGAGTAGGTAACTTACGATGAGCATCCAAGAGTGAAGGATGAATTGATTTTTATCGCTGTCCTATAAGCGGAGCACGCGCGTGGTGAGTAAAATAAAAGATCAATAGTCGCTGCACCGAAAACACTTACGAATTCCATAAATTTGGGCGACAGGCCAACGGTGACATTGATGGGTGTGGATTTGCTGATTACCGGTCGCACGGATTTGTCGTATTTGCAGAACAGGCTCAGTTTAAGTCTCAGTTCCGGCGATTTATCCGATAAGATTTTGCACTCCGGCGCGTCCCGATCGAATATGCTCGCGGCACCGGCCATGTTCGCCACCGATAGCACTATCAGCAGCAGCGGCAGCGCGAGAGCAACGATCAGATTTGCCGATGGAAACGATAGCCTCATGACGAAATTATAGTATTACCGGGGATTGTGCGCGTCGCGGATCACGTGTGCGAAATAATTAGGAATGAATCGGAGCTTTCGGAGCATATTGCGCGCTCCGCCGAACTCGTCGAGCCCCCCAAACTCCGAGACGACTTTTGCGAATCGCGCGTAAGCTCGCACGCCCCATGAAACGCGATACAATTGCCAACCGCTCCGTACCTATCATCGGCCGTTTGATACCGATGTAATGTGCGAAGTTGCAAATTGCGATGCTTGAAAAAGTCAATATACTCGTTACGCCCCTTCGTAATCTATATTATACGATGATCGAGAGAAGACTGGTCAGTTGAAAATTTATCATTCGGTATACTGCGTATGGAAAGTTCAACGCTATTTTTTGTTTTTACGAAAATTATTATTAGTAGTAGTATTATACCACTCGAAAGTAATCTGTTGCCGAACTCCGATTACTATTACTATTTTTATTTAATGATAAATAGAGAATAGTAAGTGATAACTATGAAAAGGAAAAACATTGACTAGTGCGTTGACGTTTTCAAATGTTCATTTGACTATTTTAAGGGAGAACTATTTTATGGTTTCTCGCAAATTTTCATTGAACAGCATATTTTTACAGATACAAGCGACCGAAAATAGAAAAAAAAATTCAAGTTTGCCTTACGAAAAAAAAATGAAAAATTCAACTTTTTCGCTCCTAGCGTTGACTCGATCATTTCTGAGAACAGGAATACGCTTTTTTGAAAGGAACTCATGGACGTCTACGAATTTTACCTTGAATCGAAAAAAAAGCGAAACAAAAAAAAACAAAACAATCGAGTATAAGGAATCGAAGCGTCATTAAAGGCGATCGATCCTTCGAAAAAACGCGCGCGCGAGAGCTGATAATTTCGCCGTCGATTGTAGAAAAGCCGAGTCGCGAGACCGTAACTTTACACGCAACACGCGATGTTATATAGGATATATATAATAAAAGCTGCTGCTGCTGTGCATGGTATATGTATAAAAAAGAAAGACCTGCCGATACATCGATTGCGCGTGTGTGCGTGTGAACTGCGTGTCCATGAGAATAGGGTGTACCGAGTAGGCTGCTGCTGTATCCACGAGTACCGCAAGTGCGGAGTCTCAAGTTTCTGTGTGCGCGCGTATAAGTGTATGTGTGTGTGTGCGTGTGTGTGTTTAACATGAAACACACTCTATAATACAGACTGTGTGTAAGTCTGAAGTCTCTCACTCTAGTCTCTCTTTCGTACATAATACACATATTCTGCGCGTATGTATCGCAAATGCAGCGCTCGGCGCGCTCGATCAAGTACATGTACACTGGCGTTTCACGCATATATGGTGGTGTACTGTGGTATATATAAATATACATAGAGGCATAGGCTTCGAGGCACAGCGGCTCTCCGCCGATGATAATGACTACGCCACGTCCCCTCTGTCATCGAGCTCCTTTCTGGCGCGTTTGAGATATTAAAATGTCGTAGTCGTCTCTGCCCTGCAGTCGCGTTGAGATTTAAACGCGCCACGAGAACATTATCAGACCCGATTTGCACCGAGTGTACTGCTGCTGCTGCTGCTGCTGCTGCTGCTACTTGCTGTCGTGGTGTCTCTGTGTGTATGTGATAGTACAGTACATATACAGCCCACTACGTATATCTATATGTGTGCGAACGTGTGCCTATATAGTGGTCATCGGCATTAGGGGCTGTGGCTGCTGCTGCTGCTACTGCTGCTGCTGCTCCGCAACGAGAGATCTGCGTTCAGCTGCCACCATTACAGCAGCTCCGACGTCGCTGATAATTTCGCGATGTCAAGAACTTTGCGTTCCGATCGCTGCGATTTCTTCAATATCATCGGTGATAGTGTAACGAAGGCAACCGCGCGTCAAGTCCCAAGCTCGCCAGTGTATCACGCAGAATCGAGGCGAGGAGCCTCGACGACGTCTTCGCTCCGTTTTGTACATAGCAGTTTATCGCGAACTTAACCTGTACGCCAACGACCAAGAGAGAGAGAGAGAGAGAGAGAGATTTCACAGCCAACCCGAGTGTGTATGTACGCGAGGATCGTATACACACACGCAGCAGAGCTCCACAAATCGTATACAACATTGCCTTACACGCCTCTTTTTGCTGTTAATTCGATTCACGGCAATAGCATTTATTAGGTAAGTCGATTAGAATTTGTGCCTGTGTGCTAAACACGATTTTTGGTGACTAACTCAGACCACTTCCCCTCCCCGTTGATTCCGCTGCAACAAAATTTATAACAAAGCAAAGATCTATACTTTGTTTAGCGATATAGTTTGTTGAATTCACACGTTGCATTTGTTAAAGTTATTTATTTTCTCTAATTTTTTTTCTATTTCACCATATGTACGACTTCTAACATCAACAACAAATCATTACTGCTTCTAGCTTGGTCCATGAAAAACAAATTGTCCTCTCTGGGTCATTAACATTTGCAACATAATTTACTCCTGCACATTGAATCATTTTCATGTACAATCATATTAATTGTCAAACATTTATTATTTTGTATATGTGTAGTAAAGTAATTACTCATTCTATTGTCAAATTGATGCTGCATTTTTGACAGTTGATCAAAGCTGATAAAATACAAACAATCAACAATTGTCTTGTCAATTGATTATCTTCTACTGTGCTGTGCATAGACTTGCAAGCAAATGATCTAGCTTGTAGTTTAATAATGTATCAATTGATAAAAACTACTCCATTACTCCGTGCTTGAATAAAATTTATTGAAGTGAAGGAAAAAAAATAAAACTGCAGCATTGATCAAATGAATTCTGTGCAAATGTCAAACATTGCACTTTACAAAAAGTGGCTATTATCATCAATCTTTTGTGATAAAACGTGAATCATTGCGGGCTCCTTTTCCGAATGAATAGGCCACTCTCTCTCTCTGACGCACAACTTTTGTACTCGAATGTTGTATGCATTTTATATAAATCAAACGATCTCGATCGTGTTTTCGTGCGTGTATGTGTGCGGGCGGTGTATATACGGTTTCGGTTATACAGTCAGTCGTGTATCTATATATCCACGGCCCAGAGAGATGCATAGCATGTGCGTGCTTGACTGCGGCCGACCGACTGTACACACAGACACACACAATGGTCATACCTTTAAACTTTTCAGCGGCGACGTTTGGGCCACGGTCAGAGACCTCTATTTATATTGTTTTGTTGCTCTCGTACATTTTTCTACGCACGCAGACGTCGTCGCGTCCAGAAAGCAGTGCATTATATATAGAGTGCGCTGATGGTGTGTGTCTCTCTTTCTCTCTCGCGATCTATATAGATATATGTGTGTGCGTTGTGTGTTTGTAAAGTATGCATGCGTTGGTCGTCGTCGTCGTCGTCGTCACCTCCATCGTCATCACGTGTGCGAGAAAGAGAAAGACAGCGGCTGCGGCGGCGGCGGTGGTGGCGGCGGCGACAGTAGTGATTCACAATATGCATGTGTGTATACGTACATAGACGCGCGTCGCGCGGAGGCTTTTATGTGTGTTAAATAGCGCTTATATATGTAAAATATGCACATGCTCGTATATAAACGCATTGAGGCAGCAACAAACACAGGAGAGTATTAAACGCGGACGTCGCGAGAGAAAGAAAGCGAGAGTTTAGACACAACAACGATACATCCATAGCACTTACATATACAATCGGAGCGAGAAGAAAAGAGATATATAGAGCGGGAATAAGCGCATTAGATAAGGTGATAATCGCGTACAAAGAAGAGCGCAGCAGCAGCAATCTCCGTTATACATACATACGACGCGTGTGTATTATGCGTGTGGGTACGTAAGTGTGTACAATTTGATACAGCTAGCAATATTATGAGAGAGAGAGCCGTATAGCATATATCTACGCCTGTGTGTAACGAGTGCTTGCAAGTGCCGGAGTCAGAAAAGTTGATATATAGTGTGTAACACGTAGGAGGCCTCTATGTATACAAGCAGGAGGGCTAAATGCACATTATAATATAGCGGCGCAAGCATCTATATTCTATATGTATGTACATACACCGAACTCCGAAGAGTGTCGTCTGTATACGGTACAATATAATATAGAACGTGTCAGTGCGACTAATACAGCGAACGCGAAAGCAGCGGGCGCGCGCGTGTGTATATAACATATCGAGAGTGTGCGGGCGAAAGAGTGCGAGCAAGAGAAAGAGAGACGTCGTCGTTGGCTTTCGACGTTATCACTCGCTTCGACGAGTTTCTGCTGATGCGTTGCAGTGAGTACATCATGCTATATATACCGCTCTACTGCAGATTCCTGCTGCATCGTTGAAAGAGATTCTAATGCACAATATTACAATAACGTACATCGTTCCTCGCGAGTTCAATTTTCTTCGTTAAAAGTGTTGAAACAACCAAGGACGACGACGACGCGACATGTAGCATTATAAGTGCGTGTGCGTGCGTGAATGTGCGATGTATACCCGCCTGGCAGTGGGTGCATCGAGTGCAGCACAAGCATGACTATCGGTTTATTGGTTTGTAACAACAAACGCATACGAGTACGCGCTCGCGGATACATATAAACCGAAACGACACACACACACACACGCACATTAGGTATACAGACACCGGTGACTCTGCGCGCGCGATGGGCAATGATCATTCGGTCTCCTCTTGTTGTATATCAGTATCGGTGCAGCAGCAGTCAGCAACGGCAGTATAATATTTTAGTAGCTATGCCGAGAGAAAGAAGCGTGTATGGTAGCGGATTCGAGGAATATTAGTCATCGTCGTCGTTGTGCGCGCCACAGTGTGTGTGTGGTGTGTTCTGTGAAAATAATTCGACCGAGAAAGCAATAATAATTTTTTTATAGATTATCGTTAAAACGTAGCCGCTCTCGTTCCAATAAACAAGGCAAAGCCAACGATCAAGGGTAACGCACACAGTCGACGACTGCAGCAGCAGCAGCAGCAGCAGCAGCAGTGTATTATCCTATTTATAATCTAATGTGTTTTTATCTCTGCATCGTAATTTTACGATAATATAACTCCGATATATGTTGACATCGATATCGTCTCGCTTTTCCCCCCTCGTCGTTATTATAGTCGTCTGCTGTATATGATACACTACTTCTTCTTACCCTTTCTAAATAGATACGCAGCTGTCAAGTAGGGTTTACGAGTCTATTTCACAACTAATTGGTAATGACTTAGTTTTCGATATGACCCGTTGTACTTGGAGATTATATTGTTCCTTGTATGTTACGTATTATAATGTGTAAAAAAATTTTAATCGTATATTCCGAAACATCGATAGGATCAATACTATGCCCTCTGAACCTTATACGGATTTTACCAGTCCTCCGACTGTGCGTGCATTAGAATATTTTATTCCGCACGAATTAATCGAACGAACGTACGAACACGAACGAGGAACAAAGATAAAGAATGAAATGTTGCATGGTATTATCACTGCCAGTCGTGTCCGTTCTTCTCTCCTTCCCTACTCTCCTCGCTTCAACTTATTATGCTCGCCTCTCCGTCACGGACTGCATTCTTTTACCACTAAAAGCGAAAATACGTCGTCGTCGTCGTCGTCTCATTTGGACCGCTCGATTCGAGCGAATTCCCGGCATGGTATCAGCTCACGCACGCGTTCATTTCGAGAAAACCCATTTTTGTGATAAAAAAACTGTTGTAAACACTACTAACCGCAAATGCTATTTTACAAAACTTATGCGTTCTCTCGCGGTACGCGGCTTTTACGCGTCTATCTATCTATGGCTACGATTCGGCGGAGATACGCGACCGATGACAAAATTCATTTACTCCTTCATCGTGTGACGCGTTATTGAGCGTCCCGCTGCGTCTATACGGACTTTTCGTACAAATTTCAAAATAAAAGAAGCGTCCTGGGGGATCGGCACCAATAAGATAGAAATCTATTCTTAAAACTCGTTTGATCCTGCGCTGAGATTACACTGGAATTTCAATATGTAAATCAATTTCCGGTTCGATGTCATGTATGTGTGCGAAACCTACCGTTCGGAAATACAGCGTGTGTCGGCCGTTTGAAAATCTTTTGAATCTTTGCACTCATTCAGACGATATACGCGAATTCGCGTCATTGGCAATATAAATTTTCATCGCACACAAAGGACCATTGTAGTAAAGTACGTGTTGTTATTTTTCCCCCAGATAAAAAACGAGAAAGATGGCACACAACTTGACGCCGAGCGTCAACTGCTCCCTCGACGACATCGATCTGAACGCGCTCAAGGACCCGGCCGGCATATTCGAGCTGATCGAGGTCGTCGGCAATGGCACCTACGGCCAGGTGTACAAGGGCCGTCACACGAAGACCGGCCAGCTGGCCGCCATCAAGGTCATGGACGTCACCGAGGACGAGGAGGAGGAGATCAAGCTCGAGATCAACGTGCTCAAGCGCTACTCGAATCACAGGAACATCGCCACGTATTACGGGGCCTTCATCAAGAAGTCGCCGCCGGGCAAGGACGATCAGCTCTGGCTCGTCATGGAGTACTGCGGCGCGGGCTCCGTGACGGATCTCGTCAAGTCGACCAAGGGCCAGAGCCTCAAGGAGGAGTGGATAGCCTACATATCACGCGAGATCCTGCGCGGTCTCAGCTACCTGCACAGCAACAAGGTCATTCATCGCGACATCAAGGGCCAGAACGTGCTGCTGACGGACAACGCCGAGGTGAAGCTCGTCGATTTCGGCGTGAGCGCCCAGCTGGACCGCACGATCGGCCGGCGCAACACCTTCATCGGCACGCCCTACTGGATGGCGCCCGAGGTCATAGCCTGCGACGAGAACCCCGAGGCCACGTACGACAACAGAAGCGACCTCTGGTCGCTGGGCATCACCGCCCTCGAGATGGCCGAGTCGCAGCCGCCGCTCTGCGACCTCCACCCGATGAGGGCGCTCTTTCTCATTCCGCGCAATCCGCCGCCTCGTCTCAAGTCCAAGAAGTGGGCCAAAAAGTTTCACGGCTTCATCGAGACGGTACTGGTCAAGGACTATCATCAGCGCCCCTACACGGAGCAGCTGCTCAAGCATCCCTTCATTAGGGACCAACCGACGGAGAGGCAGGTGCGAATCCAGCTCAAGGACCACATCGACCGATGCAAGAAGCGCAAGCAGGAGAAGGAGCGCGACGATTACCGATACAGCGGCAGCGAGAACGAGGACGACGAGCCCGCCATCGCCGGCGAGCCCTCGTCCATCATACAGGCGCCCGGCGGCGATACCCTGCGTCGCAACTTCCAGCAGATCCAGGAGGGACGCACGCTCTCGCAAGATCTGCCCATCATGGGCCATCACGGACCGCAGGTGCCGCCGCCGAAGGAGCCGCCACAGAGCAGGCGTCCGGCCGAGCGACCGAAGGAACCGGAGCCTCGACCTGCGCTACCGCATCGGTTGATAGTCGTGCCGGATCCTCATCCGCCGTCACGTCCGTTGCCACCTACCCCGAAGGACGACCCGCGCTTGCCACCGTCGCACAAGGCGCCCACGCCGCCCTCGAATCACCACGCTCAGTTGCCGAGCAGCAGCAGTCACAGCGCTGGTGGCGCGGCCGGCGCGGCTGGTCAACGCAACAGCCACGTGTTCAAGCCCATGGCCCTGATGATCGAGAGCGACAGCGACGACGACATGGAGGAGCCCGTCGGCGCGGGTAACAACCGCAACGACGGCACCCTGCTGGCCAGCGATCCGCCCAAGCCGTTGCCACAGCTCGACGAGTCGCCCGGACCCGCCGCGGCGCCGCGCAGCGCGCCCAATCGTCCGCTGCCGCCAACTCCCGACGAGGAGGGCGCCGCCGAGGGACAGGCCCCGCCACCCGCCGCCAAGCGACCCGAGCGCGCGTCCCGACCGCCGCCCTCGTCGGACTTCCAGAGGCTGGACTCGCCGGGCTCGCGCACCAGCTCGGTTCTGCCCGACCTGCTCACCTCGTCGCCGGGTCAGCGTCAAGACAAATCCATCAGCGAGGAGTACCGGCAGGCCGTCAAGTCGCCTCCGCTGGCTCTGCAGCAGAAGCAGCGCTCGTTCCTCACGTTCGGATTCGGTGCTGGTCCCGCGCGACGCGAGTCGCACGTCAACGTCAACGTCACGCCCACCGGTCACGACATGGGCAGCGACACACCCGAGATACGCAAGTACAAGAAGCGCTTCAACAGCGAGATACTGTGCGCCGCGCTCTGGGGCGTCAACCTGCTCATCGGTACCGAGAACGGACTCATGCTGCTCGACCGTAGCGGTCAGGGCAAGGTGTACCAGCTCATCAGCAGGCGACGCTTCCAGCAGATGGAGGTGCTCGAAGGCCAAAATATTCTCGTAACCATCAGTGGCAAGAAGAATCGCGTTCGCGTTTACTATCTCAGCTGGTTGAAGAGCAAGATTTTGCGTACCGACGGACACAGCGAACAAGTGGAGAGACGAAACGGTTGGATCAACGTCGGCGATCTGCAGGGTGCAGTTCACTTCAAAATTGTCAAGTACGAGCGAATCAAATTCCTCGTAATCGCCCTGAAGGAGTCCATCGAAATTTACGCCTGGGCGCCGAAACCCTATCACAAGTTCATGGCTTTCAAATCATTCGGTGAATTGGCCCATCGGCCACTGCTCGTCGATCTCACGGTCGAAGAGGGCACGCGTCTCAAAGTCATCTACGGCAGTACCGATGGTTTCCACGCCGTTGATCTCGACTCCGCCACCGTCTACGACATTTATTTGCCCAAGCACACGCAGGGACCCATAAGTCCGCACTGCATCGTCACCCTGCCCAACAGCAATGGCATGCAACTGCTCCTCTGCTACGATAACGAAGGTGTCTACGTGAACACTTACGGCCGAGTATCCAAGACCATGGTTCTTCAGTGGGGTGAAATGCCCACGAGCGTCGCTTATATCGGCATCGGACAGATCATGGGCTGGGGAAACAAAGCCATAGAGATTCGCAGCGTCGAAAGTGGACATCTCGATGGCGTTTTCATGCACAAAAAAGCTCAACGCCTGAAATTCCTCTGCGAGCGCAACGATAAGGTCTTCTTCTCGTCGGCCAAGGGCGGAAGCTCGTGTCAAATTTACTTCATGACTCTCAACAAGCCCGGCATGGCCAATTGGTGATCAAATTTTCTACGTTTCCAGAATTTATACTCTAGCCAGACCCTCACCTCCATGCGTACTCTCATTAGAAACAAATTTCAATTGAAAGTACCCCGTGAGGCAGAAAAACAAATCAACCTAGGGAATGTACGCTGTTCCCTACCAAATGCTCAATTTTTAAAAAGTTACATAAATAAGGTACTGAAATGGCTAACGAAGGGTATCCACCTCTAGCTGTCAAATGATAATGTTTATTACTAATTTTTTTTATCATTTATATTGAATTCTTACAGTTATAGTAATTGCCATTCTCTGTATTTAATCGGTTCTATCCGAATTGTGGTATCAATTGTAGCTATTACGAGTTGCATTAAATATCGGGCACACAATTCTTATTATGAGAATATTAAGACCAAATTGACTGAATTCAAAAGTATGGTCAGCTGAGGATGCGTAAGCAAGCATCCTACTCCTTGTCAAACCAAAAATATTGATTCAATGAAGCAGAGAAAAATATAAAGAAAGTCAACAATTTCTTATGTTCACATTAATTAGCGAAAATTGCATTATTTAATTAACGGTTTTGTACCTGTGGTACTGAAATCGTCTTTAAAATTCATATATTTATAAATTATTTTTTAGAGTTTATTCTATGTAAATTGTCTTGTTTTGGAGTTTGAAGACTATGTATAACAATTATAATAATTTACTTTTTTATTTATTTGAAACCGTTAAATTGTTATATAACAAAGTACTTACGAAATTAACCGGATTCTCACACGATCAAATGGTTATTTTTAAGTATCGCTTGAGTCTTAATGCATAAAAAAAATTTCGCACCATTATTTCTAATGTTAATAGTATCAAAACCAATGATTTGTGCTTTTCAAATTTATTCAGATTATAATGTGAATACTAATGTAAATAGTTTTAATTTCTAAGAGCCAAACATTCAGTGAAATAATTTTCTGATTAGTAAGGGTTATTTGTATCAATGTAAATGGATGGTCGTGAAAAGTCATGCAATATGTGTTTAAACCATTTTTATCTGTTGTCAAGTACCATGACTGCTAAAAGCTAAAATTTATGTTATAATTATAGCTTTATTTTCTCTTACTAATAAAAACTCACATTTTTCATAATAAGAACAAATTATAGTAACTTTTTTATTTATTACTTCATAAGATAGCATTATATTTTATAAATATAACAATGATAAATTTTTTATATTATACAACAGTAAAGTATACTCAACTTATAAAGTACTGAGTTCTTGAATGATTTTATACCATTTTGGTGTTATTTCAAATGGTCGAATTTTATATCTCTTTCTTTTTATAGTACATATTACAGACACATTTTTATAAACCTTTGTATAAATCACAATTTTTGTAAACTCGTAATTGTAAGATTTTTGTTGTGTTAATTTTAAGGACCATTTAAGAAATCAAATTCAAAAACATAATCAGGCTTTTTTAATATTCTTTTATAAATGATAACGTGAAAAAAGGGCGTTTTGAATATAATGTTTTCTAATAAAACTATTGCAATGTCATAGAAGCAAATTTATCTACTGGCAAAAATAATAAAAACGAAAAATTATAATCACATACTAAGAAAAAAATCTCATGAATTCTTATACACTGAATTCTATAAACTTTTGTAAGGATAACTTCAAATATAATGAATTTTAATGTAAAATACTTGTTAAAGATTCAAAGTGTAAATGTTAGTGATTAAATGTAGAGTTGTAGGTTGACATTCTGTACCAAGATCGATGGTAAATTATGTGACTCCAAATACCACAATAAGAATGGAGTACCTGACTTCAAGTGTGCTGAATCAAATCTAAGAACTGCCCGTAAAATAGTTGTTCAGTTTTAGTCAAAATTTGAAGTCAGTGCTATAAGAGTTTAGTGAAACTTGCGTTCTTAGATACATTTTTAATCACTTAGCTACTTTAAAAGTTTGTTAAGAACTCAAAAAAAGCGTATGGTCGGTCAGCTTTGATGAAAAAAAAATACATTTTCAAAAATTTTTATTAAAAGCTTTTTAGCCATTTTAAAATTATATTGTATTGATCCTTACCTATTTTCACACGACTACTATCGTTAAGATTATTTGATAACTTGTACATTTTTTAGTTTAGGTTGGATACTGATTGATTATAATGTTTATTAAAGTCCAACTTGTTATCTACAAAAATATGCATTTCTCAGTGTGAACCCTTTCGACGCTCTTACATTTCGTGATATTTATATTTAATCATTTGTTCTGCCAAATTTATCGAAAATATGTGACTTTGTTTAAATAAATAATAGTTAAGTGTTAAAATGATTTGAATTGTTCATTTCTTTTGCTTTGTTAGATATTTTTGGATAATGATTCAAAAACAGTCATTTTTTATAGTTTAAAGTCAAAGGTAAGTTTAAGGAAGTTTACATAGTTATGCAATTTATAAAATGTATTACGATTTATTCGTCTATAAAATCATTCATACAAATACAATTATTTTTTAGTTAATGATATTGCATTTATTATAGTAACTCAAGTGCCATGGAGAAAATATGACTCTATAAAATATTGCACTTATTTTAATTTTATACAATATTTCTAAAACAAAATATTTCGTCGTAAAAAAAATATATTCTATTTACAAATTTGGATGTTGCTTAAAATAGTTATTTCACCTGATAATAGGTGTAAAATAATTACGTACTATCCGTACGTACAGAAATCCGTAATAATCTCGTTCACGCGTAATAGAAAACACTTATTCGATAAAACTTAATCGAATTTTTAGTGGAGTGCATCATCAAATTGCATTTGCTTACAAAGTTATTGAATTATACTAAATTTATAACTATCTACTGACTGAATACAGTTTCCAAAGTGGTTACACTTAAATAAATACAGATCATGAAACATCAGTTAACAAACATATTTCAACATTTAAAATAAAAATTACTTTGGTTTATCATTTATCATTTCAGTCAATAAGTTTGCATTTCTTGACTCATAGTCATAAGAATCGCATCATCAGGATGAGTATAACTTGCCAAATCTGAAAGATAATTTTTATTTTCAAATTCCAATAAATTTTAATAACGTAGGATTGTGTAATTGAAAGAAAATAAGCAAGATTTTTAAAAAATAAAAAATACTGATTGCATTTTAATAATATTCAAAAAAAATTCTATAACAATTTTAATATACAATATAGATTTTAGATTTTTCTACATGCAATTAATCTAACAATTCACTCACGAGTGTGGCCTTGTTGCAATGGGTATGCTTTGATTTTTCTTAAAATCAATTGGAACATCCAAAAAATGGCTAACCATACAAGTGCTCCAACTGAAAATATTCTGAAAACAGTTTCTCCAGAATACTTATTCATAAGGAACCCACAAATTAGAGTCCCCATAGAAACACCTAAAACCATTTTTCGTTATTATAAAAATACATAAAAATTCTCAAAATATTGATGCATTAAATTATTTTTTTACCAATTCCTTCAAAAACTCCTCCTACTAGACCTTGGATGGTGGCTTTTGTCCCAGAAGGTGCTACTTTATCACCATAGGATGCCATTGTTGGCCAACACAAGCCAAGTGATGGACCATGTAAAACTTCCGTAATTAAAAACAGCCAAGGGTTACGAATCAAACTATAAGCCATGAATCTAAAAAAATTAATCAATAAGTTTGTTGAATTGGTTTTATACTTGCAGTGAAAAGTGATAAATACCTGATTGAATAAACAATTAAAACAAGACTCATAGAATTAATATGGCCTATCTTTTTGAGTATGTTATTCGATAAAAAATTAAAAAGCATTTCTCCTATAAAACATTGCACCCCGGTCATTAAACCTTGTAAAGTTTTTATCCATTCTAAATCGGGCCCTTGAGTTTTCTCTTCAGTGTACCAGAAAAGAAAATTCCATACAACTCCTGTACACATTCCTGCTCCCACACACCACCAAGCAAATACTAAAACTCTGCTTTCTGATACTATTGACCATATTTCTTCTAATACAGATGGCTCACTGGAGTCAAGATTTTCCTGAAATTATTAATTTCATTTAATTGAATGTATGTTGAGAAATGTAAAAAATTAAATAGTACAAAAATTTACTGTTTTAAGTTGAGTCGAGAATAAAACATCAAAAGCCATGGCTATTAACATCAAATAAAATATACATGAGTAATCCTTTATTTCACTTCCATGACTGAAAAGATCTATCAAGTATCCTGCACTAATGCCAAATATTCCTACTCCAACACTACCCCACATTCTTTGTTTTCCATAATCTTTATTAGAATCATTACCTGTAAAATTTAAGAATATTAATTAATATGATAATAATGTTGATGAAATTATAGTGTCATAGAAGTACTTACCTAATAAGTTAAAACATATGGCATCTGCAATACTAACTACAATAGCCATACCAACCCAACTCACAATAGAAGCCCACAAAAACCAATAAAAATTTCTACTGTATGATTCAGTTTTTGGATAATTTTCCATCAAGTCATTTTTGATCATTTCATCCAAGGAAGGAATATTTGGACATTGTACTGAACAAGGCATATTAAAAGAGTATTCATCACAGAAAGTTTTATGTTTAGTGCCTGAACCAATTGCAGCACTAGCTATTTTTATTTCCAGACAAGAACCTGGATACTGTTTTGATGGCACTGATAACATATCAATAGTGTTGAAATATGCATCAAATTCAATATTTTGAAGGGTGTTTATTTCTTCAGGTTTTATAGTTTGATTACAATATTTCCAATCAATATTCCAGGTACGACACATCCCTTCATAATCTGTGAAGTTAGTTACTTTACATGTCAAGTGACAGCTTGTATTTCTATCTTTTCCTTTGTATTCAAATGTAGAATTGGAGCAGATATTTAAAAAAGTATCTCCATTACATTTCAAAGTAGCATTTTGATTAAAATCTAATTCTGGTATAAAATTCATAACTAAAAACGCTATGGCTAGGACAATTTGAAAGATAATAAAAAATTGTTTGTGCAATTTGAATCTATCAGCAAGGCCACCAAATAAGGGTTTTGCCACCAACCCCGTGATGGGAAGTAGCGCATAAATCGATCCAAAAACTGATGCGGAAAATCCCAATTGCTTTGCGAACGTCGGCAAAAATTGCATCATAGGACCGGTAGCTGAAACGATAATAAAAAATTTTATTTAGAGTTAATTTTATAGCACAACATTCATTAAAAATAAAAATAAGTCAACGTTGTCATTGCAAGACGCAGTTTTATATAAATTCTTAATGGCCAAATTAGATTTTTGCATTTCGTTAATAAATTATCGCGGTAAAAACGATTTCGCTGTGATCAAATTAATTGACTCAATTGTGGCATTGTCAGTTGATTGATTTTTAAATTTAATAAAATTTTATGACATAATTGTAGAGTTATCTCTTGAAACGACGACGATTAAGCTATCTCGCCATCATTAGACAAGTTTCTTATCGTGTCATTCATTATTAATATTTTTAGTTGATGTTCTATATCAGTGTGGAAAATTCAAAAAATCGTTCTTACGCAGTGAGCACTGATACTGAATAACCTCTAAAATATTGGAACGATACCAAAAGCAAATGCATTTGTAACACATTTTTTAAGCACGTGCAATTAAAAATGTCATTGCACTCACCTGCATTGAAGAAAAAGTAATGCGCCTTCATGGGCATCAGATCTCTGTTCAAGCGTGAGAACATTTTGAATCGGTTTTACGTCCACAGTCATAAATTGAGAAGCCCAAAAAACGTCCTAAATATCTCGTGCTGCAAGCGGCTCGCGTGTTGTGTGCTGTCCACTTGTGTATGCACTTGCTGCCGAGGGTGAATTACGACTACGAGCAGCCTATTGTACTCCCATTATTGTGTATCGAGCAGACACATGCGCCGTCCACTGTATACAGGCGGCTCCGAGCACCAAAAAAAAAACAACACCGAGCCGAAATTTACTCGGTCACGCGCGCATCGGCAATTAAACCCGAACTGACTAATTGACAGTAGTGTACGCAAAGCAGCTCGAGCTTGGCAGGAGATATTATTTTCAATTAGTTTGGATAGGTCCCCTCTCTGTCTCGCGGCATATCGATGGGAATTCGGAGTTTTATTGTTTCCTGATACGTCTATCGCGTGATAAACCGAAGCGAGCTCTGCTGCCACATTATTATTATCTTATATTATATGATTTTAATGTGTAGGCTGCTCCGCGTCGCGCGTTCACTGCTCACCCGCTCATATATATGCTATATTATGATGGTAGACGGTATATAGACACACTGACATGGATTGTGTGTGGACACTCTGTGAGGCACGGCGCGAAAGGCGAAAATCTGCGCGCGGCCGTCGTCGATGTAGGGGAGGAATGAACTCCCCGCCGCCGAGTGCCGAGCGGTGGCATAATTTCGCGGCGAGGTGGGGAAATTTCAGATTTATTTTATAGTACCATTACTACTACTATACATCAAACTTGCTGCATGTGCTGTTGTTCGGCAATATAATCTGCGAGTGTCAGTGTGGTTATTCGTATTGCTCTCTCTTTCTCACTGTCTTTGTGTGTGAGGCCGAGAGAAGGGGGCTTATGCCGCAAGAAATCGCCGAGCACGTGCCAATGCTGCTGCTATCTTTTTTATACAGTAAGCGTTTACTAATAGGAGTTTATATAGATATATAGGCGCATTTATAAAGATACGATAATTAAGCCGCGTTTGTTTTGATCGTTTACGTCGTACGTGCATACTGAATAATTTATCATTTGTTTACCTATAGATCGACGCACTATCTTTACAATATGAGCAAGCGAGTCAAACTTGATTCTCTCCTCAAAGCAGCGGCTTTTCAACCTGCGACCAAGAGAAAATTACCTGGCAGGAAAAAGGCCGCTGAAACTGCAGAAGCTGTTGAACAAACTGATAACAAGGATAAAGGAAATAATGAAAAAGTCGAGGTCAAGAATAAGACCGTTGCTAAAACGAATAAAAGAAAGAGTCCCGTGAAGAAGGACATCTCTGTTAAAGTAGAAGATTTCAGTGACAGTGCTGAATGCGCTGCTACAACCACGAAGACAATACAACCGGAAAAAATTAAGTCTACGAGAGGGAAAAGAAAATCGACTGAGGATCAAGATGCCAAAGAGAATAACGGTTCCGAGCAATGGTTTCCAAAAAATTGGGAGCAAACTTTGTTCAATATCAGAAAAATGCGTGAAAGTCAAACAGCTCCAGTAGATGAAATGGGTTGTCATAAATGTGCTGATGATGAAGCCAGTGGACCAGTATTTAGATATCTATCCCTGGTATCTCTAATGCTCAGCAGTCAAACAAAAGATCAAGTTACTCATGCGGCTGTACAGCGCTTAAGAGAAGCCAAGAAATGTACACCAGAAAGTATTATTAGTGTACCGGATGCGGAGCTGGAAAAACTAATATATCCTGTTGGTTTTTATAAGCGTAAAACGCAATACCTAAAAAGTGTTGCTAAAATTCTGATTGAACAGTACAATAGTGATATTCCAAAAACAATCAAAGATCTATGTAAATTACCAGGTGTAGGTCCAAAAATGGCTCATATTTGCATGCAAGTGGCCTGGAACGAAACAACTGGTATTGGTGTTGATACCCATGTTCATCGTATCAGCAATAGACTTGGTTGGGTCCAGAAGCCAACGAAAACTCCAGAAGATACAAGAATGGCTTTAGAAAAATGGTTACCTAAGGATTTGTGGGCCGAAGTGAATCATTTGCTTGTTGGTTTTGGGCAAGAAATATGTCAGCCAGTTAGGCCTAAGTGTTCTGAATGTATTAACAAAAGTATTTGTCCTTATACTGGAAAGAAATATGAGTTCTAAGTGTTTGTTTATTTCATTATTTTTTTTGTTTTGTAATTGTGTCACAATGATTGTTTTTGAATAAGTAAATTTATAGTTTTGTACTTTTTCATAAAAATTTTAATTTTATTTACTCCTGTCAAACAAAAAAAAAACAATGTTAGTTTACCCAAATATCAAAAGTATATCACAGCACTTAATATTCTTGTAGTCATAATTTTTATCACACAAGAAAATGTAATTAATATCTTGTAACGTAATAGCATCCTATCTTTAAAGGCTACGTCGCGTGTCTTGCTCTGCTTCAAAATGAAAATATTTACGCGCTCAACTCTTACGTGACATCTGATTTGTGCATTTTGGCATTTCGGCCGCGAATAAACGCATTTCGCACATTTTTTACGAAAGATAAACAAAATCGACAGACTCGTCACTCGCTACATTGAATTAAATTGTGATTTAATTCGATGGCAACAGCGCCCTCCCTGAGCCATCGTTTTTCTTATTATTCTGCACATATACAAAAGTGTATACAGTGAAATTGCAAGTATGGTACAACACTGATACGTGTTGATTGTAGATGTATGTAACGTCGCACGCATGCACACACCAATACGAGCAGTTGGCCAATTGAAAATAATGCAGCGAGCAACCTATCTCGTGAAACGCTAATAAAACTTGATAGTTTGTTATTCCGGTGCGTGCGTAGTTGAATTTCGAGGCTGCTATTTCCATCGGACGTTTAAATCGACCGATGCTCAAGACACTTTTGCGTATCTGAATCGGAGCATTCACCCTTGCTTCGATAAGCGTCAAGAAGAACGTGTCTGGGAATAGGTCAGCTTACAGGTGCTTCATAAAAATACCTCGAAGAAAGTTTATGACGAGCTTAATTTGAGCGTCCGCAGTCGACACAAACTGAGTTGGACGACTGAAGTCTTGTTGGCGTCGTTCTGGCCTTGCTCGATTATAAGAAAAACGTAAAATTGTACGACGCATCGCAGCATCCAGAAAATAAGACGCCTTCAGCATAATGGCGGAAACAAACGGATCAACACTGGGTTCAAACGCGAGAAATGAAAATTTTATCTGTGGTGTGGTTGAAGGTAAATGAATAATAACAATGTTCCTTCAAGTAGAAGTCAAAAAATATCCATTACCTTTTTCTCAGAATATTTTCAGTTTTTCAAGATGCAGTCTCATATTGCTAAAAATAACTTTAGTTTACCCATTTTAGTTAAATAAATGATATTCATTATTTTTGTATTTCAGGATTTTATGGTAGGCCTTGGACTACAGAGCAACGCAAAGATTTGTTCAGGAAGTAAGTAAAATTATCTTTTGATCATCGTAATGCTTGCTCATTTGTAATTTATATTCAATTTTTTTTTTATTAAGGCTAAAAAAATGGGGAATGGATTCGTATGTGTATGCACCAAAAGATGACTACAAACACAGGGCTTATTGGAGAGATTTATATACCGTCGAAGAAGCTGAACATCTGACAGGACTTATTGTAGCTGCTAAGGAGAGTGGAATAGCTTTTTACTATGCCCTTTCTCCAGGTTTGGACATTACATATTCAAATGTAAAAGAAGTTGCTACTCTCAAAAGAAAACTGGAACAAGTCAGCCAGTTTGGATGTCAAGCTTTTGCTCTTCTCTTTGATGATATTGAACCTGAAATGAGTAAAGCTGATAAAGAAGTTTTTCAATCATTTGCCCACGCACAGGTAAGATTGAAAGAATTTGAGAAAATAAAAACTTGCTAATTTTTTAATAATTAATATATTATAGGTCACAATTACTAATGATGTTTTCCAACATCTTGGTCAACCAAGATTTCTACTATGTCCTACTCAATACTGTGCCACAAGAGCAGTACCCAATGTTTCCTCTTCTGAATATTTAAATACTTTAGGGAGCAAGTTAGCAAAAGAAATAGATATAATGTGGACTGGACCAAAAGTTATATCTAGATTATTGACAATAGAGTCAATAGAAGAAATTACTGAAGTACTCAGAAGACCACCAGTCATATGGGATAACTTACATGCCAATGATTATGACCAGAAAAGAGTGTTTTTGGGACCATATTCTGGTAGATCGCCTGATCTTATTCCTAAGCTCCGGGGAGTTTTGACAAATCCCAACTGCGAGTATGGGGCTAATTTTATAGCTATTCACACTTTGGCTCAATGGAGTAGATGCAATGTTGATGGAAAACGAGATCTTAGTATTAGTAAGTTTTACTATTTTTCAATTTTTAAAAAAATAATAAACACATTGGCTTGTATTTTTTAGATGACACAGTATCAGCTGATATAAAACTTGAGACTGAAACGGAAGACGGTGTTGTTGGGGAAGATGTCCCATCAACTCTTTCCCCTAATATGTACCATCCAAGACGAGCATTAAAAAATGCCATCATGGAATGGCTTCCAGAGTTTAATAAAAAACGCACTGCTTACGGGGTAATAGCCAAACCTCAGCCACCAGTAGCCCCTACCATTCCCGTTCCCATCATACCATCATTAAATACATGCATGAGTTTGACGTCGGGTACTACTACGACGACTACAGCATCATCGTCGTCGACGTCACCCACGGTATCAACGACCCCATCAGGAAGCCTGGTTGCTCCAGCAGCAATTGTTGCAAATCAAGCAAACCACTTGCAAGCCTTGGCAGAGGTCTGTTCGAACGTCATTGGTGTCGACAGCTTCCAGCAACCACCCCCAGGACCAGTCATGAACTCTTTGGTATCTGAAACAAAAGTCATAGCTGAACCTGTACCTCTTCCAAGTGTTGTAGCAGCAGCAGCGGCAGCTGCCATGCCTGGTTTAGTTGTTCCTTCTACTGAGCCTATGGATTGCAATACTACTCCAATTAGTTCACCTTCTCATCGTTCTAAAACCCCCGCACAAGAGGACGAAGTCATGGTCGAGAACATATCGGTAAGCACGAATATTATTAACATTAATCTTTTAACACTAACATTAATCAAGGAAAATATTGAGCTAAACTTTACTTTAACAGACGAGTAGCTGTGCATCCGGCAGTATGCAGGTTGAAGTTGAAGGCCAAACATCTCTGACTAACGGTACGCAAATGATCGTTGAGCAGGACGGTGATCAATTGGCAGAAAGTAACGACGGTCACCACGAAACTCAAACGAGCGAAGAAATCGATACGGACAAGCAACTGACGTGCGAAGATCTCTCCTTGCTATGTGATTTGTTTTATTTGCCTTTCGAGCACGGGGGCCAGGGTATACAACTATTGCAAGAGTTCAATTGGCTCAAGAGCAATGCTCATGTATTGATTTACAAATCTGAGGTCGATGAAGAAGCTCGTAAAGCAGACGTAAGTCTTCTGCAAAAACAAGAACTAAAATCAGTAACTTATATCTTATACTTTAAGTGATTATCAAATTTGTAGATAGATGCCTTTATTAATTGTAATTTACCATAGGTTGCTGAATGGCATTCTCGGGCCGCAAAAATAAACGATATGAGCCTCGCTGTGAATCGGCTCCTTCAGAGATTGTCTTTTTGTAACAATAGAGAATTACTATACGATTTATATCCATATGTGTGGGATATGCGCGGTGTTATATCCCTTTTGAATAGTTATGTCAAGTGGCTCGGTAAGTTTTTATTACTTTTCACACTTCTTTCTTCTTTCTTAACACACATCTAACTTCTGCCTTTTGTAAATCTTTCGATAATTCATTTGATTATGATTAACATTTTTTTATGCGAATATAAGGATATTGCTCTTACATATATATTTCATGTCGATCCTTTGGAATAATGGTTGCAAGTATTTAGCTAAAAATGTTAACAAAATTATTTTGTTAAATATTGAAGATAAAATTTCGATATCGAAGGTGAAAATCGAAAAATTTATAAAATAACTTTTGAACTATTGCTATCTGACAATTTTTATGCTTTGATGAAAAAAGTTTCTTAACTTTCATTCCATTTAAAATCCTTAAAAATATTGAAGAAAGTCAATTTATATTTTAAAATGCTGGTATATTATAATTTTGAATTGGAAAAAAATTTTGAATTATTGTTTTTCAAAATATCACATGTGTGCTGTTCAATTAATCAATCTTACAGATTAATTTAATATTAATTCACCTATATTTCAGATTTTAAAAACGTAGCAGCATGGTAAGTTGATTATAAAAATTTAACTTGAATGCTTAATGAAAGATTTGCAAAAAAGTTATGAATTTAAAATGATTCAATGAAAAAAAATATTTTGTTAATGATAGTATTATCAAAAAAAATTGCTTTTTTGCTTCATTGCATTTTTTTCTTATGCACTAAATCAAACAAGATTAAGGCAAATCATTTTACTTATCTGAATGATATGGTGAAATAAATGTAGAATATTTTATTAAAGTTCAACTATATTGTAGGAGGATGCTAACGTTAGTGTACACATAATTTTCAGTTCTCATTGAATTTTTTTTATGAGTTTCATAAAAATCTAAATAATAATCATGCAAAAATCGTGCTTGCTTTTTATAAAAGTTTCAATTGAACAACACAATGAGCTGGGTATATTTTCAACTCTGACTTTAGCACTCTCTTGATCATTAAATATTATGGCAAAATTAATGTTTTTAATCAGCACCAATTAAAATAAAGTTAATTCAGTTCAGAATGATAATTATACTTCACACATTTCAAAATTAATATTTTATTCAATACTAATTTAATCAGATTTATTTGACTGATGCATATCATACTGAATTGATTTTATGAAATACACTCTAACTTAAGTAAGAAAAAATGTGCACTGAATTTCTATGAATAGATGTATTGCATTTGTTTAAAATCAATTTCGGTCATTTTGATTGCCTGTAACGACTTTTACAACTAAAATATTTATCACGAAAATTTTTTATATCATTTAATAGAAATTCATGTAACAGATGAATAAGAAAAATTATTTGACAGCAGCTTCTTCAGAGGAAAGCAAGAACCCCTGAGCAGATTTATAATGTGATATTTATTTTAAAGAATACCAGCTATGAATGTTTATTGACTTTCTAACTTTTTCCGCGTTCATCTCGAAGTTTTTATGACAAAATTTCAACGATTGAAATAAATCAAACAAATCAGGATCTGTGATGCCCTGCAATTTTACTAACAACGACGTCTCTTTTTTCTTTTTATAGCATTTGCCAGATTCCCAGCCACAATCTCTACATTTACCCAAGGAAGCTACACATGTATGATTTTCATCAAATTTTAAGTAACAATTATAATTTTAAACTGTCATAAAAGTTGAAATGATTGACTCACGAGAAATGACAGCTTTTGGAAAATTAAAATTATTTAATATATGAATCTGCTTTAGTAAATAAGTATTTGCATAAGATTTTAATGGGACAAATAATTCATTCGTCATAAGTGCAATGAAAATTTGAATAATTTTTTTATTTAAACAGTTAGTCTTTTTGTAAATTTTTGAAAATCTTCATATTATCTTAGTAATGCACATCACGTCGAGAATCACAGTTGGAGAGACTTTTGTAATTATTTTAAATAGTGCAGACTTTTTAGGATACACCTCATAATCAACAAAGATTTCGTGAAATTATCCTGATACTAATTTACTTTGTTCAGTTTCAGATGAATATATTGTTTTCAGGAATTGAAAATATTTTATTTCAGGTTTTCTTTTCTTCAAAACGTAACTTTTTAATGATGTTTGTCAAAAATTTATGAAAAGACTAACTTTGAATGCACTTTTTTTTAATTTCTGGTGTACTAAGGATATGTGCATTTAAACTTTTCTGGTATAATAACATTTTTGATTTAAAATTTTAATGTGATTACTTTAAGCATCGCGAAATTTGATTCATTACAAAACTTTTCGATAAATTTACAGTGCATTCTTTCATAAAACAATTTTATGCGTCCCTTAAATTTTCGCACGAATGTTTCGTTATTTATTTTTCTGCTATAATATTTGTTAAAATATTCTTATATGTGATACTAAATACTTTTCTATTGAGTAGGGTTTTCAAATGGTTGGAAAGAAACTTTTATGAGTGGAGATCAAGAACCTTGGGTTTTCAGAGGTGGCCTCACAGCAGATTTGCAGGTTTTTAACAGTATATTATTTTTACACACCCTGTTAACATTGTTGTGAGTTGCTTATTTGTGTATTGCAGCGGCTTATACCAGTAGACAGTGGAAATGATTTATTTGTGTACAAAGCACCTGAAGTGCCTACTCATACAATTTACACTATTCGTCCATATCTTCCTACAGATGAAGAGGCTGTTTATTCAGTTTGCAATCAAATAAATAACTCAAGTGCATCTTCTGCTCTGGCTGATAGGTACTAAAAAATATGCAACCATTCTAAGTCAAAATAATTTTTTTTTACTATTAACAAAAATTATAATTATGTTCAGGAATGTCGGAGGATACTTGACTTTGAGCCCAGAGTTCTGTATGGTAATAGAAGACGGCACTGATATCGTTGGATATGTCGTTGCAGCTCTTAATGTTAAAAACTACAATCAAAAACTAGCAGTATCTTGGATACCAGAAATGCAATTGAAACATCCATTACAAAGTATACGAAATGATACATCGGATAACGAAAAAGTAAGAAATTTCACGTCAGATAATCAGATAATCAAAATTATTTCAAGAAAATATCTGAACTGTTAAAAATTATACTTGTTATTTAGGAGGCGATACAATACTTCCACTCATTCGAACCTGATGTTCCGGAAATTCTGTGTCGTCAGCATCCATCTATATTGTCATGTGGACTTCTACCGACAATCACGGATCAATCAGTTTCAAAACGATTGATAACTTGTGTACTAGCTGCTTTAAGAGCTAATGGTAAATTTTCTATTTACAATCGAATGAGTCATGCATTACATTTGATTCTTAATTTCAGGCTCGTTTGGAGTTCATACAGTCATAAAAGTTTCTGACAAAGAAACTCATGATTTTTATTCACGATTGGGTTTCATCGATTTAATTCCGCCTTTGGAAGACAGTTCCACAGCAGTATTGTGCAGAAACTTCTAACGAAAACCCAGCACAATTATTATAATAAGAAAAATATCAGAACCTGTCGGAAGCAATTTGGGTTGTAAATGAATTAATTTTTTTACTAATTTAATGTAAATCAAGAATTTTATCAACTTACAAAAAAATTGTATTATACAATAAGTTCTCGGACATATATCAATGAAGGCAAGAACGCTATGAATATTTATTCATTATCCGTGCTCAAGTATTTTACTTCCAATGTGGTTATTCTTTTTAAACGAATAATGCATGTAATTACTTTCCATTTGGTATTTTACAAAACTTGATGTCGATATTCATTTGATATTGACAATGCAATTTTTTAAATGGATATTCCCAATTATTGTGTCATGTGATTAATTGCTTTAAAAACACTGAATAAATTATATTATGTACATAGTGTTCATTGCATTATTTTCACAGATTGAAACAAAATACTTGAAAGTAAAAGTATTAGTGATACTAGTAAAATGTTTAAGAAACGGTAATGCATCCCGGAAAAATTGTATCAAAGTAGTGAATTGTTTAATCATATAATGCGTATTTCAGTTGTAACTACTATCAAAATTAAAAATTGTTAATTTAATAATTTTGTAAAAATATTCAAAGTTTGCATGATACTTACATAAATTTGTAATTGTTTTAGTTATTTTCAAACTATTCTTACGAAAATCATTCAACTTGATTTAAAAAAAAGGAAATTAAAAGCTTATCCAGGAATTTTATAAGCAATTTTGAGGATTATTCTCGGTCTCATTATTAACCGAAATAGAAATTTTTTAAATGCACTATTAATACAGCTATTAGAAAATTTGTTTTTTATTGTTTATAAAGTTTATCAGATTATATAATTAATTTTTAAAGTTTTTTAAATAGGTACAATACATTGTAATCTTTATGTGTATCTAATTTATTCTCGCTTTACTGAAATATAAAATGTAGCAAAACATGCAAAAATATTGCTATTTATTTCGTAGAATATTTCGAGATTTTCTCGATAAAGTTATTTTTTCGAGAATATAATTTTTTACTTTCTACAGTTTTAGCAAATAAGTATCATGTGTAAGTCTTCATTATACAATAATTTGAATAAAATTGAATGCAAAAATATTGAATTCTCGTGAAATATTTTGTATAGTACTTGAATTTGAAAAATACCATTTGCTACTGTTGTGTGCTTCTCTAGCTAATTGAAATTGCTATATGCCCTTGAATAACTTATTTTTCCTAAATTATTATCGATGGTGGTCTAATGTGTTTTTTACAATCATCTTTATCTTTATTCTTGTCAAGTTCTGCATGTACAGAGTCGTTATAGAATTTGATATTTTCTAATTTTGATTGCAAATTTTTGATCTATAAAGCGAAATTATATGTCAAATTAAATTAAAAAAAGAATAATTTATCGTTACGAAAAAAAAAACATACTTTTTTCATTTTTGATTGCAAATGCTTTTGTTCTGTTCGTGGAGTCATATTGTCCGATGAATCTTCTTTCGTAAGATTTTTAAATAAATCCACCATTTTTTCAAACTCTTCATTGAAATTACAGTCGCTACAAAAATAACGTTCATTATATACACTAATTATTGCGATTTAAAATTTGTGCGAAAAATAATGTGAAACATACTCTAGATATATGAAATCTGAAGTTTTTTTGTTTTGGCTCTACAAAAATATAAACATTTCAATAATGCAGTATAATAATCGTCAATTATAGTTACCGTGGATCTTACTTGCACCCTAGGTTTATCCACATCTAAACTAAACGGGGCTTCTGAAAATGTAATTTTTAATGATGAACATAAATCGAAAAGAATTTTTTTAAATTCTTACCAAGAGAATATTTCGATTCTTTCCGAGGTCGCTTGAACCGTTTCTGGTATCTCCAATGATTTAGGACTTTTTTATCGCTAGATTTTGAATGAAAAGGCAATCATGTAAATATAAAACGAAAATCGAATAAAATAAAAAATCTATTTTGTTCACAAACATGGATTTTTGGAGAAATTTAGATTGCTGGCTTAAAATTTTTTTGGCTTCCTCCATCCAAAGGACTTTCTGTAAAGAGATGTTTCTACTTCGATTGCTAGGACATCTAAGTGCAAATTGAAATTAATGTTTTAGAGAAAAGACGTTACAATTGATAACAATTATTTATATTCTACGAATACAGTATATGATTAATATACTAATACATTTTACATAAGCTTACATTTTGACATTTTTATAATCGGAATTTATTTTACAAAGTTTAATCGGACTCTTATGAGTATTTGTGAAAAAATTAATATTTTTCCGCAAGTATAAAGATCTTGGACTGGGACCCAACAAATGTAAGAAATTCGAGTCTGTTGTCGCAGAGGGTGAAAAAATGTGTCGTTGATTCGAAATCTTTGCTCGAACGCGTGTAGTCGATTTAGCAGCTAATAATTTAGTGGCGGATTCAGAAGTAGGAATTTTATTGTTTTTTATGCAAATTCCTTGACAATATAATTCTGATTTACAAAAATTGCAGAGCCGAGTCGGTTTTTTAAAATTAGACACTAAATTATCATCATTTATTTGACCCATCGCTTGTAATTTGGATTTTTCGTACCTGTCGCTGGGTTTGTAATTCCATTGCTTAGCTCTAACACTCGTTTTGGGCGAATCACTTTGTAAATATTTCAATTTTTTCTCTTTAAGTTTTTTAACCGTTGGTTGGTAGCAAATTATGGTCGATGGTTTTTTTGTCACTAATTTCTCTGTATGAAATGATTAATTATTTTTATTAAAATTTCATTGAATTTTATGTAAAAAATGTTATTACCGTCGCTGATTGTTCTCAGTTCGATTCTTTGATTTGGATTTTCTTTGTTCCATTCAGTCCTCAAAAAATTCACAATACTTGCACAATCCAAATCTAATATTTCCTTTGGAGGAAAAACGATAGGATTGTTTGCGGTTTGTAAATTTGTTAAATTAGGTACAAGACCTGTGAATTTATTTTCATTATTTAATGTTACTTTTAAATAAAAAAGGTATAAATAAATAATAATACCTAATTCGCATGGTAAACGTTCTATATTATTTCCTTGAATTAATAATGTTTCTAGACATGCGTGACCTTTAATGGTCGTTGGAATATTCCATAACTGATTATTTCTAACATCCAACCATTTCAAATGTTTTAAAATTATAAATAATTCCTCTGGCAATTCTGTTAGATTGTTATTATCCAGGTAGAGAATCTGAAACGATCAATTTATTTTGTATGAGTTTTTCTTATTGCATCGATAACCCACGCTAAACATCATCGATACCTGTAAACTCGTGATTTGGGGCAAAATATTGAGCGGAAAAATCGGAATCCCAAAATTGTTCAAGTCCAAGTAGGTGCCGTTGAACTTGGACAGCAGATTGGGCGGCGCCAGGAGATTCTCCCTGGACTGAATCGTCTTTTGGCGCCACAACTTTTTGGCCTTGGTGGCCGGACAGACGGGATTGTTGCCGGCCAGACGCACCATCCCGGCCGAGAGCGGCAACTCGATGATCTTCGACAGCGCCCTGGCCAAGGTGTCCTCGAGTCGAGGCAACGGTTTGCTGACCGGTGCTTTTTTCTCCTCCTCCAGATCGACGACTATGTCGACTTCCGGGCTCGTGCTTTCTGGCTCTGCAGCTGAACTCGACGGATTAATTTTTAAATACCTTCTTGTTTTTACAACTTATTTAATGACAAGAGTTTTACCGTTTATTTCTAATTCAAGATCCTCGACATTGAGTATGTGCGGTGATTTAGGCAAAACGAAATCCTCGATTTCTTGATTTATTTTCTCCGGCTCATCTTCGGAATTCTGTAAAACAAGATATTTTATTTGTGTACAAAAATACTCGAATCAATGATTATAAAAACCTCGTTATCGTTAGTTTCTTCGGTAGAAATCAAGTGCTCGGTGGTCGGCCCGTCCTCGTCGTGGGCAATCTGAAATTTTTCCACTGCCTTGGAGCTCGTCAATACGACAGAACGATGCTCGCCGTTTTCATCTTTTTTCAGGCCGTAGTACCGCGACAACAAGCTCAGATGAATATTCTCCGACATTATGTATACCTATTTCACATTTCTCGTCTAGTATCGAACTTTTAGAATTTTCACGAGTGCAATCGGCCGCAAGCGTCAACTAAAAGCTTCGTGCAGTGTTTGATATGTATCCACGGTAACGCACGGAGAGAGATGGATGTGTTGGACAATAATATCAATATATTTTCAATTTTCACTTGTATTGCGCGAGAAAAAGTTTGCGGTAGAAAAATCTTGATTTCAATTTTGTTATAAACAAATAACTATGATAACAATAACAACAACAACGCGTGACAGACTATAAGCATCGGTTATTATTGAAAACTCGTTTGTTTTTTCAATTAACTTTGGGGTTATTTACAATTGAATTTGTATAATTATTCAAATATCCGATTCACTAATTTGTTGTCGCGAAAGTCTCAAAAGGTCACAATTCACAATGCTCTTTTTTTACTCATTAGTTTATGCAAGAAGGACATTTAAAAAATGCTAGAAATAATATCCGCATTCCGCACCTACTTTTCTAAGACCTCTAGAAGACTGCGTCGTGATTTTGTTTTTATGATAATGTAAAGTTTTGAGGGGTACCATAGATTTTTTAAATAAAATATTCATTACCTCTAAAAAAGTGTATAAAAATTTTCATTTTTGTCCCAACATCATGTTCTTGAAAAAAAATTACATCAATTTTAAAGCATCAGAAAATTGTTTACGCAGAAAACTACAAAAAAGCCTGATCAAATCTCATCAGATCTCATCAAATAGTTTGGAGTGCGTTCAAAATCTCGAGTGAAAATATTCACCGCTGTTTACATTAACACTTGCAACGAAGTACTGAGTTGTGACGCGTCATGTCAAACTAAACTGTACAATAATAAAAAAAAAATCATAATATTATCGATTCCGTTCGTTCCAGCGGGATAAGGCAGATAAAAACATTGAAAATCACTTTTGTTACAGACACCGTTCGCCATGTTGGCCGATTACTTGGTTATAGATTTCAACTATAACGTCTTCTCGTGCGTGCATGTGTGCGTGTATGTGTCTGTGAGCGAATGCGTTGACTGTTGGTGTTGTGTGGAGATTCTAAAAGGCCATTTTTTCGCATGCCATCAACTGTCGAGTCGCCGGTTCACAGTCTCACTTTGGAGCCCCCCTCCCTTCCTGCCGCTTGACTTTTCCAGTCTGCTCGCGCGACGCGCTCGGACCTGCCGCCGCCTAGTGCAATGATTTCGCGTCCGTCGTCCGTTGCCTCCTCTCGATCTCTTGTGGTGCGCGTCTGTCTGCCAATTGGGACCATTAGTGATTCGGCCGTCCACGCGAGTGGATCAGACCGAATGTGCCAAGTGTAATCGCGAAGTGACTGACTGACTGATTTCTCGCGTCTCGATCGATCGATCAACAACAACAACGAGGTTTAATCACGACTTTCCTGGTGGATCGACGATTGCTTTCTTTCTTTCTTTATTTTTTTACGTATTTACGCGAGCAACGAAGTTTGCATCGACATCGCAGAGGGAATGGTTGTCCTGCAAGCACCGCTCGAGAAGAGCATCTACTCGCTCAAACCTAAACAATATCGACTGGATCACGTAAGTATTTTATTTTGCGCACATTTCAAGTACATTTGTTTGTCTCCTCTGACTCGTCATTGTTTTTTGTTTTTTTTCTTCTTTCTATTATCCGTGCGAAAAACGTCTCGTCGATTTTGTTTATTCATGAGAGTCGCCGCGTCGCTGTTGCTGCTCGCCAATCGACGCATGGCTCGAGCGTGCGACGATCATACATTGTCGTCAATAAATGAACGTCATGCCGATATTGTGCGTTGTTTTGATTTAATTTAGCTGACCGTAAAATTGACTTTCTATGCTTGCGACTAATTCAAATAAATCAATTCGTTTTTTAAAACTACTATCGATTGATCATTGCAGTTGTGTGACGCAAATTTCAAAATCTATAAAGTTTACCAGTTTTAACTTTTCGCTTTAAAATCTTTAAACATCCTCTCTCTTGAATGCAAGGGTAGAGTTACTGGTAAATTTAACTAATTAAATGACTGTTATCGTTGATTTTTAACGACTTTTTAACAATTCCAAATACCATTGTAAAGGGCGAGTTTCTTCGAACTTGCCACTCTCTCGTCGCGAGCGCGAGAGGGGTGAGAGACCTATCCCGATTCGCTGATATATACGCGAATTATACAGGCATCAGAAAATTTCCGAGAATTTCACCTACGTAGTATACTCGCGAGCATAGTCGGAGTAGTATTCGTTTCGATGTGTATGCGTGCGTGCGTGAGTGTGTGAACGAGACGATCAGCCGTTGCAAGAGACTCCTTTTTTTCCTGGTAAAACTCCCCTGACCCCCACACAATCTACTATACTGATGGTCCTCGCGTGAAAAGAAAAACGTCATAATGTAGATTAAAAATATGTCAGTTCAAGATACGATGTAGATTCTTCCCCTCGTTCTTTGAACGCGAATACGTCGAGGTCGATTTTTCTTGTCACAGCTTCCACGACAGATCCACGCAATCGTCGTAAAACGATTGCGATCTTTACGAACTCCAAATTTCTTTCGCACGAGCCCTTTATTTTGTTTATTATTGAACATCGACAAGCGTCGTTCGGAGTTTTGTTTACTTTCATCGTCTCGCATCTTACTCGAGTGCGTCTCGTAGTACCAAACAACGTTGCATAAGCTGCTCGCTGCAGCCACCACCGCGTCGTCCTATATCATCGAGGTATAGTTTCGGAGCTTTCGCACAGTCGGTCGCGATCTCGCGCGCTCGCACACACGTTTTTCCCATGCTGCCGTGCACTATGTATACGTGTACGATTGCACCTATAGCGCAGCGCAGCAGCAGCGTAACTCTATGTGGGTTAGAGAAGGGCGGATGAGGTCAAGAAAAGGCCGAACGCGATCAGCATGGATGACACGTTATTAGTCTCGCTGCTGCCGCCGCCGCCGCTGCTCTGGTACATTCGGGCGCGGGAGTGGCACTTTGGAGTTGACCCAATGTGACACATTCTCCTCCCTCTCGCTCTCTCTCTCTCTCTCTCTCTCTCTCTCTGGCACCGACAGAGGATAACTCTATATCATTATACCAGACACCGCACTGCGCCCAATCGGCCTAAAAAATATTTCTTTCGTTTTTTTACGCTCCTCGCGAGATTGTTTTTTTCTCTCGTATTCTTACTTCGTTTTTTATTTTTTGTCGAGGAAGTAAAATAAAACGAGAAGCTGTCGCGGGAGGATTTTCCAGGCCAACTTTTACGTCGCACGAGTAAACATAGAATACTGAAAAAGAACGCATACACTCGATGGAGGGTCGCGCGTGCACATACACGTTTTATATCACTGAAATGTGTGCTGCAGCCTGTGAGTATATAAGTCGTACGGGCGGGCACGCTCTCTCACTCGTAATTCGGAATTTTGGCAAGCGAAGCGAAAGTACGAAAAGTTCTCCCGAGAGAGACAGAGTGAGAGAAACTTGGAGAGAAACAAAGCGTAAAAGAAAGAGCGAAGGAAAATTGTACTCATTAGCTTATTTATGCCAATCGTGTGTCTTCGCACGTGCATAAGACAATCGATTGGGCGCGCGCGCGCGCGACGAGCTCCCGTGTTTGTGTCTATGATATACACTGTATGAATAATTACGCTTTACTAAATCTATAGCGAAATAAATCGAGCAGTATATCCGTTCTGCGCTCGTTACGTATACACGGTACGCTTACGCGAAAATCAATCATTGTTAAAACGTAGAGTCGAGTAGCAGCAGCTGCTACCTAGACCTGCAACTGCGATCGTAATTCACGTTTGTCCACTCTTGCACCTAGTGTCTCGCCAACGAATAATATGCGCGTATATGCGTAATATCGCGCCTCCGAGATCGTAATAAAAATATGTTTTCGCGTCGTTATAAATAGGCGCTTAATGATGCTGCTGCTACTGCTGTATAATATACACACACACACAAAAACATGCACGCACCGGGCTAAGTGCCTCGTGTGGCCATTATACTTATTCGCGTACTATACGCTCGAGCCGTGGACTTTGTTGCACTACTCGGTTAGTAGGAAAATACAAGTCGAGAGAGAGTGTGTATTTGCGAGAGTAGAGTATAAACATAGCCAGAGAGATGCGGAGCACCCGCACATTTCCCTGAAAACGTTTTTCCGGTCATTCTCTCAATTTGCTCCGCGTAGTAGCGAAATTTACTTCAATGAGCATTTTACGAATAACAATGGCACGAAGCGTGCGAAGAAAAAAAATAGCTCGACGCTTTCGATGGATTCGAGTCACCGATCGGATACAGTACATCGAATTTGAAATATTTATACGGGGCATTTACGATGGAGATTCGTCCTACACATCGTAAAATTGACACGACTGATTCCGAGTATAACAAGGTGTACATAAACGCACTTGCCTCGGTGCTGCTACTAACATGCTTATCTCGTACGAGACACAGACTCTCTCGTGTCATATTTACAAACATTGTCCGTCGCATTCGTTCTTTCTTTCTTTCTTTCTCTCCGAAAGTCGTCCTCGACGTTTAATAGCGTGTGAAAAATACGTAGAAGGGAGAAAAAAAAGTTAAATTCTATCTAATATATAATCGTGTAGCTGATGATTTTGCTGCTGTCAGCGAGTCGTCGAGAGCGACGAGAAATATAATAAAAAAACAAACGCTCGTCGCGCGCATTCAAAAACAAGATGCGTGTGTTTTATTTATAATAAGAAAATCGAATTTATGGCTAAGAGACAAAATTGCATGCATACGTATATTATATGTGCGCGCGCGCGCTCGTTTATAATTGCTCGTGTGTGTGTGCATGTATGCGAGGGTGGCAAACTCGGTGGCAAAGAACGACTCTGTGGGTGGGGATACTATCGCTCAGCGTGTGTGTCTGTGTGTGCAAGTGTCTATACGTGTTGTTATACATATATTCGCACAAACACAAAAACAGATCTCGCGCGCCGCAAGCGAGAACGAGAGAGCAGAGGTAGAGTATAATAGTGTGCGGGAGACGGAGCGAGCGAGCGCAAAATGTATAGCGGTCGCGGTCGTGCGCGCACTAGCTGCTACTGCTACTGCTGCTGCTGCTGACGACGAGGAGGAGACGCGGCGCGCAGAAAATATATACACATACGTAAATCTATATAGAGAGACGCATCTATATTGTATACGGGACATCGTCGTCGTCGTCGTCGTCGTCGTCGTCGTCGTCGTGAGAGTCTCGGGCGCAGGCAGCGGAGCTGCTCGTGGGCAGTAAGCGAGCAGCAGGCAGAGCAGCAGCGTAAGCGAAAACTGCCTCCCGCGTGCGAGTGAGAGAGAGAGAGGGACACACCGTAATATATATTTACAACAAGTATATCGCGGTGCGGTGGTGCGTGTGCAGTGCACAGGGCTTTTGATGGGCTCGTGCAGCGGCAGCAGCAACAACAGCAGACAGCGGCGGAGATGAGAATTGTCACTACTGTTGCTGACCGATGCAGCTGCAGCAGTCGCTGGCCTGTCAGACGTACGACGACTCGTCCTAGAAGTAACAATAATCGTAAATGTGCGCCGCGCTCCTCGCCGCTAACGATGCCCACCGACCTGGTGGTCACTTGCAGCAGGTAACGAACTTCACGCCTACTGAGTTCTCTCGCGACTTTACCCACCCCCAGCTTTTTCTTGTTTCTTGTTAATATTTTTTTTTATATTTTGCTTTTTTGTTTCCAATCGTCGTAAAATATATCGTTTATCCTCGCGGTTGCTTTCGTCGACGTCGTCGTCGTTGTCGCGCTTACACACACTCGCATTGTGCACACGAAGTACGACGACGACGACGATGACGATCCAATGCAGCAGTAGAAACGACGCATTGCGCCTGATCTGGTGTTCTCTCGTTCTCGCTGCGCTCTCGCCTATATCGAAAAAAACGTCGTCTGTACTCTGCGTCTCGCAAGAGCCAATGTCCCAATTCTCGTCGAGCTGTTCGAACCCGCGATAGAACAGCATCGTCTCTTTTGCCGAGGCCTCGACGATGTTTCGCGCATACAATTATTACACGCGCGCGCTGTATATATAGATGTTGTAGCTTTGCGACCGAAACACCGACACTTGCACACACCGACGAACGCGCGCATCTATATCGGTATACCGAGTCGCCGCCGCTGTATACGTATACTCTCTATACATGCCTATATACATACAATCGAATGCGCGAGCTTTACCCAAGAGCGTTAAAGTACACATTACGAATTTCGCAAAACTGCAAGCTCAGATAAATAAATGCGCAACGCTTAGAAAGAGATAGAGGGAGAGAAAGCATAATATACTTTGATGCTATACAGAATATACAGTTCGCGTTATACAGCAACATGCATTGTGGACGACGGGCGGCCTCTGGGTCGACCCGTCGTCGTCGTCGTCGTCTCCGTTGCCCCGTCTCTTTCTCTTTCTTTTCTGCCTCAACTTAGCGGACGAGCGCGTGCCCGCGATCGTTGTTCTTTCACTTTTGACTCGCGCTACATAATCGGCATGACCAACTTTTTTGCCTCCACTTCCGCTTTCGTGTATTTAGTAATTAGCTCGTTGCATTTTCATGACTAATTTTCGCGCACGAGCGGATTAATGAAATCTCTCGACGAATATAATAAAAATTATGTATTGTTATTAGAGCTTGATAGCAACGCTTTTACTCGCTCTTTTGCTCTCTCTCTCTCTCACTCTCATATTATACATCGCGCATTCTATAGTTATGTCAGCTGTATTTTTAGTTTACCCGCTGCAGAGCAACTCGATCTTTCTCTCTATCCCTGTCGTCTTCGTCGACGTCGTCGACGACTGTACGACGATTGAGACACGAGTCAAGCGAATTGTGGAATGCTTTTTGCTCTCTTTACTTCTCTCTCGCTCTTTCGCAGTTCTTCTTTCTATTCGCGATGACCCCTATTCCTTATGGGATTTGTTATGCTATTTTGACTCGATATAATGTCGCCTCACCCATTCACTACGCAGAGGTCACCTCGTGTTTATCACTTTTTCTCTCTCTCTCCCCCTCTCTCTCTTTCTCTCTCTTTCCTTCTATAGGCTGTATTTATTGATCCATGAAATTGAAAATCTTTATTAGGCCTATTTCTTTCTGTATTGATTTCACTCAAACCAGTCCATTGTTTTTATTGATCTTGGAAAATAAAAAATTGAAAATTGTTCATGCTCTCTCTTTATTATGGAACTTGAAGAAAAATTGATGGAGCTTTTTTTTTAGATTGACAAAGGCATTAGCATGTTTGAGGCAGCCAAAGACAATCGTTATAACGAATATAGTCCATGGAACTACAACTTGCTTGGAGGAGGCTCCATCAACAAGGTGAAAGCTCTCAATTTCTTCATGAGTTTATTTAAAAATTTCGTTTATTTTCAATAAAATTTAATTTTATATTATATGCAATAAATATTCAATAATTTTAAAATTTTTGATTTTCTTACTTTCTAGACTATTTTAGAGGATGATGAAGGGCAAGATCTTAGTAATTCCATGGTGGATGATCTTGTTGCCAAAATCCTGGATGATGATTCCATTAGTGGCAATAATGAGGCTTTTGCCCCTCGCTGCAATGGAAACACACAACAATACCAAAGTGGGATTTCAATGGCACAAGACTGTAAACCCAGGCTAGGCCCAAATGCATATCCTTCAAATGCCAATGGCCTTAATTCAAATTTTTCGCTTACGCAGTTAGCTAATGGTTCATCATTTGGTGTAAATGAAAATGACCAAGATTACAGAAACATTTGCAATGGACTGAACTCATTAGGTCTCAATTTGATCATGGGACAGCAGAATCAAGACAAGGCAAATTTGTATAATGAAGGATTTCCCAATAATGTGCAGAGGTAGTATTTATTAATTTAAAAATTTTCTCGTTCTTCATATAATTTTAAAAATTAAAATTTTTACAATTTTAGATCAATACCCAACTCTGACAATAATGTACAACGCCCACAGCCACAATATCAAACTCCATTAGTGAATGATTCATCTTATAGTTCCATACGAAACTCATACTTACCATTATCGAATAATGGCCTACTTTCAACGACCAATGGTATGAACTATAGTCCTCCGAACTCCAACTGGTCTGACAACAGTTTGCTATCAAATGATAGTACCAAAGATATTTTTGGACAACAATTCTTACAGCAACAACAACAATCTCAGCAACTATGCAATAACAACGATTACAATTTTAATAGCACCCTTGGAAATCTGGGTTATGAATCGCCTTCTGATAAAAGCATTGGACTTGCTGACCTGCAGCTGCATTATGGTGTTTCGCCGAGTTCGCACAGTAGCTCCATGATCAACATACATGATTCCTACAATGTAACTGCCAATGGCCAAAACTACCGTCCTAGCTCTACTGTGACTGATCTTAGTTCTGATTCAGGTTTTCTATCAAACTCACCACTTCAGCATTTTTCTCCAGCTGAAACTAATGTACAAAATTGCTTTACATCAAATATGCATCGCAATAGTTACGAAGAAGTAAGTTATATTTTTATCTAATTTTAATTACGTTGAAAATTTTTTCAAATGAAAATTTTAATTGTAGACTATCATCTATAATAGCTAAGAAATTGTTAATATTTCAGATGAAAGATTATCGTGACACGTCCAACCTGAATATTAACAACCTGACTGCATCGAACGAACAACTGTACTTGAAGCAGCAACAACTTTATCATCAACAACAGCAGCAACAAAATTTTCGAACCAAGCTAGATGAGTCAACAGTAATGGCGGCTGAAGCGTACAAACGCCTGATAAACCAATATCCTAATCTTGCTGAACATCATCAACAATTTGCTTCAACAAATGATCTTGAAAGTAACAATGGTATGCCATATGTTGACCCCAACCTATTGAAATTGCTTAGCCCTAAATCTAATAAAACCTGTGAGAAACAAGTTTTTCCACCTATTGGATATTCGCGAAACTTGACTGCTGCTGTAGCAGCAGCACAAGCTGCCCGAGAAGCTGAGCAGCTTCAACAACTCAAGTACAATTATCAAAGTACCAATAACTGCAGACAATACCTCATCAATAATGCAGATGCTCTCAAGGTTCTTCAACACCAAAATTCTCAAGTAAATATATTATCAAAAATTTTCAATTAAATTTAAAGAAAATTTCAATGAAAACCTTAATTTTTTTTATAGGCCATATTCCAAAACAATCAGAAGAGGTCTAACAACATTTCAGCGGCTTACAAAATGAAAGCAGCTTATGAACAACTTGCTGCCAACACTTTAAACTTTTCATCAAACAATGTGTTGGCACAACAGCAACAACAGCAGGTGCAACAACAAGCGCAGCAACAATCACAGCAACATCTTAGTAGCAACGGAATTGATGCTGAAATTTTCAACCGGCTCGTCAAACAGCGGCAACAGCAGCAACAACAACAGCAACAGCAACGTTTGAAGAATTTGGCGGCTATGGCCCCTGCAGCAGACGTACTATATAATGCCGGTTTAATACCAAGTACAAATCCTGGTGTTTTTCCAACTGTTATGCCAATTCCCGTTGGTGTACCTTCACCGTTATCAGTTTACGATGGAGCTTTTGGCTTAAGGAATGGAGCATCAGCCAAAAGATCTGGACCATCTAGGACTCTGTATTTGAGACTAGAACAAACTTACGAACAATTCAAACAGTTGGAAAAAGAACGTAAAAAGTGTGAAGCTGGATTGGCGGCTCATTTTCCTGGAAAGAAAGTAACGAGCGCGAACAACATACCGATTCCTCGGCTTCAGGGTAGTCCTTCTCGAGTCGATAGACTCATAATCGACCATTTCCGAGAGCATGCCCGTGTAATAACTCTAATTGCCAAGGTTAAAATTATTTTTTTACTGATTTCTTCCTTGTTTAATTTTATTGAAATCCCATGAATCATTCTTTTGATGTTTAGATGGAACGACTGCGTGGTGCTGATATGAACCAACGAGTTCATAAAGCTATGGAACAGTGGTTGGAAACTATTAAATACGTACAAGAATGTCGTAAGCAAGAAATAGCGAATGCTACTAAACGACAAAAAGAATCTCTTCACTGCATTTCTCTACATGATGATAGTGGTAAATAAAAATAGTCTGTTACTATGAATATATATACTATATTATATACTACAACCTAAAGAATTGATATATTTTTCAGATATAATGGCTCTGGCAGAAAGCATTTACAAACTAACGAAGGCTTCACGTTATGCAAGGACAGCCATGTTCAATGCAATGCAAGCAACCATACTATACGATAAAGAAATTGAATCCAGGATTGTTGAGACTAATCAAGATATCGTAGAAGAAATCAAATTAAATGAATCTGATAAAAATAATGATTCGGATTCTACTGGCGATTCGAAGGGCGGTGTACCTACACTCGAAGAAATTGTAGGTCTTGAGAACCTGACTTTGAGGCCAAAAAGAACCCAGTTAGCGGAGGAGGCATCGGCCTCACCAGTTACCAGCGAGGACGCTGTCACTAAAAGTACTTAAAGAGATCAACAAGTTTAAAAACATAACTTGCAAAGGCGATAATCAGATCTTTAACGTCACAATGCACTTATCTTCACTCACTGTGAGTCGCTTCATTTCCGTGATTCACAGCGCCTAAAAATTATCAAGCTTGTTTCGACGCTAGCTAGAGCTAGACATAGTTAAGCAGGTTACAGGGGAATTAAAACAGAATAGGTGTATATGAAATATGCAAGTATTTATTCATATACGTATAAAAATATTAGGATTACCGTTTTACTAGGATTATCGTCGTATTCAAGATTTTCTTGGTGCTAACCAAGTTAACCAATATTTCGTCGAACAGAATCTCCGAGAGTTGTATCGTTATGAGCGTTTAATTTTAAGGATTTTTCATTTTGTAACTACACCATAAACTTTCATTGAAATCAAGTTAACTACTACGTAAGAAAGTACGCACAACGTTCGACGTACTCGGGGATTTACAATGACGCGCATCACTGCACCGGTTAACTTTTATATTTGTTACTCGTAATTCCGTAGTTATTATTTATTTTCTAATGAATGAAACTAACTGCGCTTTGACACAAGTTTCAACCGTCGACTTGAGACGTACGCAGGGTTTTCGTCGTCGACGATGGTAGTAATTGAATGTGTTTGAAACGCACGAAACTTTCTGTCCAAATAATGTAGAAAAAGAAAAAAAATTGATAACGCGTTCGACTCGAGACGCGAGCTGGCAAGAAACGCTCTTTTACTCATCACGATGTGCATTATTTTCTTGATAAATTTTATTCTTGCACCGGTAAGAATGACCTTATACTTTGCATGTACGGCATGATTTTATACAATATATACGATTTCACTCTATTGAATTTGTATTCAATCTTGAAAGATATGATTTAGCATATCATGGTAATTTTACATTTTCTGATGTATATTTCTTTTCATCGATTAATTTAAATCCAAAATGATCTTTACACAAAAGAAAAAAAATTATTCGAACGACGACCCTAAAGCAAATAGGGCGTTATACGAGCTTCTCTTGCCGCTATTCGATACATAAAGTACCGGGCTCGAGTCGGAGCATCACCATGAATTGCTTAATTATTTAGATGAAAAAAGTTTTGGCCTAATCTTATGTGGCCCGAATCGCCCAGTTTTACCGAGTGTGTTAGTTCAAACGCTAGATACAATTTCTCTAGAATAGTTCAATGTGGCCTTCCTGTGTGTGACCCGTAATTTAAAAAATACGCGTGTCGGTTAATGATGGTAAAAATGAATTACCCCCGACTAAGACGCACCTCTAATATGTGTGATGCAAAAATTATGAACTATATTTAAAATAGTCAAATGGTTTCCCATTTTGGACTAGGTATAGGTGTATTTTTTTCATGTTAATGATGTTGCGAAGCGATTCGAGTGAAAACTAAAAAAATTAATGCTGTCCATTGTATTGTAATAAATAGCTTTATTTATAACATTTTGGGCTTCTATCCGCGTGATCCATTTTCAGTTCCGACGAATCTATGATTAACTTAAGATTTCGAATGTCGAGAAACTCTAAAATCGTTGTAATAACTTTTTATGATCAAATGTGTTAAATTGTCAAATATAACTTATTATTATGTTGTGTAACGCGATAATGCAATCGTCGTAGTATTATGTATATATACATATTGGTAAAGTATAAAACAGCTCTATCCGAGCAATAATCAATTGAAAAGAAAATTGATGATCAAGAATAGATAGTAAGTTTTATAAGCATGATAGATCGATTTTTTATCACTTCTATCGAGGAAATACGATTATCATCAAGTGTTAATGTAGTAAATGAATGATTCGAATGACCAATCAAATGAAATTGGATTACGCGGATGCAAGTTTTCAATGAACAAATTTGATGTTAACGTAATACGTTTGTATGTATGTCGATAGACTTTTATTCGCGTATAGACATACGCGAATCGCGCACTTATATTATTATACACGTTAGTTCGATTTTTCAAAGGTTCTCTTCCAACCCATTTCTATTACGCTAACTTTGTAACTTTTTTAGACGTTGAAAACGTTTTTTGACTGGTTCATGTTGAATAGTAATGATTTTTCAAACGCTTTTCGATACGAAAATTGTATATTAAGTAAGAGAGAAAAGAGAAATTTCGCTTGAGTGATTTTTCGAATTTTTTATTTTTCTCTTAGTTGTCTGAATTTTAATTTATTAAGACAGTAAATCTGATTATTATTGTAAATAATCTTGCAAAATAATTTGTATAATTAACTATTTAATTTGTTAAAGCAATTGATTTACTGTTACACTGATTCTGAATAATTCTTTTATTCGTAATTTCAAATATGTTTAAACAATAGTTATCGATCAAATTCCTATACTCGTGATTTCTAAACTTAAGCTTTTATTCATAATTTTTTCTAGAAATATGAAAAGAGTTCATATATGATACTGTTAGTTGAATTTGATTTTTCCATTAAATTCAAATTGATGCCATCAAAATGATTATAAAAAATTAAGATACCTCGTATGCTTGCAGGGTCTATTGTATTGTACAAAAAATTGATGAATTTATAAATATTATATACACATAAGTTTGTATACATTAACTGATTTATCCAATTGTTCTCGCAGTATGTTAATCTTGTTGATTCATGAAAATATGATAAAAATTATTTCAATTTTTAAAATTGAGTATTGATTGCATTGTTGATAAAATGATGTAGTATTTTCAAAGCTTTTTTAAATTTTTATCATGAAAGCTGTAAAATAATTGGAAGGACATATTTTTTAATTGTAAAATATGCTTCTGCATAATGATAAGAGCCTAACTTGAAGCTTTTTCTATCGAGCAACGTATAAAATTAATGTTGTTGTTTGTTCAAAAAAGTTTGAGTACCATATTTTGCGATTATAATTTATTGAAAAACACAATGAATCTGAAAGTTGATTTGTTTGATATTCTAATTGTTACTTATAACTATGAATTGATTGTAATAATTTTAATTAGAAATACTTTGATTATACATCAGACAAACTTAATATAATTATTGTGAAAATTTAAACATGATAAGTGTTGTTTTGCACAAACGTTTGTATTACTCTATTATAAATGCTCTTATTTTGATCAAGTATGTACGAGTAATCATTCAAAGAATTGATCGTCTACTTGATTATAAACGAAAATATATATGCAATCAGAATTGATCCATACTACTCGCCAAAATAAATTTTGTTTTTCCGAATGAATAATGTACTACTTACATATGTATCTGTTATATTATTATTATAGTTACTGAAAACGTGTTGATAATTCACACTAAAAATGAATATAAGTAAGTTCAAAATAATGCAACAAACATAAATTCGGGATTAGCAGAATGCAGAATATTTTTCGCAATCGCAATATAATTCACTTTTTCATCTTCTCTCATATTTCGTGAGCTCTTTAATAGGAGGCTTGACCTCATTAATGTTTATTGTGTACAAACTAGTAATATGCTTCGATAAATGATGAACAAAATGAACTCAGCTCTTGTTAAACACTTGCTGAATCTTTTAACACGTAAACTTTAGAGGAGTCATCTTGTAAGCAGAATTACTCGATAAGTGATTATAAATTTATGCTATCACATATGGTGCTTTTATCTAGTTTATTCGAATTTCATATGCATTGGATTGTATTCACTCGTGCGTTATAAAGACTAATCTTTATAATTTGCATTTTTGGAACCAATAATTTGACTATATTCATAGTTTTCAAACTTGCTAAACATAACTAGAATTAAAGGACGTAATTTGATTGAGCATACTCAGCGTACTTCTTAATATTTTTACATTTTCTTATAACAAACAATAAAACAGTACCAGTATCACTTGAAATATTGAGAGCATTTGGAAGTTGATTGAGTCTAGTAAATTTTTTAAAAACAATGAAAGTTTACTAATAATAAGTTTCAAAAAAGATTCTTCAATGCATGAAAAACTACGATTTATCGTAGAAAAACTAATGAGCGTTTGATGGATAAAAAAATTAACAATTGTCACATTGATCAAATGTTTGAATTAAATTTAATACAGATATCTTGCACGTCATGCGATGCTTCATACTTCCAAAACTTAAGTGAAGAATACAATAATCTTGCGATTATTTGAATGTTTTTGCGATGCACCAGTTAAAACTTTAATTTCGCTAGCGAACACGTACTTAGTTATCAGATTAGCATCTACGAATAATCTTAAAAGTAATTGTTTCTTACTCATAGATATATTATAGTTTATTTGTGATGTGAAAAGTTGTTTGAACTAGATTAACCAATTTTAGAATTATGTTAGTCAGAAAAATGAACAAAGCTCTCTAGGATTTTTGCTGCCGAAATATACTTGCAATTAAGAAAAGATTGTAGAAAGTTATTGTTTAAGATGTTTTGATTTAGGAATTTATATATTTTCTTTCATAGATCATGGGATTAAATGCATGATTCATACACAATGTATAAAACTAATTATAATCACAATCGATTTTCAGACGTGAAAACTCTAAACCACATCTTGAAATGATTACTTGCATTTTTATAAATACAGCAAATTAAAGGGTTTTTAGTTATTGATCACGTAAATTTCATTCTCTTACAATAAATTGAATACAATTTTGAATCCGTGTTCAAAATCAAAATCGATTGTGATGACGGGGAAATTTAGGTTTGATATATTATATAATTATACACCGTAAAGAGTTTTTTTATTCATGCATAGTGTTTCAGCCAAAAGTCGAAGTAATTTTAACTAAGAGAAAAATTTATGAATTTACTATAAAAATAATCGCCGCTTAAGAACGTTAAGTATTTATAATAATTAAAAATAGACTACGAGGACAATCGATGGTACTTGTTTTTCACCTAAAATATGATACACGAATTATAATATCATACTATCGTTGTATATCACGCTAATACTATAAAAAAATGTTTTTATTAAAAACTGGTAATTAAAATTAATAAAATAGGTGATGATATCAAGCAGCAAGTTTTGACAACTGCACTTCATGAAACACTTGAAAACAGGTTGTTTCTTTATGATCATACGACCGAAAAAATGGATAACTAAAATTTTACTATAATGGAATTAAGTAGCATTAACTGCGAATGAAAGTGAAATGATAATGAACTAAAGGAGAAAGTATATGTAAATTTAACCAATAACACGTACCTTTTGTGCAGAATAATTAAATATAATCGTGGCATGTCAAATTCGTTGTTTTGAAAATCAAGAGCACTTATGCAAGTCATACCTGTGCGTTATATACTTTAACAGATTAAAGTAAACGTACGTGAAATCTTTCATTATTTTCAATATCCTCGTAAATTCATGCATATAAATGTCTAAGAGCCACTTGTACTGCGCAAAGGTTCAGAAACGTGATGTTGCATCGTCACAAAGTTATTTTTTGTGTAGATTTTTTTACGCGCGTTGATAAAAGTAAAAAAGTATGCTAACTTGTGTCACGAACCGGTTACACATCGTGTATTTAATCGCCGTTATGCGAGGCAAAAATGAAAATCGATTTTTGAAACTTTAAGATAACCGAAAAATCACTGCAGTAGTCAGAGTTTTTTTATACTTATTATAAGCATCGATGTGCATCTTTTGGTCTATGATATATTCAGGGTTTACTTGAAGTGCTTATATGATTCACGATAAACCGATTTCTAATCAGTACCAGCGTAATTATTTTCTGTGGCTTGTATTTCGATTGAAATTGACGCGCTACCATTGCCCTTTTATATCGTCGAGGTGTAATAATATGAATTAATATTATATACGATGCAACGAATACAATAATAATAAACAAATCCATTGAAGGCCTTTCGTATGCGGATATTACAAAAAAAATATACGCTCCTTCGTTTTTTATCTTTTTTGTGATCTTGTGGATTATTGCTGTGTACGTAAATGTGTTAACTGATTCAAGAAATCGTACAATTTCTAATCAAATGTAGTGTGGTTCAAACTACCCACTCGAGCGTGTATGGGTGCGTGTGTGCGTAATTTAAGAAAGAAGACAAAACCGTCACCTAGCCACGAAATTTTCAGTTCTTCGTTCGGGTGTGATACAATTATTGTCGTACTTTTAACAAAAAGGCTTAATCGAAAATGAATTAGAATTTGACAGGCTTTAAGTAAGTCATTGGTGCAACAATTCCTCTTTTTCACTTTGCTGTTCTGACGAGTGCTTTTCATTTGGATTGATATTTTATGATACTTAACTAATCGTTCGTATGAACGATATTATTGAACAGGTGACACGTTTCGTGTGTTTGTACTAATACACAAAAGTCAATCTCAATATAAAGTAAGGGTTTCCTGTTACTGCATTGTTTCTAGTTTATATAGAAATGACAACTTAACTGTAGAACATCTGCAGAAAATTTTTCTAAATAATTGTTTAAAATATCAGTTATATTCATTACATCTGATGTACTGAATTCGTGCTATCGTTTTATAAGACTGTATGTAATACGTTGATGCGAAAATATTCGCAAGAATATAATAGCATACTGCTCATGACAATACCCTCGGTTAATTTGACAGTACATAATCTAATTATTGCAATTCAATAATTGTAATGAAAATTACAATTATTGTATCTGTTTTTTAACTAACAAATGCATAGTGGCAGTTTAATGGAGATGTAGATTTTTTAACAAAGAGCCAGCGATGATCTTGTGACTCAAAAAATTAAAGAATGACGTAATGATTAAGTCTGCAGTAAGGCTGGCTCAATTTTCGATAATTTAGAGAAATTGCTTCGATATAGTTTTAACAAATAATGTCATTTAAATCAGACAGAACCAATGCAGTAGTAGGAAATGAATTTATCCTAGATACTAGAAGATAAAATCCAAAACTTTTATTATAAATAGAAAATATTGTGAATTGCTAAGACTTCTATTTGAAAAAATAGCGACAGGACCAATAGGTTTTTTCATTATTGATACGTAAAAATAAATTGTAACACGATCAAAAAGCATAAGCTAGCAGCTTAATAAAACTACTTTTGTGATAGCTGATAAAAGAGGAAGAAAAACTTTTTCTGACTCTGATAAATTGCCGATGTTCAAAGCAAACCAAAAAAAAATGGTCACTAATGTACTAAATATCTAGCACGCTGCGATATTGTGTTCCACGAACTCTAATGCAGACCCAAGAATATGCGTGAATACGTCCCTTCTTTCTCAAACCGAGCCGATAAGCTTTTTTCATAAAACTATCAAACAGATTATATTATTAATACATTGTCATAGTCTTAAATATAGATGGAACGTCTAAAGAAGCTACTCAAATTAAGTACACTATTTAAAATCTCAAAAATGTTTAGTATAAGCGTGTGTGCTAAAATAGAAACTGGATGGATTGCAAAATTCAGATGCTTATAGTGAAGAAGACAAAATTGAAATTAACATTTTCAGCTCTTTAGTTTAAAAGGAACTAAATAGCTGCGAATCACTTGCATTTTTATTGCAACACCTATGTGAACATGAATGTTAAATAATACTGATAATTCACTAGAACGAACTGCGATCGGTAGCAAAAAAGGATTTGTGCGTCTTTAACTTTTTCACGTTGCTAAGAAAAAGTCAGTTCACGAAGACGTGCAATTTGTTCAAAAGATTACGAAAAAAAAATTCAAAAAAAAAAAAAATGAACATAGACAATCTTTTTATCAAACTGATTACTATGAAAAACTATAGCAGATTGACAAAATCACAAAAAAGCTCCTGCACTTGCCAACGCAAAACCGAAGCGATCCTCGTGATTTGGATTTGATGATGATGCGCGTGTGTATTATCCGAACGTGCACAAATTTAAGTGTTCCATAAGTGCTTTCCTTGTTACACCAAAAACGTACTTGATATAAAAGTAAATCTCGATTGGCCCCGTGCCATTTTCTGCTCATTTTCAAAGTTCAGATCACAATGTTCGTATCGTGTATTAAATTTTTTCGACAAAGTGAAACACCACCGCAGTTTGCAACACCGCTCGTCGTTTTTGTCTGCGGACGCGCGAAAACTTATTACAAAATAGTTTAGCACTGACTGTTTTCGAAACCCCACCAAACACCCCGTACACACATACATACACAAACACATACATACACACTCTGTGACACACGTGTAATATGTATATCTGAATTGACTAGTGTACGTTGAACCTCGTGTTTCGTGTTGAATTTATAATACATATAATCTGTGATGATTGAACGCTAGATTATTTTTATATTTTGGTGATGAGAATATCGATGATAATGTGAACTTTGTACCTATTAGGTATTACGATAAATATGTATTGGCTGTAAAATAAAAAGTAAAGAAAAAAGAAAAAAATGAACAAAAACAGATGTCTGTCTCTGAACACAATTTTGTGCGCTTTTTTCAAGCCTCTAACTTGTACATCACGATTGTGTGTGCTCTTTTGAAAGTTTGTTTACGTCGATTGTTGCTGTTTGAGCTTATCTCGAAAAACATTTTGAGAACTTTCCAAAATTCTGTGTTTAATAAATTCTAGATTTTTTACTATTGTACATCGTGTTATTTTCACTCGCTTTAAACAAATTTGAACAATGTTAAATTGATTGTAGAAAAATTTTTAACATTTTTATAATTAAGCAACGAAACATAATTCCTAAACAATTGTTGTAACTCACTTTAAAAAACAACTTCGAAAGAAGGGTTTAAAATATTAATACTTCATTGCTAAGCCAGTAATTATGATACTTTTTATTACGCCTAAAACTAAAATTAATTTGTACTCGGCTTTTCTATTTTTCAACACTTTCTTACACGACAAATGTATGACTCTAATAAAAGAGTAGCTAATTACTTTGAAATAAAAAATTTTAAATTTTTACTAAAAATTATACAAGATACGCATAGTTGTAATTGATAAAAAAGTCTTTTTCACAAGGGTGAGTTTTAACTCAACAAAATAGTAATATTTAAGTAAAATTGATCTTTTGCACCGAGACGTAAGAAAAATGTTTCACGGTTTAATGTTTGTTTTCTTGTCACTATGAATGATCAGCATCTATGTCAACTTTGATAAAAAAAAAATAGATGCCAATTAAGCTCAAGGGATCCGAAGTAAAGTCTTGATATTATTAGCGATCGATTAAAAGATCCTTGGAAATAGTTAAAAAAAAAGCGAAACCGTAGAAATCAATCCTAGCCTGCGTAGCGTTAATACACGTTTAACGATATATCACGTATTGCGATGCGCGACCAGTTAAAAGTCAAAACCTCAAACTCAAAGTAAATAAGAATAAAACTGTGTTAATGAAAATCAATGAAATTAATGTGTAATAATCACCGTGATATATTAAGTATCGACAACAATTATCGTGCGAATATCAATTGATATAGTTTGTGTGTAGTTGAAGTAACATAGTCGAAAAGGAAAAATTGTTAGATAAAAATAATAGAATAATAGAAAATACCTTAGAAGAAAATGACGAATGTCAAAAGTGTCTAGTAAATAGAAATATAGATCCGATAATAAATCAAGCAAGTTGAAAAATGTTTAAAAAGCGACGTAGCGAGAATTTGAAATATCGATCGCGTAGGATTGAAGTAGAGCAAAAAATAACTTGAGCTTATCATCGAGGATATATTATCTGCCTGTAAACTCCTGTTTGTACCTTAATAGTTTATTATATTAAAATAATAAAAAAAAAACAAATTAATTATTGACACGATGCTTACATCGATTGTGTGTATAAGTGGAAAAATAATTGTAGAGAAAGTAAGAGCATGTAAGTAGTGTTTATGCATCAATTATAAAGTTTCGTATCGATCCTGAGAATGAATTTTAGGTATTAACATATTGCACTGAGAAAAAGCAACAAGTCGTTTTTTAAAATTCCTTTTTTTGACTTTATACATGCATTATTATGATACTCACTTGAATTTTTTAACGACGCCAATCAAACACGCTCGCTGCGAAGTCTCAGTCTTTCGAGTATTATAATGAATATTTAACAGTTAAAATTACGATACAGAAATCAAAGTAAAAATTTTTAGATAAAAAATTTTATAATCGCGTAACATTGACTATATGAGCACATGGCTGCCGATAATTCATCAATTACAAAAACCAACCCTTTTTACGGCGTAAAATCGAAAAATGGATTTGCTTCATTCGATATCTTAGCTCTCCGATTATACATTGTCGGTGTGATATATTCTTTATATCTTACAAAGATTTAGGTCAATTAACAGTCTGATCTCTCTTTTGCAATAGGGAAAAAGTGAAAAATCAAGTCATATATACTACGACATTTGTCTCGGCGATTTTTTGTTTAAGCATTTTTTCTTTCTTGAACGAGTTAGCCCGCAATGTTTCAAAGTATAAATATAGGTAGTCGATACTTGATTGCATGCGTGATGGTGTTTAAAAAAATAATAATTAGAAAATGAATACTTAGAAAATGACCGTTAGAGAGCATACTTTTGCATTACAATAGGCTCGAGAAAGACATGTCGATTTTTCCTTTTTTCTTATGTACCTTCGATTTGCTATTAAAAACATATATTTAATAATTACAAACACCTCTGTGGTAATAAATGGATGGCGGAGACGCGACGGCGAATGACGACGACGCGTCGTAGTGATGGTTTTTAAGCGATTTCTATTTCATAAAATATATAATAGATTTAACAATACCGGTTATAATAGAGCAAAAAGAAGTAATTGATTAACTTTATGGCGAGTAACAATCTGTTTTATTGTAATAAGGTCAATGTGGGTATTTTCGCTCAACTAAGCCCCTATTTTCGCTCAACTTTGAATTAAATTTTTACATGAAATCAAAACTTAATACCAGCATTTAAATAATAAATTTATGTTAAACATGCTCAGCTCAATGCGACCAATTTAAAAAAAAAATTTTTTGTTAAATTAGATCTTTAATATTAAATTACTGAGCGAATATAGAGACATGAGCAAAAATACCCACATTGACCTTACACCTGCTGTATTGATGGTTGGCAGTTGCGAATTTTAATTCAAAGTGTCCTTTCTATGTAAAACTTGTTTGTCCCATCGAGAATAAAAAACAATTAATAATAAATAAATAAATGGTATCTTTCATGTTTAAACTAGTCTCACAGTTTATTACCTTTTACTGAATCTGTTATCAATATCATTATCGGAGTACCAGACCCAATTTATTATTTATTACTTTTACCCGATATATTAATTTTTGCACACGAATATAGGTAAGGAACTCTGCAAAAAATGACTGTTCATGAAATCTTTACTGGCTCCTTTTTTATCGTATGATTTAACATTTCATTGGGTGTAAAAGAGGTTTAGTAAAATTATTAGACATTAATTATTTGCAACTCTCTCGTTTTAATAATCTGATATTGGCTGTTGAAGCGTCCAGTGTCCCATTATGAAACTGCAAATTTCGTCTGCTCTTCAGCTATCCACCAGTGAATGAGATTGCTGACCGCTGATGAGAGAAGTGGGGGCAGAACACGCTGCAACACGCGCGCGAACGTAAACAAGCACGGCCGGCTTTTTCGACAATGCTCCATTTACAGATTCTTACGTTTATAAAACTTCTCTTGACTTTTGAATAATTATATCACAGTGAAATTTAAGATTTAGAGAAATGAAGGAGCATCAAGTATTATTACGGAAAAAGTTGAAAGATATATTCGGTTTCGACGATTACAAAAACGATCTGCAAAAGAATGCTGTCGAGAGTATTTACACAGGTTAACTTTTTTGTTTATTTTTTTTCGATTTTGTCGGACGAATCTTTCGTGTCTCGGAAGTGTACATTTTGTCAAGTTTCTTAAATATTATGAACTTTGCACATGATTAGGAAACCAAGACGTGTTATTACGTATGCCAAGTGGATTTGGTAAGTCATTGTGTTATCAATTACCGATCGTCGCCAAAGATGATGCACTTGCTCTCGTCGTCGTTCCTACAAATGAACTTGCCCAGGTATACTACACTTGTAATGAATCACAATAATTGAATGAGTTTTGTAGCTTGAACATTACATTTCGTTTTAGGATCAACTTCGATACTTGAAGAGTAAAAATGTTCCCGCACTTATTTATCATCACAGAACGCCAAAAAATTTAAGGATAAATATTGAGAAAGAAATACACGAACGTAAAAAACCCAAATGTAAGATCATATTCATTTCTCCACAACAGTGTGCTCGAACATTAGCTTTGGTATAGAATATTTTGTAAAATCTTTCTGTCTAAGTATGAAAATATTACATCTTATCTATAATTAATGTGTCAACAGCGATATTGCATTGAAAGACATGATTTAAATGTTACACATTTTGTGATTGATGAAGCGCATTGCATTAGTGAGCATTCTAACAATTATCAACGTAGTTATAGTATTTTAGCTGAATTACATCAGATTTACCCCAATATACCAATTATTACTATCACTTCTACAGCAAATAATGAGGTAATGAATTTGTATTTCACATCATGAAAATTACTTTGTTTTTAAGTTTTAATCTTAACATTGAATTTTGTAGATTAAAGCAGATATTATATATAGATTCAAGTTAAAAAATGTTTTAACATATTCTATGCCTTTGTTCAGAAAAAATATTTTCTATGACATGTTCTCTGTAAGTTCTTTACAAGATCCTTTGAAACATTTTAAAACATTTTTTGAAAAATGTTTCAATAATTTGGATAATCCGGAAGTGCAAGTAAAAAAACCATTTAAATTTTGCAATTATAATTTTTCTAAAATCAATTTAATTATTTGATAATATTAATTTTAGACTCAGAAAGATATTGGATTAATATTCTGTTCTGATGATGCATCAGCCATAGATCTAGCTCAAAACTTAAATTTAGTAGATATCCCTACTTTAGCATATCATGATGGTTAGCTATTTTTTTTAAAAATACTAATTTGTTTCTCTAATTTTTAACTGCATAAATACTTAATTTCAGCATTGAGCTTGAAAGAAAAAAAAGAAATTTTTCTATCCTGGAAGTCAGGTGACGTTCGCTTATTAACAGCAGTAAATTGTTTAAGCATTGGAATTCACTTAGAATCACTCAGGTATTTAAGATAAATTTTAAAATATTTATAAATTTATGTAAATATTAAAAGAATACAAAAATTTTTTCAAATTAAATGAGTTTAGGTGTGTAGTACACTGGAAAACATTCCCTAATTTGGAAAGGTATTATCAAGAGTCTGGTAGAGCTGGACACGATGGATATGATGCTTTTTGTAGGATTTATTACTCTGAAAAAAATGAGAATCTCAAAAATTTTAGTACTTCAAAGTACGTTTATAGCTAAAAGCCAATGCCAAAACGAGCATTATTAGTATTGTTAATTTCTAATTTTCTTCCAGATGTAAACATGAAATTCTTTCAAGTTATTTTGATGACCCTAAGCCGAATTGCCAATTTCACTGTGATTATTGTATAAGTGAGCAGAATTTGAGCGAAGCACCTACAGACTATGAATCATTTATAAAAAGTTTTATTGTAAGAGAAACAAAATCCAATGAATCCTCTGAGCAATGCGAAAATTCTGACAAAGAAAATAATTTGATTGTACCAGAGTTGTGTAATGAAATGTCATCAACGCTAGATAGGTAAGTGCACTTTTTGTTTGTCTTTGATAAAATTTGGAAAACTTAATTATATTTCTTTCAGCTCCAAAAATGAAGGTGAAACTGATAGCAGGCATCTGTTATCTGTTGCATCTGTTCAAAAATCAGATAATGAAGAATATCTTGGTGATATATTACCAAATGATGACTCACCACCTGTTGAAGAACAGTTAAAACTCATAGAATCTCTTCTGTATAAAAAGAAGAATACTGATATATTCACTACAGAACTAAATGTAATATTTTAATTTATTAACTATAAATCTAATCATTTTTAATGTGATTAATTTTTCAGGAACCTGGTAATGAAGAAAACAGCTCTCTGTCTTTACCAAAAAGTAACTCACTGTGTCTTGAAGAACAAATAAACTTGATAGAATCTATCATATATAAAAGACGGAACATAAGATCTTCACCAGAAGAAATGATGAAATGGATAAATTCTAGTATTTATGAAAACAAGACAAGGAACTTGAGTAGTAAAGTTCAATAAAATTATTTGTAGAAAAATTATATTCTTAAAAATCTATTGACTCTTAAATGGTAAGTAAAGTTTTAGTCATTATGTTATGTTTTTTGAAAAGGATTCTGATAATTAAATAATAAAATTATGTACATACCCATTGAATAAAGTTTCAAAATGCCATCGGATCTTATAGGTCTTTTTCAATCGTGATCTCAAAGAGATTGGATTGGATGTGATAGTTTTATATCGTAACAATTAAAAATTTATATTAATGAGTTATAAATATAAAATTTATTTATATCAAATGAAATACTTATTTTTATAAATATATTATTCATACTTATTGAAACACGATGGCAAGAGATATAATGTATAAAGTCTTCTACGTTGGATCGTAAGTTTCTTATATCGTGAAAAATAGTATTGTTATTTCTGAGTAATTTGTGAAGCCTGTATCTATTAGCTTAATTTGAATTTACGATAATGTTTCTTTGTTATATTTAACTTAAAGTATTTGGATTGTAATATGTTATTACAATTGGAAAAAAATTTTGTAAAACTACGTCACTTGAGTGAATTTCAGCAAAGTAAACTACATGCAATAATTAATTTCTCTATATTCCATTAGAAATTCATTTATCACTTAGGTAAATTGATATGTTAATAAATTGAATTATATTCATAAAACCAATTGGATTATTTGTATTCCATTTTAATTATTTTGTACTATTTTAATTAATGACAGGCAGGGAATTTACTTCTGCTGCATTTGTAATAAAACGGTAGCGTACGAAGCTGAAGATTTGATCATCTGTAAAATACAAAAGTGTTCAATTTTCATACAGAAATATTTAAATACGATTGACCTCTTACAGATGCAAATGTTGCCAAATTCATATCAAACACGCCACCGGCTGACAAAATAATTGGCGCTTGACTTCTTAATAATGCTAATTGCACGAGTTTTTGGGCACTCGGCGAGCAATGGTACCAATAACTATTGCATCTGAAAAAAAAAATAATAATTGACCCAATCGTTCGGAATTGCTAGAAAAGTACAAATCACTTACGCAGCTTCGTTAACTTTTTCACTGTCATTCATAATTTGCTGTGCAATGTAATTCATATAAAAAATGCTCAGATATACGCCCACTAGTAATACCCCGATTCGAATGATTTGAATAGGTTTTTGCAAGTTAAGCATTATCTAAAAACGACGAAAATAATTTAGTGCAAGAATGAAATGTGTCTATCGAACAACAAATATATCTTTAAAATAATTACATCGAAAACTAACATAGCTATGGCAGCCATTGCTGCAGCAAAAATGAATAAGAAACTTCCGCTCAGCGTTTCTTGGATGATTTGGGAGCTTCTGAAAACCGATACAAAAGTAAATAAATTAAGCTACGTAAAGAAGTTAAAATTTGCAAAGACAGTCTATAAAACAGTCGTATTGACATGATATTATGAATTTTAAAGACGTTACAAATTTATGCACGATAGTTTGGCACGAGACCCGCAACTGATCCTACACCTTGAAACGTACTTATAACGGAAATAGTAATGCTTTTTATTTCATCGATAAAAGATTTGGCAGACTTAACTCTATGGAATTGCGATGGCTGATAAATACGCTTTTCATTTCACGATAAACAACTTCGTCGCTCGCATGAGCGGTCGGTAGAGCATGATCTTTTGACAGGGCTGATTTACCGATGTTTTCCAATCTATAGCTATGAGGGACATTCTTTTTTAGAGCTTATTTTTGATTTTTAATTTTGACTTTCCAAATAAAGGACCACGAGACTCACCATACAATGTTGAATAAGCCACAATTGTGCTTGACATTGACGACGAACATCGAGTCGACGGCTGTGGCGCCCAATGTCGCGGCGCAAATAACCATACCCCCGTGAAAAGTGAACAAAGTGTAATGATACTCGACCGCGTCGATGAAATAATAGTCGGCGTAATACGGGAACAGCAGGTCGCGGGTCTCGTTCAATGGGAAAACTTTGTCCAAAATCAATGGTATGTAGGGAGTCGAGTTGAATACCATGGTCGCAATAGCGCCGTAACCGACCTGCCGAGAAATAGACATCATCGCGGTATTCGAAAAAATTAATAACAATTGGATCGGATCTGCTCGTGATGCAGCGTAGCTTACGTAGATGATGGACAGAAAGCGTCCCTGTCGGGCGTGTTTACGCAGTATGGCTTTTTCCTCTTTGATTGTTATATCCTCCAAATCCTTTACTAATTGATTATAAACTCGTATCATCTATTGAGGCAATTATTATTATTATTATTATTACTTTTTAATGTCAATGTAAACATTCAAATGAATATTTATTATCAAGTGCATTGAAAATTTAAATCTAATTCAGTCGGTTGCCACTTCGATGAATTGCAAACTTGATCGATATACTTACTCTTTCTTCGAAAACGTAAAACGATAAGTACTTGGTGTAAATGCTCAATAAATATAAAATACCAGTGATGTCTTCGATGATAATTACTAGATCGGTCTTATTATTTAACATACCGAAAAACTGAAATGATATTGTAAGCATACATTTTGATCTATTTTAATAAAGTATAGATGTAAATTTAATCGTTGTAGTTGAAAATGTTTTCCCCTTTCGAAAAAATAATTTGTTATCGTCAGAAAATATGATCACAACGATTCTTTTCGTTTCAACTTCAGTGAATGATACTTTAAAATGTATGTGATAAATTGCTAGATGGACACGCGTCGGAAGTGACAGACTAATTTTGGATTACTCACTATGGGAATCACCAGTGAAAAAATTATAAACGTGTATGCCAAGAAAGATAGATTCTTTCTTAATCTAGATTGAGTCGGCCACAATCCGAGGAATCTCAGCAAAAATTTGCTGATCATATAATTCGGGTTATCAAAAACAGCATCCATCGTTATTGTTTGTTTTTTTGTACTTTCCCGAAATATCTTCCGATTGTTCAAATTTTCACAAATAAACAATAGAATAATTTCCCATGGTAATGCTATGCAAGACCGTCATCGCCGTGTGAGTGTCCTACGAATTATTTATTGACCTATTATTGGTAAACCGCAAATTAGTTGTTATTATTTCTATCGTAAGTTTTATCGCGTCACGTAAAATCGATTGCAATCAAATTTTTTCAAGCTTCTATGATTATATTATTATTTTTCCTAATCTCAAAGAAAACTATTTTACTTTAAATACTTTTCGTCTCATTGCAAATTGGCAGCAAAAATAAGTTATTTCAATATTGAAGCAATGAGCTATTGAAACATGTCGATCGATCTTATAGACGCGCGTGTACTCGATGCAATATTACGAAGGTGTCAACGATTATTCGAATAATTAGATAACTGTAATTTATTTAATTAGTATATCATGAGACTTTAATTTTGCAAATATTTCATACCAACATAATAACAAACATACTAAAACGATATCATCTAACAATTAAGTATTATTTACCGAGAGCTCCGAAATTTTCAAATAATTTGTTATTCGAGTTAATAATTCGAACACATTTTTACATTAACTATAAAAAACTTCAATGGATCATATTGAATAGATATGAAATAATCTCATTTATATAAGTACAAAAGCCGCCATAAATTTCGTAAATTTGAGACAAGGAAAAAGTTCAATATTAAGGAACATTTATTTGTAAAAATGTCATTTTTTATTGACCAATGATCATTAACTGATCTACATTGAACAATACAGAGTAAAATTTTTTCATTCTTTTACTATTTCTATACATTTGTATTCTTTGTATTTTTTGTTCAAGTCGCTCCTTGTAAAGCTCTAAAAATTAAAGTTGAAAAATAATAATATTTAAAAAATAATAACAAGAAAAAGGAAACGACACTTGTATCGGCTTCTGAGAAAGACGAAATACGAACTTTAAAACACAAGGAAATTATTAATGGCAATATAACAGGAACTGTCGAGTTTAGAAAAATCTTTTATGTCTTCAAAAATACAAGAGCTGTGGATGCACTTGCAGGGCTATTTTTGATGACATATGTCAATTTACACTCTTTTCGAGCACCCTTGAACAAGTTAAGTGACACTTTTGTCACAATTATAGTAGAATACCACGATTAAGGAAATCTAAAAAATTATTACAAAAAAAAGATTTGAATTGTTACTGAAAGTGGTCACAGTTAAAAAAACTACAATTAGAATTTACAGTAATCTGAGTACACTTGTAGGAAAGTTAATCTCAGATTGCTTCTCTTTTGTGTGTTTCGAATAATTTTTCTTGAACATTGACTGACCAGTCATTTTCAAAATTAAATTATTGCAACGCTAAAACAACCCACTCTACTATGCTCAGATTGTCAGGGAATTGAAAGTATTAAAATTGGATATTTTCTAGCAATAGATATCGGGAATCGTTCGAATTCTTGTTGCAATCTAGAAGATAGACCTTCAACTATTACTTTATGTGGAAAAGAGATCATTCTGACTGGATTTATTAATGAAGTGAACTCAACTCCACAGACATCTAAGAGCTATGCTGGATTTTTCCGAACTTTATCGGGATCATGGAAATTTTTTGGTGGAAGTGGAAAAAAACACAAGACGATAAAAAAATCTGCATGTGGCATTTTTGGTATTTATTAGTAAATTTCTAGTAAAAGTAACCAAATGTGTTTCAAATACAACATCTTTATACATTTAAGAAGCTGATACTCAAAAAGTAATAATATTTTAAAAATGTTATTACAACGTTATAAGTCCCTCTAAGGAGTCAGTTTCGCTATAAGATTACTACGTACTCAAAGTACCATGACAAGCCGCTAGAACATTTCCCCGTATTCACTGCTTTTCATTCGAAACTGGTTTATTCTTTTTTATCTCTGAGAGGTTCTCGCTACCTCTGTTGCTGCCTTTGCTGTACTTTATGCTGTCTTTGATCCCGTTGAATATGCACGACCATCCTGCTGCTTGATGATCTGCTCAATGTAGTCTCTGACGATGTTTTACAACCGTACCACATCTTAGGGCACATTACTTTGTTGGTTCTAAGAGAACTCTTTATCATGATTGTTCTGCATTATCTGAAGATAAAAATAAACACAAGTAAAAATTACTGAACATTTAGTGGATTTGTTATTCATTCTTTTTTAAAATAACTCAAAATTCATCCATGAGCTGAAGTGCTTTTTTATGATTATATTAAGTTATTAGTTTAATATTATTTCTAGTCAAAACACAGTCGCATTGATTCATTTTAAAAATTTTCAAATATTGATTGGTGACATTTTATTTTATATAAATTGGTAAACTTTAATTTTTCCTTTAAACGATTTAATTTTTATGTTTGATATTTTATATGGCGAAATTTTTCAATGTCTATTTTTTATAGATGATAATACTTGGATTCTCGTACATTTTAATTTTAAGATACTTATATATACCACAGTTGAAATCAAATCTATGGTATTATTGGGAACGTTTGGGGTGCTCACGTCTGTGGTGCTCCGTTGCGTTCGAGTCCCGACGACGTTTGAAGCGCGTTCGTCAACTTAGCTTCACATGATTCCGTGTCACGTACCTCAACCTCTTTTCGTTCCCTATTGAACAGAAATAAAACTTTTGGTTTAAAAATTTATTAAAACATTATTTCAAAATTGTTTCAAAATATGTAAACCAAGTTTGTCAACTACATCGGGTTCAAAATTTCATAGGGTCCTCTATGAGGTAGCAAAAATGATAAGTATTAGCATTTATAAGTTTATAAGTGATTTCATGATTAATTATAATTTATAAATAACATTATAAGTGATTTCATGATTAATTCTGACGAATATTTACCTATTATTTTTTAACTGACCATCATTCATTGGATCTAGCAATAAATTATCCAGAGCGTTCGATTTAATTATATCGGCGTGTTTTGCTTGAATTGATCTGAGCTTTTGTACTTTCTTGGTCATTTTTTTCAAAGCTGTCTTCAATGCTAAATTTTGATTTTTCAGCTCGGCAAGTTGACTGCTGTGTCTAAGTTGATCCCTCGAGCTCTCTTTTACAGAAACGAGCTTTTTTTTAATAGGTCGTTGCTCGTCTTCCATTAACTGCTGTTTTTTTAATGCACGGTATTCCCTCTTTCTTTCACGGTCGTATTTTCTTTTGGCACGTTGTTCTTTTACTGAGAGTTCCTGAACCATTTTAATTTTCCCTTCTTCTTTCCTCTTGTAATATCGCTTTTTTTCACTGCGGCAATAATTTTCATACTCAACCGGATCTTCTCGGATTTTTTCTCTCCTCGCTCGCATATATTCTCGTTTATATTCAAGCAATCTTTCTCTTGCATTACTTTCTTTCTAATGATTTGTTAAATATAAAAATTAGAGTATTTGATAATCGCGCATAAAAAACTTTAGGTTATAGTTACCCGACTTGTTTTTGTGGCTATTTTTTTAGCTTTTTGTGTTTTTAAAGCTCGATTCTTTTTTTTCTTATCTATCTTATCTTTGGTATTGTCTACCATTGATCGCGTTATTCTTTTTGGAGGCATTTCAATAAATTAATTTTCGGAGGGGACAGTTACGGAGATGACAAATCACACTTTTTTGTATTTATGACGATTTAATCGGTGTACATAGTAAGCGCTTGTTTGAGTCGTGTGCATCGTGCAATACGCAACATATATTTCGAGCAGCTGTTTTTCTTCAGTATTGTAGGAGTCATCAGAGAGCGATATAAACCCTACTTTTTTGTTATGCTAGAATTTTTGCACATTGATAAGTCTATTTAAAGGTTAACATAAACATTAGCGCATTGCAATACTAGAAGAAAAAAAGCGCAACAATAAGTTGGTCGAGGGAAAGTGGAATGGTCAGATTTAAAAAGGAATTTTGAATATCGCGCCGTTTTGCAGATTGCGTTTGAGCGTTGAGTCAAAAATATTTTTTACGCTAGTTTTTTAAAAGAACGTTGGAAAACCCCTATTATAAGTAATATCGTTGAAAATCTTACGATTTCTTTATATGAAAAAAAATCAATTTCATTCGAGTTTCCCGTTATCTAAACTTCTTAACCAATCATTTGAAATAAAAATTGTTTTTTTTTTAATTTTTCGTAAATTTTAGTTTTTTTGTGCTTTCTGTAGAGAATAAAAGTGGGGTTTCGAATTATTGTAATAGGAAAGCAGTTAAGCGTGAATTTGAAAAAAAATATGCCAAAGTATAGTACGTTTGAAAAGTTACAGTTAGAACATAAAACAATGTCTTTTTTATTGGCATTTTTTACATAAAAATAGTGATAATAACATTTATAAGAATTTTAGAAGCTCTTTATAATTAAAATGAAATTAGTGCATCAGTATGGAACTCAGAAGTAAACTATGATTGCCGATCGGAGCTGAGCAGGAATTGTATGTTGATGAATACGTATGTGCCAACTGTCTGAAGCACCTGAAAGCGCAAAAAATTTGAAACTCGTGAATTTACGGCGAAATAATTTTGAAAAGCTTACCGAGAGCATCAGCTGTTGATTCATGGGCAACATTTGGAAAACCTTTACCTTTGCGTTTTTAATTAATATATGAGTCGAAAAATTGTTTAATTTTTTATGTATCTTTGTATCATGAAAAACGTCCAATAAATCGCTAACTATAACTCCAGTTTTGAGAATCTGTAAGCATTGAGTACAATTGTTATTTCTTTTGTCATCAAATTCAAAATCAATCAATTGCGCATTAAAGTTGGAACCTCTCGCTCAACAGCCGACACCGATGACGTGACTGATTGGAGAACCCATGTATGCCAAAAGAACACTATGAACTTGATGCTGTAATCGACGAGGGATGCGATCTTTTTGAAAGTTATAATCAGCGGCTGAACGCAGTAGAAAACGCTCCAGGTGTAACTGACCAGAAAAAAGCATATGATCGAGAGCATAGGAAAGGAAAAGAAGTCGGAGAAGTCGTCGACGAAATCGACGAAACACGAATATAATTCCCGGCACTGTTTGATTTTCGCGAGGATGAGTTCTGAGTCCGAGGACGACGACGTTTCGAAGCTCTGAAGCGTCAGAAATTTCGGCAAACTGCTCAGGTTGTCGTTGACGAATCTCGAAGCATGCAAAACCACGATGAGCAACAAATTGTACTGGACGTACACGAACAGGATCATGAAGTCATTGATCGAATAACCGATGGCAAGTAAAGTCGAACAATTTTCACCAATGTTATCTTGGGAGCAGAAATACGTAAGTACTAAACATATGGTGACGCATAAAATGATGAAGCCAAAAACTACGGCTACGTCCAGAAAAAAGCTCTTTCTCCTTTTCTTATCGGCACGCTCTAGTTCAAAACATAATTTTTTAATATCGATGAGTCTGTTCAATATGTCGATAAATTGACGCTGTTTCAGACAAAAATTCGAAATTATAATCGTCGAGTTGCAAAAAATTAACGCTTGATAAATGAGCCCTAAAATTTTCTCCTGATATGCCACTCGTTCGAGCATACGTAAACACGTAAAAACATTCAATGTCAGAGTCGCGAGGTACAGAAAAACGTTGTACACAATTCCAGAAGTCGAACGAGCGAAAATTTGCGGTCCGCGGCGATTTAATCCCATGGGAGCGATACCGAACAATTTGCACACGTAAAAGAAACCGCACGCAGCAGTGAGTAGAGCACGAGACATTTTAGTGCAGAGCCGTCCAACTAAACTGCGTCGAGTAAATTGTGCTTGTAGAAAACCGTTCGATATTGGTAGTTTAGATTCAAACGTGAAACGAGTGACACGTAAGTGTACTTTCCATAATAAAGAAAATCATTGGAAATTTATGAAAATTTGATTGAAAAATGAATTTATTATTCGATAAAAGTACATGTCTGCTATAGGCGATGGAATTTATGAAATAACAAAAATTAAGTGTCAGCGAGCTTCGTTAATACTTGCTTGAATAACCCTCATTGATTTCATGTAAATATAATAAAATCTACTCAAACTTTGATGTATCAATTTTCACATTTTTAAAGTCTCGCTCGAACCCGTGAAGTATTTATTCAGAATAAAATCGCATTGAAACATTCGTGGTTTCGTGGGTTTCCATATGCATTGATGAAAAATAATCGGGTCAAATAATTGCTTTCTTATTGAAAGCGCGAAGAGAGACATCATTAATGAGAGAAAAGATGTTTTTCAAAAAATAACTCATATCGGCACGTAACATTAAATAATTTTTAATTTTCAAAAACTAAACTTTTTCTGTTTAAAAAGAATCATTTCTTACAGATTTGGTAAATCAAGTATTTTTAGATATACTAAGAACAAATTTTTATTGGTTTTTTTGTATTGAATTTATAAATTTAAACTGATAATTGCAGTTTTAAAAAATTCGTATTAAAATTCTTAAGTTTATGATCTGTTGTAAAATTGTAATTTATCAAAATAAACAAAAGATATTTTGAAGCAAAATATAATATTTTATGTTTAATATCAAGACCAATAGGTCTCCAGTAATAAAACTTTCGTTCAATTAATTTATAGGTGATTTTTTCGTTTTCTGCTGGAAAACGTATCGTTTTACGTCTAGTATACTAAGTTTTAGAGGGCCAAAAAATTCCTCGATTCAACTTCGCCAGACGTCATTCAAATTTTCCGAACGGCTGAAAAAGTTCTAAAAACTCAGCTTTCTTTTATTTCTGAACAGAACATCATTAAAAAAATGATGAACATTGCACTGAACTTACTGCCGATTAATTCTTTATTTACAATCAATGAACATTTGTTCGACCAAGCACCATTATTCGATCCACCAGTTGGTTAGCTTAATTTTAGATCAGTATTTTCGTATTAGATTACATTGAGAAGCATCTGAATCTTCCGAATTGAAATCACGAGTGAGAACAAAACTTCAGAGAATTATTGTATTTGAAAATCAATAAAAATAATTTATTATACGTACGTTTTTTATTCAATTTTATAATCATGTAAACGATATTTTTCATAATATTTTGCTTGAAATGCCAAAAAAATGTATTTTGTTGTCGGCGCTTGAATTTGTTCATAAAGGCGGCGTCGAATATCAACAACTTTATGGCTTTGTAATTTTGTTTCTTCATTTTTTCTTGGAGGGTAAATATTAAAAGTAGATTGAGAAAGTCTGTTATGCATAATAACTTTCTCGTAATGATATTCGCAGTTTATCTAAACCGATGATTCTCACAATAAAAATGCACCCGAAACACGAGTATCGAACTAATATCGATCGTTAGATAGTGCAAGTCTTTACAACTGCAAACTAATTTAAACGAAAACAATCTAACTTATAAAAAAGAGATGGACCTAAAAGTGAAGCCAATCTATTCGGCCTCTGATTGGTCGACTGACATTTGACTAGAGTCGAAAAGTAATAAAGTGACGGTCAAAATAGCAACTTTTTCGAAACTGACTGAAAAATGTACGCGCGCGCAGCGCGCCTGAAAGTTACTAGTGAGTTTAAATTTTTCTACTGATAAATATCCTAAATTCATTGCGAAAGTTTACATAGGACTAAAATTTTTTCAATCCGACTATTTTAATACGACTTAATTCAGAAAAGGGGCCATAGAAAAGCATGTCGGCACTCAGGGTTGAGGTTGACTCATCTCGTGGTTAGAGGACCGAGGACGTCGTTGAGGTTCCGAGGCGTTTGCGCTGCTGCAAGCTGCACCTGTCAACGCGAAAACGTGAAAAAAAAATATGACAGACAGAAGGAAATATTTATATAATTAGTCGAATAAAACACAGAAATGTGCATTGGTCCAAATTAACTTTATTAAATGTGATAGGATGATAACGATTATCTATTTTTTACACACTTTGATTGAACGCGAATTACATAGAAACGAATCGAATTGAATTTAAATAAGTCTTTACTAGACTTATTACTTTAAAAAGTTATAAGTCATAAGTAAAAAGCTAAAGTAATAAGTCTGTCAAGTAATAACATGACGGTTGTTGAACCCTCTTTCTTTTCTCACTCGCTCATTCACGCGACTCCGAAAGACGACGTTCTGCATCCCGTCGTTTGCGAGACGCCTCGCGCAAAGATCTCAGTGAGCTGCTGATCGATAATCCGCAAGCACGCTCGAACTCGCGTTGGTGGTCAAGTTGTGATCACGTTAGTTTTGCTAGATGAAGCCGGGCGCGGGCCACGGACGTAAAGACGCCGACGCGTCTTGTATGCGAGTCCGCGAAAGGCCACGGCGGAACCGGCTACAGTATCGCGACACATGTAATTATACAAGAACCCGTCAAATTCTGCACAATGAACTGTAGCATCGCAAACTTATAAAATAAAATAACAAGGCACGATGAGAGCTTTTAGTACATCGTCGATCAAACTTGTACCGGGGCTGAGATTTGTTTTGAAAATAAAGCTCTCGACATCTTTTCGAGTCAGTGTCGCTCTCTTTCTCCGTCCCGCACAGAAGAAGCTGGTAATTACAGACACGCCGGTGAGTACGGGGTCCTCCTTACACCTCGATATCGCCTCTCCGTATCTAAAACAGGAAATTATACATTTGCATTATCTCCTGATCGATTTTCTGTCTTGCGGCTTTGACAGCTGGATCGCCGTGGCTTACCTTGTTAGTTGGTCTTGGCACTCGACGGCGGATTCAAGGCCGCGAGCAGGACCTGTTCGCGCACCTCCGCGGAGACGTTGTTCAGCGCCTCGGCCAGGCGGGTCAGGCCTGCCACCATCTGCGCGTTGATCGGCTCTGGAGCGAGCAGCGGCGCTGGCTTCGTTTTTTTGTCTACGCTGTCGCTCGATGATTGTAGTGGTTTCTTTCGCTCCTCACCTGTGACAGTGCTTGTGGCTACCTTTTTGAAGTCTTCGTCAGACTCGAGCTTCATGCTGCTGCTCGCTGATGCGGACTTGGAGGCGTTGACCCTGGTGGTAGTGCACGATGGTGGACATGCTGGACGCACCTTGGCGACGCTGGGCCTCGCTGTCTCTGCAGGTGCGGGGCGAGCTGCGTAGGGCGCGTCTCTCGCCGTCCTCGCGTTGCGCCCGAAGCGATGGCCATCGTTGCGACGATACTCTTCGTCGCATCGAAACGAGCAGTCTTGCGTGTCGAAGCCACGTCGGCCGCAGTTTTGGCCGCTCCTCTTCTTCTGTGACTCGTAGCTGACTTTACTGTACGTCCATGGAGGCCTTGCCGAAACGGCAGAGGCTGCGGCGGCGGCGGCTCGTTTGAGTCGATCTTTCTCGATGGCTTGAGTCACGCAGTACTTGCGCCACGCCTCATCCGCGACCGCAGCCTCTGCCTTTGGGTCGGCTTCTTTTTTGACCGCTCTGGTCGATACAGCAGCTTGTGCCTGCAACACCTCTTGCAGGGCGGTAACGGGGGCGTGGCTGGCCGATTGCGCTTGTCGCCGGGCGGCTCGCTCTTTTTCGAGGGCAGCCGCGGCGTTGCTCTCGGCCAAGGCCGATTCTAGGATTTGTTTGCGTTGCTTACGACGTTGAGCCCTGCTCGATTTGACACCCGTTTGATTCGAATCGGGACCGGGCTGTCGAGGATAATCGCGGGCGTTGGACTTATAGCGGCCGCGGCCCGACTCTTCTCGGCTCTGCAGTCGCTGCCAGTGCGTGCAGTAGGCCGTTCCTCGGCATCGGCACTGGGAGTACATCGTCGCTGCGCCACCACAGCTGCAACAGATAAAACTTGACATTGTCTTATTCGCCCTTCGGATATCGCCATTGATTAATTTGTGCTTTGAGTAAAAGCTCTACTCGTGTAATTTATAAATCTACTTTCGCGACGCGTTTCTCGTTTTACGTCGTCGACTGCGTGCGTGACTCGGTGACGGAGCTTTCAAAATTCTTATCAAACCATACGTAACGTAAATAAACGAGGCTGCGAGCAGCTCCTCGCCAAGTCGCTTTTTTGTCGTCTCTTCAATTTCTTAATATTAATTTAGTCGGTGATCGCTTATATTTGAGGATGCGAGCTTTGCACAGGTCCCGACACACCCGCGCGCACAGGTACACGTCTACAACTGAACCGATGAATTTATCGCGCGGCGCAGCTCGTTCAAATGCCTGTCCCACGAGTCTACATGGTGAGCCGCGACGTATGCATCGATCATGGTTTTCATCGTACGATTTAAGAGTTCGATCGGATTAGGGGCCGCGCAATCGGACGGAATCTTTACTTGCTGGATGCCTTTTATCTCAAAAACTGCGTTCATCCAATTCGCGTGCTCTTTTTCGGTATCGCATATAATGTAAAAATCAGGCTTATCCCATCTATCGATCACAAGCTCATTGAGCGCGATCGCGAAATCTAGTATGGTGACGTACGGTATAACTTTCAGCTCGACTCTGCGACTGAACAGATCGATGAAAACGACCAGCCATTTGCTCTCACTACTGGAACAGGATGGTAATTCCAAGATTTCGCAGGCTATCACGGCCCAGGCTCGCTCGATGATCAGCGGCGCCTCCGGTTGGTTCGTTTTTTGGGGGTTCGGCTTACCCGGAGGAGCGCTGGGACAATCTCGTGCAATGTGGCCGATAGCGCGGCAACGATAGCAGCGACGTTTCGTACAATCTCTAGCCCGATGGCCGATCTCGCTGCAATCGTGGCACGCGCCCCAAAATCGTCTGCGGTTCGAGTCTCTTGGTACCGCTCCTGCTTCGGCTTTTTGACTCGATCTAATCGGAGGCTTTCGCTTTGCTTTACCGGGCAAAGGTAAAACCGTATCGGAGTCGTTCTTCAGCGTCTCCTCGTAGATCTCGCCTTCTCGCTCTATTTTTTCCAGCGAGTCGGGCATACGATCGCGACACGCTCGACGATATTCCGGGCGTAGGTTGCCCCAAACCATCTCGATTAGTTGGTCGATCGATGGCTTTTTCGATAAATGCACAATATAATACCGAATATGAGTCAGAAACTGCAGAATCGTTTCGTTTTCGCCCTGCTTACGTTTGCGCATCTCGTACATTATACCACAATCTCCGCCAATAAACATGTCTCGAAAAGATTTTTCAAAGTGTTGCCAATGTTTAAAAGAGGAACGCTTCGTATCTAACCATATAGACGCAACGCCCTGTAATGTTACGGCGATCACGTCAAAAAGCTCTTGATCGTCGATGCGTCCAATCTGACGGCAATATTTCAAGCGATCCAAGAAAAATATAGCTTTTTGTCGATCAACACCGTCGTACTCCAGATTCAAACGGTGCAAAATCTTTACGAGCTTACGGCCAGTGATTCGCGCACGCTCAGGCCCATCTCCGCTGTCGTCGCTATCGCTCGACTCGCTACTGCTCCAAGAGCTCTCGGACGAAGACGTCGATGAAACCTCTCGCCTCTTGTGCTTTCTCGAGCAGGCGCGCTTTTGCCTATCTTTGCTCAAAGAGCGCGAAGACTCCCACTGCCAGTACCTACGACCCTCTTCCGTGGAAGGGCTCCTCGAGTATCGCGTAGATCGCCGGTCCCTCAACGAAGCACGCGAGCTTCCGCTCGAGCGCGACGTCGATCGGCCACGCCTTCTGCTCGAGTCTCGCTTGATTGGTCGCTGGCGAGAATAATCGCGTGAAGCCATTTTCATGCGTCGATTAAAATTTTCTGGAATCGGGGCTTTTTTGTATTTATCGCCGAGTATTTATTTTCGCTGCAACGACTTTGGTATACGCTCGCACAGTATCAAGAGCAAGCGTACAAAAATTTGGCCTCGATAGCTTCAACTACAGCGAAAACAATGCTCAAACACTCTCGCACTAATACACGCAGAGTAAAAATGTCAGGGCACACTGTGATGGGCTTCAAAACATATAGGCTGTACAGTGATAAATATGAGCACAAGCAAGATCACACACCACTATAGGCAATTTTATCAAGAAGCTAATTCTTTATTTACTTTCTGTCTCACTCTCGTGCACTACCTATCGTCGTTGCTCTAGCGAAGTTGCTATTTCACGGCGCGTTTTTACCTCGTGACTTTTCCGCGCGCCCCTATTACACATAAATATCTGAAACTCGCTCTTGCTCGGACAAGTTTGCAATCGCACACACAGATAAACTAGCTTGTATTCTGTTTATTTTCACGAATAGAATTATGTTTGCGCCAAAATATTTCTTTTTTATCTACTCGCGAACACAGTTTTTTTTTTTTTACTGGGCAAGTTTCGCGCCTTGGGTATGCGGCTGACCGATTCGGTTTGTCAGCTCACAGGACGCACCAGGCGGATTTTTGATCGCCGTCAATAATGAGCACTCCAGCTAGCTCGCCTAAAAAATTATCGCGAAAAGAGATTCGCGCGCCCAGGTTGGAGGCTGACTCACCTCGAGTGAGATGTCGAGTTCGGATCAAGACTTTTGTACCGTTGCACTGCACCTGTAAACACGAAAGCACAAAAAAATATGAAAAAGAGAAGGAAACGTTTAATCTAATAAAGTACAGAAATGTGCATTGGCACAAAAAAACACTTCTCGCTTCCACTCTATCACTCACATATTAAAGTACATCACCCTTAATTGTACGATAACACATCGCTTGGACACGCGTACACATTATTAATATCGTCGTATTATATAGAACTCACTCTGTATTGCTGTTACTGCTCTGCAAAGCTACCACACGGGTTATATTGCCGGGATGGCTGTTGACTCTTCGACCGGACGACGAAATGCCTCGCACGCAGGATGAAGTTCACGGTCCACGATGAACTATATACGGCCAACAAAACCTGGCTCCTTGTTTCACACACACTGTCACGATAAACTCCCACAGATCTATGCTCAACGACTATTATACTCAAAATTCAAAAAGTAATGAACTGCGCGTTGTTCTCTGTCGAGGATCGATGCTTTCAGCTCCGAGGTCAGATCTCGATTGACGAATACATTGTATAGGCAGGCGCTTCTCGCATGCTGTAGCCAAGCGCTACCGACCATGTGCGAATGGAAACACGCGGACGCGCTTTGTTTACGTCCGCGAGATGCTACTGAAGTACCGTATCGGACCTGGCATACAGAACGACGCAAAACACGTACAATAATATATTAAATATACGCGTATATAATACTTTATTAAAATTGGTTTTGGGACCCTTTTACTATGTACTATAACATACCAAAAACGCGTCAAGATAGATGACATACGTGCGGACGAACATTTAAAAAAGTATTATTTTGAACCATATATTCTTCACTGTACTCAATATTACATAAATTTTTGAATTATCGAAATTATTCAGAAATATATAAATGGCAAATGATCGTATTAAGATTGCATCGGCTACAATCGGAGCCAAAAGTTGTATGACATGCTGCGCACGAGTAAGATTGCGCGTACCTGACGTACAGTCTCAAAATTTCATGGGTGACTGTATTACACAAGCATGCTCAGTGTATCCGTGTGCCACACAAGCATGTCCGAGCGTGTCCGTGTGGACGAAGCGGCCAATCGCGAACCCTTTCGAAGCTGATTACTCATTAACGGCGCTCGATTTTCGTAATCTTTCGTCGCAGTACTACTTATGGTCTAATATACCTGTAGTTTCATTTATTACAAAATCGCATGAAACATTTTCTTTCTGTGTGACTTTTTCGGAGTTTTTCTACCTTGCCTATGTTAAATTAAAAATTGGAGAGTATTACTGTGTTGATTAAAACTACCTGTACTCTCCAAATTTTAAGAAAATCGTATGAAGGTCACTTTTACCGATGTAATACATTAATTAATCATAGTATAGACAAATTTTTGCACTAGAATTAATCATTTTGAAATAGTATATCGTATATTACTATAATTGATCCCGGTACAAAAAGGTCAAAACAGAAAGGTCAGACCGAAAAGGTCTGCTTTTTATACGAGAAAATATGAATGTTTACATTTTTAGGAGGAAGCTATATGCCAATTTTTTGGCAGCGAGTTTTTTCATTGGCATCGTTTGCAAATGGAAGTACTCCTCGAGCAACTAGTAAAATTATGTTGAGATATTCTTTTTATGTAAAGACATGCTTAGACTATACACTTGAATTTTTTACGTTTCATCGAAATTTTTTGCGGTTGGAAGGTGGATTAATAACGCATGCACTCTCTTTTACGCACATCCATTGCTGAATTCCAAATAACGATTTTGTCAAAATACTTGAATTATAAATCTGCTGTATTGAAGAACTAGAATGCAAGTTTTACCGCCGATTATTTAAGAACTGTATAATGTCCGCTGAAGTGTCTTAAATCATCATAATCTAAGTCTTATAACTATCATTCAGTTTTAGCGAAAACTATTCGTGCAATGTATCCTGGGATCAAAGCGGAAAAATTTCATGGGATTGACCTATCTCTTCAAGAGGTTTTTACAGCGGATGAAAAGTATTACAGACTTGCTTTTTTATCAGATAGTATGAATCCTACTTTAAGAAAATGTGGGCAATGTTTTTTATTGGCTAACATTATTTACAGCATTTATGTTACGGTGAACTAAACCTTACATTAACATTCATTTGTTTACAGTAGTCTTAATTTCATTACGCTTCCACAGGGTCTTTCTATGGCGCATAGAACGTTCAAAACACCGATAAACTGGGAATTTGCTATTCAAAACGTATTTGAAATGTCATTTATAATTACAATTTTAGGTATTTATGTCATCTTCATAACCGGTGACAATAATGTACGTGCTCTATGAAGACAATATATAGTAAAATGATATTTCATTAATGTCGTAATCTAAACGTTGCATTAAACAGATCGTCCATTCAAAACAATTGATTCAAGATCACTGGGACGATGAGTGTTTACCCATTGAAAAAAAGATAATGATAAATACTTGCAAAGGATACCATAGCCTATCGTCATTTTTTAAACGTTTGATGCTTTTTTTATTAATTCAAGGGCACATATTGCGATAACTTTATTTGTTTTATGTGATCAATTCTTTAGTTTTCATTTATTCTACATACATTGGATTTGCAATTCTACCGGCGGTAGTACCGTCTACCCTAAACATAATTGGTCACCATAATTATTCAAAAATGTTATGTACTTCTGGGGAGCTGTATCCAAATCGTGAAGACTACTACTATTTTTGGTTGGCTTACACGACTTTTCTCATGTTTAGCATTGCAAGTATCGTGGTAGCTCAAATTAGTCTTTGTATATATTTCGTTTCTATTAATCTGTCGAAATTTGAGGTCGTTTGGTAAGTATGCGTATTAATTAAAAATAAAAACATTATTCAGAAGTACTTACAATAATGTAAAACTCGTTTAATATTTAGCTATCACCTGGAAAGACTTCGAGAAATGTCTGATCAATCTGATGAAAACGATCCCAATGAAATTGAGAAGATAGTCAAACATACTTGTGCTAACCATTATGAAACCTTAAAGTTGGGTATTTTTTTTTAATTAACAAAAGTTGAAATGCATGTAGTTTTATTGAACAACAAAATATCTGTATTCGTAGTTTCTTTAGGTTATTTCAAATATTTAGTCGAAATGTTTTAGCATTTCTATCTACTTATGTTTTTGTTGCCTTGAGTACTACTGGTACTATGGTAAGATGAATACGTAATAAGAAAAAAACATTGCAGAAATAAATTGTTTCAGTTTTTCAATTATATTTTCTAGATTCTGTATGCCTTTAAGATCAAAAATACTTTTCTTATCCTAGAGATGATCGTTTCATTTCTCTGCATACTTTGTTTTGCTTTTTTAATGGGCCATATCGGTCAAATATTATGCAATGCAAGTGATAATCTTTTCTATCAAAGGTGGGTCTCATTTTTTCCGATTTTGTCGTTTGTAATTAATAGTTAATGATTTCAGCTACTTTTGCGGGTGGTATAATTTACCTAAAGAATCGAAAAAAATTTTGCACATGATGATGACTCGTTGTTTGACACCTTGTGAATTACAATCAGCACCATTATCTTTCATGAAATTCAATTATGAGAACTTTAATGCTGTAGGTAGAAAAATTAATGCTACGTGCTACAATTAACTGCATTAATCATTGAATGTGACTTTATTTGCTGTAGGTTGTCAATACTTCAATTTCATACATGACAGTCATAGCTTCAGTTATGTAATGAAGTTCGGACAAATTAAGCTGGGCACGAACTTTTATCAATAAACCTTAAAGTTTAACAATCATGCGTGAAAACACGTTGCTGATACCAAAAATCCAAACACTTTATTTTTCCAAGAAGACGCTATGTATTTCATGATGTCAATCATGGAGTACTGATAAACTCGATAAACTGAAGTATTTATTACACCACATTTTTTAACACTAAATTTGATTATTTTAATTATGACCATCACAATTTTAAATAAAATATAAAAATATTTACTTATTTGAGAAATTTAAAGACTAAAATCTTGTTTTTGTAATCGTCCAGACCAGAAAGACTGTATTTTCTATTGTGACTCGGAAGTCATATTGACTGTCGTGACGAGCCGAGTCAATGCGGAGTCGAGCTCACAAATGGAGCAATACTCTCGCTTGAGCTCGGCGGTTTGCGGACCGAGTGAGCGACTCGCGTGTGGGCCGCAGAGAGCTTTGCTAGAATAAATATGAAAAGATTTCAATTGAATCAACTTAAATTCAAACGATAAATCGGTTTAAACTGTCAAATCGAATTAAAATTTTTAGTCTGTATCATGCAAAGAACTCACTTACTTTGACTGCGCGTGCGACTCCGTGAGCCGACGCCCTCTAGTAGTGGCGTTCTCAAACATAATGCAACGATCAAAGGTAAGAAATTCTTTTAAGGGTAGGTTTGAAATAAGATAATAAATTGAATTGAAACAAAAATTTTCAAGGTAATGACATGATATGCAACAGAGTCATTTTAAATCCGTCGAGCTTTTTTAAAATCACATAATATTTTATTTAACTATATATTCGATCGGACAGCAGCCCAAATTCGAAACGTAAAGCCGAGAAAACCCTTTCTTCGATTCGTAACGTAATTGAGTACGCTAACTCGAGTTTTGGTGACTAAGAGTATTTTGCTAAGTGTGATTGTGTGTGAGCGTCGATCACACCGTTGTGATACGTGTGTGCTCGCGTGGTGCATATAAGGTGTGCGAGCGAGTAGCCTCGTCAGGTGCGTGAGTCGGCACGACGATACACTAGCGAGTACTAGGGTGTGTGAATGTGTGAGTGTGAATGGAGACGTGGTGAATAACCTCGTCGTCCGGATTTGTCGCGACGCAGCCTCAAGGCCCTCACACGACCCGTGCTACGGCACAACCGGCCTCGTGGGCGCATGTAGAGTCATTAGGGCTTAGATTACGAGGAGATAAGCGGACATTGGCGCGTGCGCCAATCCTAACGCTACAACGAAACCTTTGCGAGTCTCGGGGTACCTGTGCTAGTCAGCCAAGTAGTCGCGAAGAAAAGAGAGCGTTTGTGTCGCTCGTCGGCGGCGATTTTGCAGCCGCCTTGCGCTTCGTTCGTGTGGGAAAGTTGACGAGCACACCGGGCGAAAACATAGTTGACGTGGGTCTGCAAGGCGAAAAGCGAACGAGCTTCGGAGAACCGGACGCACGTCATACTATTAATAGTTTTACACGATATCAGAAGGACTTACTTGTGGTTAGCTATTTAAAAATTCATAAAGTCAAAAATAATAATGTCATTTTCAAAGTTTCATAGAAAAAATAGAAACAGCTCTTTCTGGTTTTCCGAAAATTTCGGTTTTTTCGTTTTTTTTTTTTTTTTTTTTACAGATTTAGTGTTTTTTTTTAAATATTTGAGCATTTATTGTAAGCAAAGAGTACTTCAACTAGTGGCTAAAAACTTAAGACCAGTGCGGCGTAAGGGCTTATAGCCACAGTTGGGGGAATTCCAGGTAGTTATGACCGATTATCACAAAACATTTAGATTTGAAATCGAAACTGGGATCAAAAAAGGTAAAACAAATGGTTATAGCACTTTCCTTATTTAAAATAATAGCTTAACTGCTCTTGCTTCTCTGTATCTGTGCAAGTATAACTCTTCATGTAACAGAAGGTATTAAGAGAATGTCTCATTTAATTAGTTATTCCATTAAAACATAGGATTGATAATTTTTTTAAAGATATTAAAGATAGCTCTTTTCTAATAACAGAGGTTTTTTAATTGTTGTATCAAGATTTTGAAGAAAAAATCCCCAACGTGTTTACAAGAGTTGGTCAAATCAATACTATAGTTTCGATCATTAGATACATTACAATGTTATAAATGAATATGTATTGAAACAGAGTGCTTTTTTATTATTTATACATTAAAAAACATCTTTAATTCCCACACTCAGTTTTTGTAAAATTCATGATCAACACTCATTATCATTATTGTTATAAAATATAAAATTTATAATGGATGTATAGCTGAGATTTCCAAATTCGGAAAAATAAAATATTGAGTAAATTTTAATTGCAATTGAAAAATCATTTAAAAAGTCTTTTGAATAAATATGAAAAGATTTCAATTGAACCAACTTAAATTCAAACGATAAATCGGTTACCAAATAAACGAATATCTAAGAACCAATTAAAAATTCATTTGTAATAAGACAATAAAGAAAATTTAGATTTAGTTAACTGTCAAACCGAATTGAAAATTTTAGTAGATATAAGAAAGCAACGATTGAAGATAAGAAATTCTTCTAAGGGTAGGTTTGAAATAAGAAAATGCATTGAATTGAAACAAAAATTTTCAAGGTAATGACATGATATAAAACAGAGTCATTTTGAATCCGTCGAGCTTATTTAAAATCAGATAATATTTTATTTAACTATATATTATAAAAATTGCCGACAACATTTAGACTTTTAGTTTCAAATCACGTAATTACCTTGGCGCTTTTATTGTATTATTATACAGCTTTGACAGTGCACTGTAAACAATTTCATTATTTACAAATCTGTTGATCACAATTTAATGATTTGTGATTTACAATGTATAGGTGAGCCATCAAATATCAATGTTCGTTTGATTACAAAAAAAAAAAAATAAAACGAAAAATCGGACAATTGAAAGCCTATTCTGGTTTAACTTATAGAGATCACTTTTTAATTGTAAAAAAGCTGTCTTAACTTGTTCCACATAAATGAATATGTGATTGTGCTGTTTTCCAAAAACAATAAACAGATATTAATTACATGCTCTAAATGCAATTTCAACACTTGAATGGGTACAATAAATTCAAGATATTTTTTCATTCAACTATTACATTTGTTTCATATGGTAGTATGTATAAGGAATTTATGATTTACAAAAACGTTTCATAAAAAGATAGGGCAGTAATTTTCTATCCCTAGGGTAACAATTTCTATCCCACAAATATGAGCATACACTATAAAATTAAAACTATAGTTACTTTTCAATCAAAGAATTTGATGTTCATATTTCGATTCCACAAATTACTATCCACAAAAAAATCTGTATAAAAGATCAATAATCCAATCTTTGATCATTTATGTTGTTGAAAAATAAGTTATCCTCGTTGAGTTATCAATTGATAATCATAACAAAATAGTCTCTGCTACAGAGTATTTTTTTTAAAAGGAGTTTCAAATGCAAAGTTTAGTTGATAGTTAGTTGAGATACTACAATTCAAGCATAACTTCTTTAGTGATATACTTGATTAGTCTCTGGTATTTTGGTGGTTTGTAATTATAATCTTACTGTGCCATATCCTATTTGCCTAAGAAGAATTGTTGATAACAATTAATAATAGAAATTCACTTGTATAAAGCTCTCATAAAAATTACCAACCATTTGGAAAAATTATAATTCCTAGAAATGCTGATTCAAGATAAGATGCAACTAGGTTTCTCTTGCACATTTCCATCAGCTTTTTCAATTTCTATTAATAAGGTATGGAAAATATCAGCTACTGCCTAAAATTTTAAAAGCAAGAGTATAAGTGAACAATGTTATTAGTTATTAATTATTACAAATGAAAAATAATTAAAATTACCTCATTTTGTTTTGCACTGGTTTCCAAAAATGCAGCATGCCAGCGATCAGCTAATTGCTTTCCCTGTTCTTTTGTGACCATTCGATCTTGAAAAAGATCTGTTTTATTTCCAACTAAAACCATGGGTACACTATAAAAAAAATCATTAATGTTTCTTATTTTTCAAATTACGTGTAGTGATGATAAATAAAAGAGCTACGCACTGGACTTTGCCTGTTATATCCAAAAGTTTATCATATATAACTTGCACAACTTCAAAACTTTTTAAACTAGTTATGCTGTATACTAAAACGTATCCATGAATATCCATGGAGTACTGAGTAGGAAATATACTGTATTCATCCTGACCAGCAGTATCAACCAATTTGACTTCATAGTCTTGTGAATTTACGCGAGTGCTCTTTGTAAAAGCTACAAAACATTATAAAGAAATTAATACGTATTATAGCTTTTCTTGTGCACTCTGATTGTGTATCATTGCCTCAGCTAGTGCACATAAACAAAGTATTAATTATAAAAGAGCACTGATGAAAAACTTACTGTTTTCTATGGTTGGATCATAAGAATCTACAAATTGTCCTTCAACAAACTGTATACTGAGCGACGATTTGCCTGGAAAAGTATGAAAATCAGTCTAGCTCAGCATCAAGTTAAACAAATTGAAAAAAAAAAAGGAAATAAAATAACGTGAGTTAGAAAGGCACACAGCCTTGACGTACCAACTGAGCGATAGCCCATGATGGCAATTTTTCTCGCTTTGGGCGGCATGTTGCTGCTGCTCGTCTGCGGTGTCGATGAGTTACGGTCACGTCGCTTTTTTTATTATCAAAGTCTGCAGCGGCCAAAGCAAACACTGCATCCGTATACACAGCGAGACGCTCGTTGTTACACGTAACAATTATATACTTTATTTATCAGCAAAAGCGAAAGCGGTCCTGGATAATGTCCCTCTCAGAACTTGGACCTGCATCCGCTAAACCGGTGCAGCATTATTTTCTCGAGTATGTTGCAGCTGCAGCAGTCTCCGGTGCGTCGTTCTATAAACAGAATGAACACGAGATGATGATCCATGCGATTCATATAGAGAATGCGAAAAATGTCCGTGTGCACATGAATGAGAGCGTGTATAGGCAAGTGCAAAAAGTAGTAGCAGTAGTAGTAGTAGCAGTAGCTGTAGTAGTTGTGTAGTAGAAGAGGAAGAGGAGAAAAAAAGGTGACAGTTACGAGCGGAGAGTATACGTTATTATAGAAGTCGAAATCTATATACGTATTATGTGTGCAAAGCCGCGACTAGTCGCGACTCCGGAATGACTCGGCTGGATAAGAATTAGCAACGATGTCAAAACTGCGACGCGCGATGAGACAGCCAGAGACGACGACGACGACGTAGACACAGACGCGCGCTTGCGGAGAGCCATAAGCTCTCTTTATAAGCGAAAGAGAGAGAGCAGCGACGAGTGCAAAAATTACGTATTATTATACATCGCAGTCTCGCACGATATATGTATGTAATGTGTGCGTGTGTGCGAGTGCGATACGACTCGCAGAATTCGCACCGCAGCGGATCATGAACCGACGACGACTGGCTCTTATAATACATAAATACATATATAGCTATATATCTTAAATGTATCCACTGGCTATAATACGTCTCTCTCTCTCTCTCTCTCGGTCGCAGTGCGCTGCCAAATGCATTCCTAACCAAGAAGGAAAAATTTGCGCGTTTGCCCACGCTTGGCTAGGGGGGCTTCAACGCGTCGTTGTCGTCTCTGCGATCTCTTTTACAATACATGATTAACGTTGTCACTATGCTATTATTACGTGCACGCGTAATGCGTGCCGTGCGACGCGCGCGCGCGAACGTGTGTGTGTGTATGAGTTACACAGGTATGCGTGCATTATACCGCGAAGACGCGCCGAGAGAAAGAGGGACTGCACGTGAAAAGATGACGCGCCGCTGCTCTCATGCACTCGAGTCCGCGCGCGAAGCAACAAGCACAAAAGCGTACCATAAATACGAGGCACACACACGCATCGGTTATTATGGTCTGGCTGTGCATGTATTTTCACGTTATATGTTTGGAAGCATTCGTCGATGACGACTGAAGACGTATTTTACAACGAGCCACAAGCACTATGCAGCACAGACGTCTCCGCGACGATTACTATCCAAATATGCGTGTGTGTATGTTTACGTCTGTGTGTTTATATCACGGGCGAATGTCAGGGGGCCGTTTTGTCGGCGCCGCTCGGCGTTATATACATACATAATAAAGCTACGTTCGTTATTGCCTCGGTGCAAGTTAATACGTAGATACACGTTTTATTATAGGTAATATAGAGACGTCATTGCGCCAATAAACGAGTCAACGTCGTCGCGAGCGCGTAAGTGATAATGTATACACATACGACGAGAGATGCACACAATACGCACATACATTTTCGTTCTAATTCGTCAGCCAACCACACACAGACACACACGTTATATAGATATAGAGAATATTAGAGACAGCAGCAGCCACACACGAGTGCGCAGTTGTAAAATGAATAATACACATGTATATACACGAACTGATATCTTCTACTACGTATTTGCGTCGATGAAAATACGTGCTAAGTTCGCAGTTTAATAGGAATCGAGTGTGTGTAGTATACACGTAGTATAAATGAATCGAAACAAGCGCAGCTCCGAGAATAAACAAACGAGACTATACCTTGCGGCGCCTCACTATTTTCATTATTGTATGCACTATGTATATTGTTTAAACTACCTGTTGTTGTCGTTATCGTCGTTTTTGTTGTTGTTGCTGTTGTCGATCTTCGTTGTTGTGTTCTCGTGACTACGCGAGATCCCAAACAAGTAACTGCGTCGTTGTCGTTTTTTTCGCCCAACTGACTCGATGATTTTTAACAACCGATGGCCACACTCGTTGTAAAGGCGCGAGAGGCGATATCGCCGAAGCGCAAGTATTATTACATATACGAAACGTATCTACTACGACGTACCACCTATTGTACTGATACACACAACTGTACGCGCACCACGACTCGTCTCGAGATATAGTTCGAATCCAAGAGCTGTTTCGCGTGTTGACGAGAATCAACGACTGCCGCGGCGTGTACGGCTCGTGCGTGAGGCGAACTACTACTACTACCGTATACTATATACTACAGCACTACTACTATACTGCTGATGTCTGATGCTACTGCTACTGCTGCTGGCGACGACGAACGACGAGAATGGACATATAAACAGAGACGCGACGCGCTCCACTCGCGACGTTTTTCCGCGAACGGCTTGACTTCTTGCGCTATATTACTGAGCGGGGCACACAGACGCACGACACACGCGTAGCGCACACAGACACGCACTCACCTATACTGGCGGATATAAGTACACAAACACGGCGAGAGAGAGAGAGACTGACGCTTTTACAAGAGCGGCGCAGACGGACGAGACTTCCTATCATAATACAGCAGCAGCAGCAGCGCGATATATTTGTTAGCAGCAGACTCGAGCTTATTACATAGAATGCGGCTATCGCGCGTCAGCGGGCCACTGATCTTATATCCCGTGCGCAGAGATCTTCGAGCTGCTGCTTATGGACCTGCGCGGGATGATCTTTTTTTTCTCTCCTATAAGTATGCGGTATCTCGAACGCGTGCATTTATGCATGTATAAACACACACGAGAGGCTGAGGTGGGGAACGCGGCTCTACTCGGTATGTTTTAATTTCGCTGACTTTTCCCACTTCCCCTTTCGGAGCGTTGCATGGGCCTGTATCACTTGCATCATTGTGTATATGACGAGGCGCACTTTTAGCTCATGGGCTTTTCCCGGCGTCAGCAACACAAACACACCAACACGCGCACACACGTATTGGGTGCATGTGCATATAACTGGATGCTGTCGACACCGCACCAACGCGCCGCGGCGGCCGCTTTTCTCCGTGTTCAGTCAATGGGTGGCCATTGACTGCGAACGTTAGAGCCATATACGCGTTACTTTTTCCCCGCACTCGTCATCGTGGTATTTCCTTTTCGCCGAGTTATGCCAACGATGTCCCATTTTTTTTTATTATTATTAAGTTTTTTTCTTATCGCGGCTCCATTATAATGCGAGCGGCAGAAACTTTCAATTGTTTTCGTTCTTTCCGCGGGCCGAGTGCTGCTTGTTGGCGCAGATACATCATTGACGCAGAGCCTCGTTTTCATTATTTTTTTTTACACATACCGCAAATAATAATGTTCCGATCGATATGTGTCACAACGATATAACGCGAAACCCAATGAAGCGATGAAAATATGTTTGTACATATAGGGTTTCGCATTATCAATTGTTTTTCACGCTGTCTGCGCTATACATCTCGATTGTCTCGTTAATTTCCAAAGTCTCATCGATGTATGGGGGAAAAAACAGTTTTTGTTATTACAAAAGCTGCGCGCAGCGCGGCTGGCCATTCAGAAATTACTACGCGTCAAACTTGCTTCGCGCGCGGCGTAGTAACATAACATATATCTATACAACGCGCGCAAGTACGGCGTCATTGCATGTGTTATTATTTACTTTTTCATTCGGAGCTCTCTTTCACGCGAGAGAGCCGCGAAACGGATACTCGCGCCATACGCGATCAGCTGTTCTCTCGCGCGCACCTATGTATATAGCTGTACACGCAGTACACATACACAACAACAAGCATGAATGGCATTTTCGCTGAGCCGAGGCCTTTTTCGAGCTCGCGAACAGCACGAAATTTTAGAAATCAATGTTGTTTTCGTCGTACGTAATACGCAATTAGCCATAGCTTGCGGAAGTAGCGTCTGCGTCGGGTCGAATTTTTAATTGTGGAATGCGAGCTCTCGTATATGGAGAGATTTGACAGATATACATTTCCCACGTTTCGAGCGCGACTCCGAAATTCCAACGAAGTATCTAATACATAGAAGAAATACTGCTGAAAAAGATTGCTAAAGAAATTTTTGACTTCGGTAGACTTGAAAATTCGTTTGCGGGGTCATTGTTTTGACTACAATTACGTGCTTTCAACACTTACAGTATAGACAGATAAAAAAATCGAGGTCAGCGGTGGACTTAAGTAAAAGTACCGTCCCTTATATATTTGAAGGGTTTCAATATTAGATTTTGTATTGATAAAAGGACTGAGAAAAGGATAAAATCATTATGAGATCTTTTACTGATTTTGAAGAAAATATTTTTTGGTTCAAATTTAATTGTTAAATGATTTCCGCGTTATTTTTATAATTAAGAACTTATTGGTAATACTTATTACCGATCATATCTCTCTTCAGAAATAATCAGTTCATCAGCAAGTTCATCAAAATCTTTCCCTTGTGCATGTTTGATCTATTCAACACAACATCGAATGAGATTTATGAAACATCCAGTATCGAACTAAAAATTTGACACTTTCGGAGATCCAAATAAGACGTGAAAAAAACTTTAGGTTGATCTAATTTTTGCATAAATAGCTGCAGAAACCATATAGCCGGAAAAGACTAGTAATTACTGGCGAAATTGTTTTTTGTTTAATAATAAAGTACCACCACGACAGAGAATAATGATGTAAGTATAGTTCAACGCCTGAAATTCAGGACATACACAATAATTTCGGCACATTTTTATTGTACTTTTAGACAAACATATATTTAAATATCTACACATATTTACAATTGTCCATCATCATTTCTCCTCACTTTTGTCGCAAGAGAAATCTTTGCAACCATCATAGACTGTCTTTCGGTGTTTAAACCATTGCTGTTTTTGTCCAAATTTCTTCTCGCACTTTTCACATGCATAATCTTTCCGACAGTCTTGAACTGTTTTTTGGTGCTTAAGGAAATTCGTTTTTTGTCCAAATTTCTGATCGCATTTGTCGCAAGCGTAATCTTTCTGACCTACATGGACTGTCTTTTGGTGTAAAAGCAAAGTATGTTTGTGTCCGAATTTCTTCTCGCACTTGTCACATGCATAATCTTTGCGACCGTCGTGAACTGTTCTTTGGTGCTTAAGCAGAGTCGTTTTTTGTCCAAATTTTTTCTCGCATTTGTCGCATACGAAATCCTTACGACCTTCATGGACTGTCTTTTGGTGCTTTAATAAATCCGGCTTTCGCCCAAATTTCTTCTTGCAATGGTCACATACGTGATCTTTGCGACCGTCGTGAACTGTTCTTTGGTGCTTAAACAAACTCGATTTTTCTCCAAACTTCTTTTGACACTTGTCGCATGCGTAATCTTTACGACCTTCATGAACTGTGGTTTGATGTCTTATCAAATCTAACTTTTTTCCAAATTTCTTTTCGCACTTGTCACATGAGTAATCTTTACAACTTTCGTGTACTACCTTTTGGTGTTTTAACAAATCCGATTTTACTCCAAATTTCTTCTCGCACTTGCCGCATGCGAAATCCTTCCGACCTTCGTGGATTACTTTTTGATGTCTAAGCAAATCCGATTTTTGTCCATATTTTTTTTCACAATTGTCGCATGGGTAATCTTTCCGACTTTCGTGGACTGTATTTTGGTGTATGAGCAAATAGTTTTTATCTCTAAATTTCTTCTCGCATTTTTCGCATGCGTAGTCTTTACAACCTTCATGTACTGTCTTATGGTGCAAAAGCAGATACTGTTTGGATCCAAATTCTTTCATACATTTGTCGCATGCGAAATCCTTGCGACCTTCGTGGATTACTTTTTGGTGTCGAAGCAAATTCGAGTTACTTCCAAATTTCTTCTCACATTTGTCACATTTGAAATCTCTACGACCTTCATGTACTGTCGTTTGGTGGTGAAGCAAATGTGATGTTTGTCCAAATTTCTTCTCGCACTTGTCACATGCATAATCTTTGCGACCGTCGTGAACTGTTCTTTGGTGCTTAAGCAGAGTCGTTTTTTGTCCAAATTTCTTCTCGCACTTGTCACATAAGTACTCTTTCTGACCTTCATGGATTTTCTTTTGGTGGAAGAGCAAACTGGATTTACGTCCAAATTTTTTCTCGCACTTGTGTGCCGCGTAATCTTTGCGACCCTCATGGATTGTCTTTATATGTATGAACAAACTCTGTTTATTTCCAAATCTCTTCGCACACTTTTCACACAAGTAATCTTTGAAAACTTCGTGGAATATTTTTTTGTGCTTTAATAAAGTTGTTTTATTTTCAAATTTCCTCTCGCACTTGTTGCAAGTGAAATTTTCGCGATCTTTGTGTACTAATTTTTTGTGCGTAAATAAACTCGATTGTTTCACAAATTTCTTCTCACATCTTTCGCAATCCAACTCATTTCGGCCTTTGCGTTCTGATATTTGGTGTCTACTCAGATGATTTCGGAACTCAAATTTCTTTTCACAGTTTTCGCATTTGTACTTTTTCTGTTCATTGTGAATTGTGTCTCGGTGAGTTATCATGTTTAGTTCCATATAGTAAATGCCTTCAGATAAATATTATAAACAATGTCTTGTTCACTTAAATTTTTTGTTGAGACAACTTCTTTAATTTTTTCGATTTTAACTTTAACTTTTATCCACTTTGGAGCTAAATCAAACGATTGATCAATTAAGAGACACAGAAATTGAATAAATGAAATTTATCTTTTGGTATAATACGGCTTGTTTCATCTGGAAAGTCAATATTCAAACTAACTTCATTGTACTAGAAGCACAATCAGTGTTCGAGGGACGACGTCAAAATAGTTTATGATTGTATTGTTTACAATCAAGTTACCGGTTTAATGGTTTATACATTGTTCTTACATCGTCTGAAATAATTCAAAATGGTAACTCGATAATAAATGATATTCATTCCAAAATTTGCCGTCCCTGGGCCATGGCGAGATTGGCGTACTCTATAAACTATTGGTAAAGATTGATTTTATAGTTATATGACATTTAGAGCCTAGATAAAACGAAGGAAATGATGTTTGATATTTATATTTTATGATTTGGATGAACCTTACAAAGTAAAAAAAATCGACACAAATTATAAAAACTATCTAAAGTTGATGTATAGATTAATTTTAAATAAAAAAATTGAGATCATCTGTATACAAAAGTGCCGTCACTTATGTATTTGAAGGGTTTCAATATTAGATTATGAAATGATAAAAGGACTGAGAAAAGAATAAAACAATTATGAGAGCTTTTATTGATTTTGAAGAAACTTAGAAAAAATTGTTTGGTTCCAATTTAATTGTAAAATGATTTCCACGTTAGTTTTTTGATTAAGAACTTATTGTCATTAAAGAATTTACGATGAGAAGTAATTAGCAGTTTATGAAATTTGTTTTAATTTAACAATAAAGTGATACTATGTCAGAGAACGAAGATGTAATGATAGTTGATAACAATAAGTTTAAATAAGGCAAAATCACATTGGCATAGTTTTTATTAAAATTTTAGAAAAACATATTTACATATTATAAATATCTATACACGTTTAAAATTGTCAATCATCATTTTTTCTCGCTTTTATTACAGGGAAAATCTTTGCGACTTCCGTGTTCCGTCTTTGAATAGGATAACAAAGGGATGTATTTTTTGTCAAAATTCATGTTCTCATTTGTCATATGCGTAATCTTTCCGATCCTCATGGACTGTTTTTTGATGTCTGAGCATATGGATTTTTTGTCCAAATTTCTTTCCGCACCTGTCACACGTGAATTCTTTGTGACCTTCGTGTACTGTTCTTATGTGTATTAGCAAATGCTGTTTTCGTCCAAATTTTCGTTCGCATTTGTCGCATGCAAAATTCTTGCAATCTTCGTGGACTATCTTCTGGTGCAGAAATATATAACGTATAAGTCCAAATTTTTTTTCGCACTTTTCCCACGCTCATTCTTTTCGACCTTCATGTACTGCCTTTCGATGCTTGGTCAATTCTGTTTGATCCCTAAATTTACTCTCGCACTTGTCACATTCGAAATCATTGCAAAGTTTGTGTAGTGCCTTTTGGTGTCTGATCAAACTCGATATTCGTATAAATTTTTTCTCGCACTTGTCGCATGCGTAATCTTTGCGACCTTCGTGTACAAAATTTTGGTGATTTTTCAAATTTCTTTCATCAACAAATTTTTTCTCGCACTTGTCGCACCCATAATCTCTGCGACCTTCGTGAACTGTCTTTTGGTGTCTGACCAAATGCGATTTACGCCCAAATTTGCTCTCACAATTGTCGCATGCGAAATCTTTGCGACCTTCATGGATTGTTTTTTGGTGTTTTAACAAATTTGATTTTGTTCCAAATTTCTTCTCGCAGTTGTCACATGTGAAATCTTTCCGGCCTTCGTGAACAGTCCTTAAGTGGGCGAGTAAATTACATTTTAATCCAAATTTCTTCTCGCACTTGTCACATACAAAATCTTTACGGTCTTCGTGAACAATCCTTAAGTGGGCGAGTAAATTACATTTTAATTCAAATTTCTTCTCGCACTTGTCACATACGAAATCTTTACGGCCTTCGTGTATTGTCGTTTGGTGCTTTAACAAATCTGATTTTTTTCTAAATTTCTTCTCGCACTCGTTACCTGCAAAATCTTTGCGACCCTCATGGATTGTCTTTATATGTATGATCAAACTTTTTTTATTTCCAAATCTCTTCGCGCACTTTTCACATAAGTAATCTTTCAAAACATCGTGGAATATTTTTTGGTGCTTGAGTAATGCTGATTTATTTTCAAATTTTTTCTCGCACTTGTTGCGAGTGAAATCTTCGCAATCTTTGTGTACTAATTTTTGGTGTGCCATCAAACTAGATTTTTTTAAAAATGTCATTTCACAATTGTCGCATTTAAAATCTTTGCGACCTTCGTGTACAAGTTTTTGGTGCCTCAACAAATCTGATTTACTTCTAAATTCCTTCTCGCATTTGTCGCATGCGAAATCTTTGCGATGCTCATGGTCTGTCGTCAATTTCTTTTCAGACTTGTCCCGTACGTAATCATTGTGATCCCGATGGACTGTTTTTATGTGCAAAAGTAAACTCTGTTTATTTCCGAATCTCTTCGCGCACTTTTCACACAAGTAATCTTTGAAGACTTCGTGGAATATTTTTTTATGCTTGAATAAAGTTGATTTATTTTCAAACTTTTTCTCGCACTTGTTGCACGTGAAATCCTTGCAATCTTTGTGCATCAATTTTTGGTGCGTAAACAAACTCGATTTTTTCACAAATTTCTTCTCGCATCTGTCGCATTCAAAATCTTTGCGGCTTTTGTGTTCTGATATTTGGTGTCTACTCAAATGACTTCGAAACTCAAATTTCTCTTCACACTTGTCGCATGCGAAATCTGTTTTTATATTGTGAATCGTGTCTCGGTGTATTATCATGCTTGATTCATTTGCAGTTAGTGCCAGCTTCTGAGAAATGTCGAAAAAGTATTGTTTGTCGTCTGAAAAAACAATGTCGTGATTACTTAAATTCTTTTCCGAGACAACTTCTTTGGTTTTTTCTTCAATTTTATTCATTTTGGTGCCTAAATCAAACGATTGATCAATCTATTAAGTGTCACGGAATTTGAATGAGTGAAATTTTGCTTTGGTAATTATAGCTTGTTTCATCAAGAAAGACAATATTCAAACTAATTTATTTGTACTATGAGCATGATCAGTGTGTCAAGGGACGACGTTAAAATAGTTTATGACTGTAGGTATTGTTTACAATCAAGTTACCGATTTATCTGTTCATACATTGTTCTTACAACATTTGAAACAATTTAAATTTTTAATTCGCCAACGATTCTTTCGAGAAATTGTTGGGCCTTTTAAAGCCAATTACTTCCGAAAAAACTTCCGACGGACAACATCGAGCTAACACAAAAAACATCCAGTTAACAGATCCACGTGTACACATATATATGTTAAAACATTTTGGTATTGATTTCATTATTATTTGCTACCCCACGCCAGTAACTAGTGCCCAAAAAGCGTTTTTGGGCCTGAGTGTCGGCCATGCACGGCACGCTTTTTGCGCACTAAAAAATGTGCGAAAAAAGACATTTTTCGTCATACTATTGCATAATAGTTATTTTTGTCATACTATTGCATAAAGTAATTTGCGTACTCTGTAACTCGCTACTGGTCAAAATTAATTTTATAGTTATTTTAGAGGCAAGATAAAACGAAAGAAATGATGTTTGATATTTATATTTTATGATTTTGATGAACCTTACAAAGTATAAAACATCGATACAAATTATAAAAAACTATCTAAAATTGATGTATAGATTAAAAGTAAAATAAAAAAATTGAGATCATCTGTGTACAATTGTAAATATTTTTTTCAAGATATAAGTTGCTTAACAGAATTAATTATGAGTTACATTACAAATGAGCTACTCAGAACGGTGAGTAAATATATGAATATTCTAAATTTATGACGAATTTTTATCTACAACTTAAAATTTAGATCGTTTACTCGCTACACGTGTGTTATATAGTCATGGTACTTGATTGTAGTGTCAAAATTCGTATTTGTTTTTTTAAAATGAATAATGTATAATACAATTAAGATCTTTATAATTAAAACGATACATCATGATAATAGATACTCCGCGCGATTATACCAGTTTGAGTATAAAAATAGATCAGTCAAATATGGTACATTAAAAAAATTTTGGCTTTCAATACAACGACTTGAAATATTTATAGCTCCAAGTTCACTCATGATACACGATTATTTTAGCACCGATCACAACTCTACCCCTTAAAATTAATTAAAATTAAAAATTAAATGACTGATTGGGAAATCACTGCAATATGACGCCGACTCCCACTCCGCCTTCGTGCGCGTACATGGACGAGGCGAAGGTCCATGCGTTCGTGACGGGATCGTAGACTTCGACCGTCGACAAATTCGTGAATCCATCATATCCTCCGATGGCCCACAGTTTACCCATATTGGCAACGAGGGCCGCTCGACTTCTCGTGACTTTCATCGGTGCCACGTACTCCCATCTAAATCAAGATACGTTCAAAGAATGCCGACAATGATACATCATTTCAAGAAAAGAAAAATAAACAAACGTCAGAACGTACGTGTCGGTTCTTGCATCGTATGCCTCGACCGTTGACAAGAACTTCGAGCCGTCGTATCCTCCGCAGACGTAGAGCTTTCCGTTGAGGGTCGCGACACCCAGACGGCATCGTCGCGTCAGCATGGGCTTGACCAGGGTCCACGTGTCGTTGCGCGGATCGTATCGCTCGACCGAGTCGTAAATCGAGAGGCCGTCGTGTCCTCCCAGAGCGTAGATGTATCCTTGAAAAGCCACGACTCCGCCAGCGGAGCGATGCCTGTTCATCGAAGCCACCATGTCCCATCTGTCGGTCTCCGGGCAATACCTCTCGACGGTTTTCATGGACGTCACGCCGTCGTAGCCTCCGCAAATGTAGATGTAATCGTTCAAGGATGCCGTACCGACGGCGCTAAAAATCAAAATTGAAATTCATTGCTAATTTGCCGCGCACAAGTTTGAATCCGAGAATGAAAGTCGATCGTACCTTCGTTTGCAGTGCATAGAAGAGACGATTTTCCAGTTTTTCATTGCCGGATCGTAGACCTCGACGGTTCGCAGCCTCTCGGAGCCGTTGTAGCCGCCGAAGGCGTATACCTTGTTTTTATGCACAGACACTCCCACGCGACTTCTCAGCGTCGTCATCGGCTCGGAGATTTCCCACTTTTCTGAAAAACAAGAGAGATCGGTAAGTATTTGTCGCTCGTCTGTCGTCGTCGTCGTCGCGACTTACTTACCGGTAAAGGGATCGTAGACCTCGACCGTACTCAACGAGTCGCCGAACTTTGTTAGACCACCAACTGCAAAAATGTATCCCTTTGTGTAATTACAGCGCGGTCGGATTCTAAATTTTTCAATGAGGTCTCGTCTGTTAGGTATTAGGTGATAATCTTTAGCTTCGTCCAACAAGTCTCTATAAAAACAACGAAATCATAAGGTTAAAGAAGTGCGGTGCAGGGAAAGACCACGGGGTAAAAAAACGAAAAAAAAACTAGCTCGAAAAAAAGGGAGGACCGAATAACAGGTAGGTCGTTCAGTTGTGATAGTATATTGTAAATTACCTGCACTCATGCGAGGTGCGTACGAGCTCCTCCTTGGCCACGGTGTCGACGAGGTACTCGGGCGGCAGCAGAGGCAGCCTTACCAGCGACATGAGCTCGGCCAGAAGGTCGCTGCGATGCTCACAGTCGTGCTTGATCCAGCGGGTCACGGCCTCGAACACTTCCTTCTCGGAGCTGACGTTGAGCTCGTCGCAGGTGACGAGATCGCGCAGCTCCTCGAAGCCGAGGCCGAGAAACTCGTCGGAACGCGAGACGTCCTCGAAGTAACGCTGTATGTACTTGGTCGACTGGTCGAGGAGGGGCGGGCAGCTCAGCATGTCGGCGAAGTTGCGTATGCCGATGACGTTGTTCGGATTGATGCGCAAGTGCAGAAAGTCGGCGCAGGCCGTCTTGACGTTGGGCAGACCGAGGAACGCGGCGCCCACCATGATGCTCTGCACGTTGCTGTTGTTCAGGACGATGTGGCCCGTGTAGGCGTAATTTATGAACGACTCCAGAGCTCTGTCGGAGTCGAGAAAATCAATTAATTTCCAAGCGTTTGCTCTATTTCTCATTCAACGAGGCTTTGTGGTACTCACATTGAATCGAAGCCTTGCAGCGTGATGCATTTCTGTTTGCTTTCGGCCATGTCGTTGAGAAACATGCCGTGGAAGTAGGGTATGGTGGCCGCCAGCACCAGCCTGTGAGCGCTGAAGCTCTGATCGTCGACCTGTCAAAACAAAACAATGAGTGTAATCGAAGTTTTTTTTTTCATTGCATTGCGAGACTTAATTAAAATACATAATATCGACTTCTGCGGTGACCGCTTGACAGATGTAATCAATCAACGAGTCATGCAAGCCCCTGACATTTTCGGTATTATGACAACACCGTTTGAAAGGAAATCGATTAACGCTCGGGCGCATCTGTATACCGATGCATATAGAAAAGTAAAAATCTCTTCATTGTTTTTCATGTTAAAAGAGGCAGGCGATAATGGTTTCGCGTCGCAGAAAATAAAACTCGACGGATAATCCGAAATACACGTTCCCGCTCTTATTAGACAGTGGTTTATGATGAAAGTGAAGAGAGAGAGAGAGAGAGAGAGACCGGATGAACTTTTGAAGAAGTCGAAGGAGAGAGGGGGGCCGAAGAAAGACTTTGCTGTGTGTTGCTCCTCGTTGTCGATTTCTAAATATAACATACACACGTGTGCTTGCGATTTACTTTGTGTTTAATAAACATGGCAGCTGGCCAAACGCCTTTAATCAGGAGGATAACTAAACTCTCTTGGCTAAATAACGCCGGATAGCTATATGTAGTCGAGTACGAAAATTTTTTTTGCCAACACTTTCTTTTTCGTTGTTAAGTATGCAAGACGAGAATAGTCCATCAAAATCGAAAACATTTATTGTTGATTAATTATTCATCCAATACAATATTATAATTTTCTAGCAGTACTTATGAGTATTGAACAAAAGTGAAAATGATCAATTATTCAGACTAGTTGCAGCGCTTTACATGGGCTACCGAACGAGTTTGGAAAGTATGCTTATACTAGAACTTTAATGAGTGCATCGTAGAATGTAAACAAAACGGAGCAGTGTGTCTGCTAATTGCTCTGTAATTTTTCTGTTCTACGGTAACGACAGAATTATTTTCTTATCCGGATTTTATTTAGCTCGTTAGGGACTTGAACGAGAACTCGATGAAATTCAAAGAAATCTGATCTCCTGAAAGAATTCTCAGAAGATTTATTTTAATATGCCAACTAGGCCAAGAGCTGTCATTCTTTTCGACGTCGAAAAACGGAGCGACACACAATCGAGAAGGCAGTGTTGAGAATGTAAAAGTAAAAAAAAGGTAGAAGAAATGACTCTTCGCCCTTGAACAAAAGGGTAAGCCGCGCGAAGTGGAAAATCGATAAATACACGCAAGTTTCGAGGTTATGAGTCGCGTTAAAGGGATGGAAGTAAAAGTCGTCGCGCTGCATGCGAAGTACAGTAATTATAATGCACCAGACGTACCTTGAGAGTGACATCGCAGAGCTTGCCTAGTCTGCGTATCGACTCGAAAGTCGGAAAGCTCTCCGGGTAGTGCTCCGGATTCTTATAGATGACGGGCTTTTCGTAGTTGATATAATCGATGCTTGGGTCTGGCGGTGGTAAATTTTTCACGATCGAGGCGAAGCGCAGCAGACCTAGTAGATCCGACTCTTTGTCGACGGGTGGTGGCTTTTTTTTGTCATTGCTGCTGCCGCTGTCAGTCCCAGGAGCTTCCATCTTGCTACTGTTGTGCTGGCTGTCACTGTCGTTATTGTCGTTGTGCTGAGACTGCTGGAACGACGACTGCGACATTGTTGCTACGTTCGAGCGCTGCTGCCGGCCGTGGTGGTGGTGCTGCTGCTGCGATGCTGCGCCAGCTGATCCAGCTGTACTGCTGCTGTAAATATTATTGTGGTAGCGCGTCTGCTGCTGCTGCTGCTGCTGCTGTTGCTGTTGCTGCGGTCGTGCAGGCGACGAGTACAACTGCGAGTGCGCCGCGAATCTACGCGACTGTGCGAGCTGTTGTTGTTGATTGTAATAGAAGCTCTGGCGCTGCTGGATCGAAGGAGCTGCTGATTTGCGCTGAGTATTGTACTGCTCGAAGAGCCGTCGATTTTCCATGACGGTCCTTTGTGGCAGGCCTCGACAATGATTTTAAAGACCTAAGTCATATGTATTATTTTAATTCGAAGAACTTTTTTCATTTACGCTAAATTTTAAAGAGTTAACGATTCGTTGTTTCTTTTTAATAATGATTCACGGCCATTTGGAGGCTCGAGCTTGTACACACGATAAAAATCTGTAATATTTATTATTTATTATTTGATTATCACTTCGATCGACCTACTCACTCGTGACGCGACGATGACAATTTATCTTTCTTTATACTAATCGGCATGTGTGGATATCCGATTTTTCGAATTTTACTCGACTCGAGTCAGGAAAGTCCAAGCACTTATATACGCATGCATTTGTTTGTGTAATTTCAATTGCGCTACATTATTTTCTTTAATAATTATACTTTTTATACTAATGTCGATTATTTTGATCTCAATTAAGTGCTATGGTAAGGATTATAAAATTAGAGATGTGTACTTTAAAATATTGTGTGCTTATCCAGTGAAAAATCGAAATTTATTTTTTAAACTTTATTTACTACAATGGCATAAAAAATTTATAAAATTCTCCACTACTAGACATATAAAAATACTGCAAACACGTTTATCGCTACCAGGCGCTTCCTCATCTCTTTGATGGTCATTTCACGGTACGCAAACGGTAGTTGATGGAGTGGCAGCTCTGTCAAAGAATTCAGTGCCCAGAGCTGCAAAAATCTTCTCGATAATTTCCGGCATCGATACATAATACAAGAATCAGCTTGATTTATGGGAATAGTCCATTTGTCTGAGCATCCAAACTGAAATTTGTTTGAGCATGCAAACTTGTACAAATCCATGTACGTGACTACTTTTACCGTCTCGTTGGGCAGTAACTCGATCAAACTCTGGTTATTCAACGACTCTCTTATTCTACTGAGTCTCAATTGCTGTAAGCTCTTGAATCACCACCCCTAGCCCATATTAATGATAGTTGATAGCAATGAGTTTAAATAAGACAAAATCACGTTGACATAATTTTTATTATAATTTTAGAAAAACATATTTACATATTATAAATATCAATACATATTTACAATTTTCAATCATCATTTGTTCTCGCTTTTATCACAAGGAAAATCTTTGAGCCTTCATAGACTGTTTTTTGTTGTTTGAACAATTGCTGGTTTTGTCCAAATTTTTTATCTATTTATTGCATGCAAAATCTTTGCGACTTCCGTGTTCCGTCTTTAAATGGGATAACAAGGGGATGTTTGTATTTTTCATCCAAATTCATGCTCTCATTTGTCATATACATAATCTTTCCGACCTTCATGGACTGTCTTTTGGTGTCGGAGCATATAAATTTTTAGTCCAAATTTCTTCTCGCATTCATGGCATGAATAATCTAGGCGACCCTCGTGGACTGTCCTTTGATGGATAAGCAAATCTGATTTTCGTCCAAATTTCTTGTCGCACTTGTCACATGCGTAATCTTTCCGGCCTTCGTGAACCGTCCTTAAGTGGGCGAGCAAAATCCATTTATATCCAAATTTTTTCTCGCACTTGTCACATACGAAATCTTTACGACCTTCATGGACTGCGCTTTGATGTCTGATCAAAGTACTTAGTTGTCCGAATTGCTTCTCGCACTTGTCACATGCAAAATCTTTGCGGCCTTCGTGTACTGTCATTTGGTGATTTAACAAATGTGATTTTTTTCTAAATTTCTTCTCACAATTGTCGCATGCGAAATCTCTGCGACCTTCATGGATTGTTTTTTGGTGTTTTAACAAATTTGATTTTGTTCCAAATTTCTTCTCGCACTTATCACATGCGAAATCGTTGCGACCTTCATGAACTGTTTTTATGTGTATTAGCAAATGCGGTTTTTGTCCAAATTTTTTCTTGCAATTGTCGCATGCGTAATCTTTGCGACTTTCATGGACTGATTTTTGGTGTCTAGTCAAATTACTTTTTATTCCAAATTTCTGCTCGCACTTGTCGCATGTATAATCTTTAAGACTTTTATGAACTGTCCTTTGGTGAATGAACAGATACGTTTTTTGTCCAAATTTACTTTTGCACTTGTCGCATGCAAAATCTTTGCGACCTTCATGAATTGATTTTTGGTGTAAAAACAAATGTGATTTTTGTCCGAATTTTTTCTCGCACGTGGTGCATACGTAATCTTTGCGACCTTCATGGACTGTGTTTTGATGTCTGATCAAAGTACTTAGTTGTCCAAATTTCTTCTCACAATTTTCGCATGTGTAATCTTTACGACGTTCATGTTCATTTTTTTGGCGCTTGGTCAAATCTGTTTGATCCCTAAATTTACTCTTGGACTTGTCAGATGCGAAATCTTTCCGGTCTTTGTGGTCCGTTTTTAGGTGGATGAGTAAATGCGATTTTTTTCTAAACTTCTCCCCGCAGTTGTTGCAAGTGAAATCTTTAGGACCTTCATGAACTGTCTTTATATGTATGATCAAACTTCGTTTATTCCCGAATCTCTTCGCGCACATTTCACATAAGTAATCTTTAAAAACTTCGTGGAATATTTTTTGGTGTTTAAGTAAAGCTGATTTATTTTCAAATTTTCTCTCGCACTTGTTGCAAGTGAAATTTTCGCTATCTTTGTGTACTAATTTTTGGTGTGCCAACAAACTAGATTTTTTTACAAATGTCATTTCACAATTGTCGCATGCAAAATTTTTGCAGCTTTTGTGTTCTGATATTTGGTGTCTATTCAAATGACTACGGAACTCAAATTTTTTTTTGCACTTGTCACATGCATAATCTTTTCGTTCATTGTGAATTGTATCTCGGTGTGTCATCATGTTTGACTCTATTGTAAAGGCCTCCTGACTATCACAAACATATTGTTTGTCACCTGAAACTAAAATGTTGCTTCCACTCAAATTTTTTGTTGAAACAACTTCTTCAATTTTTTCCTCACTTTTATCCATTGTATATTAAATTGAACGATGGAACGTTTAATTTAGTTCTCGTACTATGGCTTATTTCATCAAGAAAGACAAGTTTCACACTAATTTGTTTTGACTATAAACTTGATCAGTATTCAGCGGACGATCTCAAAATTGTTTATGATAATAATGTTTACAATTAAGTTATTTATTCATCTGTTTGTACGCTGTCCTTACAACACTAGAAACAATTTAAAATTTTAACTTGGCAACGACTCTTTCGAGGAAATTTTGGACCTTCTAAAGTAAAATATTTTCGAAGTAGTTAAATTAGGTAATGATTAACGTAGATGAACGGTGATAGCATATCCAGCAATTTTTAAAATAACCCTATTCGGCTAGATTTACGCTACTTTCTAATCGTTATTAACTGTTAAATGTATCGTTTTACCGAACAACCCAGACGAATTCGGAGAAAAAGTGTCGAGTTCACGATCTTAGCTCAATAAGGGTTGCATTGACACGAGTTCACGATTGACAACCGTTGATTATGTTAGGCCTCGCGAGGCCAAGTTTCAAAAGTCGAAAACTGTCGAGTGATCGTGAAAAAAGTTTGATACCCGCAAATTCGAGTATACGACTCACACTCGAAAAAGCGCAAACCTTTATTCCTTAGTAACCGACCATCGAAAATTAAAACTCTCATAAATATACAAATTTGTCACAAAAACAAATATGCATGGCTTTAGATTTAATAATACAAAAATACCGAGTAATTAATCCCACTCGCGCGACTTGTTCACGAAAGAAATGTGAGAAAGGCAACTATACACACGCACATGTTGGATTTGTATTATGAAGTAAGTCGATCGATCCAGGGCCAGAAACGCATTATAATATATAGTATATATCGCGACGAAGAACTGGATTGATCACTCGTAATGCAGTTAATAGCTCGATACACATTACCGGCTCACAATCGTTTTACCTTTTTAAATGCACTTCTTATCGATTTACGTTACGCATACGTACGCGTCCTATAAATATATTTTATTATCGCGTATCAACGATCGTTTTCACGCGGCAATTATTGCAACTGCAGAATAATTATATTATGCGTTCAATTTTTATTTAGATAGACTTACGAAATTCGAAAACTTAATTAACAGTACCTCGATGCGCAACCCTCGCTTGCTCTTGAACACGACGACCAACGAACAGGATCGGTATTACTTCGCGACTGATCGCCAGAGAGACACGTCCAAATCTCTTTCTACATCTTTGTCGGTGTTGTTATTGCAAGGGAGGCTAACGAACTTGCCTCTTTCAAAGTTGAGTTCCTCTAATACTCGGCCGAGAAGCTTTTCATGTACTCTTTGTCTCGAGTTGCACGAAGTTCGCTTGGCACATGTGCGGGCGAGACGCGCAGCACCGAGCGTGTGGCAAGTTATAAACGCGCGTGCACAAACACGCCAAAAGCTAAACTTGGCGCACTTTTCCTCGTGTGCATTTTCTTCGCCTTTTTTTCTCTCCTGCACTACACGCTGCGTATCGACTACATACTCGCATGCAACGCACAAAGATATTCCGCAAGCGCGAAGCTATGGAGCGCCTTTTGAGAAATACTCGGATTACTTCTTTTTTTGGTATAAATAGCTCGCGTGTACGCGAGAACGCGTTTACTGCGCACTAATTTTTCGTAAGCGATCGACAAACCAGTCGTCGCGGCAGAGAAGATCGGTCATCCATGTTTTCGTCAAACGCATGGACTTGTCGAAATAAAATCGAGATCGCGACATATCTCGATCGTTGTTGCAACGACGATCGCAGTTATTTCGCGCGCGAAAATTACGCGCTCGACACCCAGGTGAGAGGCTGCTACTGCTGCTGCTGCACGAGGAACAAAAAGTAAAAACAACACCTTGTTCCGGCCGACCTTTCGGTGCAAATTGGTCCAGATGAATGCCGCGGACTAAATCACTTTCCAAAATATCTTACGTAAAGGTTGACCGAGACTTCGTTTGATTCTCGGCTCTCCGATTACATGTTTGTGAGTAATTGGAGTAGTCTGCAACTACGCGATTTATGACTCAAAATACATACACGCAGGATAAAAGATTTAATCTAATCGCGATTCTATTTTTCTTGTAAAATTAAACTTGTAACTTATAAATGAATAATTTCAAATAACGCGGGAGACGCCCAATGATGTTTTGTGAAAAAAAATGAGAGTTACGTGCTTCAAACGTTAACGCAAACGAAATATTTGCACGCCAGCTCTTAAATTATTCAAACGGCTCGTTTGCGCAATGAAATTAGAAAACGTGTACGCACCTCTGAACGCAAGATCGTATTTATGAACGATCGGTAATTCTTGATGCTTCGATCGTTACTCTCGAGCAAATGCCATGCACAGAACTACAATGATTTTTAATTCAAAGTTTTCATTTTATATAAATAAAGTAAATATCGATGTACACAATCGACTCTTTGTATATTATTATCGTTATTATTGTTTTATACGATTTGAACGCGTTGCGGCTATAATGCAGCATCGACGACGGCGCACTTTAAACTGCAAGTGGTTCGCGTGTGCGCGCAATATTATGCGCGCTGCTGTTTTCTCGGTATGCACGAGTGCGCCTCGTCGTCGTCGTCGCTATAGTAAACGCCTGGAAGAGAGATTTCGAAACCGCACGTGTTTCTAGCTGCGTGTGCATGAAAGTGCATCGTGAGATGTGTGCACAATATATATATATCAATATAATAGAATGGAGTGACTAAATATAATGACATTGAGTATTGAAAAGAATTGAATTCGTTGTAATTGTCGCGTGATCGACGCTATTTTGTTCGGATGATTCCTGCTGTTTATAGTGTTTTTAGCGCGTATATAGATGTAACTAACGCAATTAGCATGATTATAAAATTTAAATCGAAAATGGTAAACACAGTAAACGGACGGAAATAAATTATGGATATATTTGGTTTTATTAAAAAAAAATAAATTGAGTCACGCTATAAAATATTATATCGATATCACATATTTACAATAAAAGTTCGGCACACTGATGATTATTTTCAAAAAAATAAAAGCGTCAATATTCTACCATTGGGGAGGCGTTAGGGGTAATGGGGGAGGGGGAGGGGGAGGTGGTTGGTTGTCCTCAGCACAAACTTCTATCAAATCCAGCATCAATGGATAGAGCTGGTCCCTGTACGCGGGCGTCGTCATTATCTCGCTGCGATTGTCCACGACGAATCTCAGTACCGATTTTTTCAAGCGAGGCGCGTTGTTCTGCTGGGCCACATCCAGGAATCGCGCGAAATTCTCGAGCGTCAGTCTCGCCGCCAGCGAGTCCTCGCATCTGGCTTTGAGGGCCTCGAGGCCGTACCTGTCGGCCGCCACCAGCAGTGGCTCGTCCAATTCCGTCCCGTCCAGTCGAATCTCGCCCGTGTAGACGTAGCGCAGCAGCTCGACGAGGCACTCGTGCTCCAGGTCGTCCATGTCGATGCAGCCCTCCACGCAGCGGGCGTTCTCCGGCTCGAACAGGCCGGCCAGGGCCTGCGAGGCGCCGCTCAGCACGGCCTTGTGGGCCGCCACCCTCTCGCCGGACTTGCTCTTGATCTTCACGTCGCTGAATCGCTCGTTCAGAAGCAGAGCCCCGAAGTCCATGCGGCGCTCGAACCTCTCCGCGTCGCTGCAGTCGTCGTCGTCGTTGGTCTCGGGGACGACGGGCGGCAGAGAGACGGTCGTGTGCTCCGCCCGGCCGGACGACAGGATTATCTCGCAGCGCACCGTGACCGACCTGTCGGGCATGAGGATCTGGTTGATCGAGCTGATGGGAACGAAGCGCGGATAGCCGCACTGGATCTGTCTGGCGGCCAATCTGTCGTAGGCCACCTGCTCCCAGAAGTAGTTCGTGTTCACGCCCACGAACGAGAAGGCGAACTGGCACTTCAACTTCTGGGGACACTGCTCGTCGCGGCAGTCGCGGCACAGGTAGAGCGAGATCCAGGTCTGCTCGCCCTTCGAGTCGCAGAAGCCGAGCCTCAGATGGAATTGCTGGCAGTCGTCGTCGGTCATGCCGAAGCGATCCGACTCGACCAGCTCCCGGTCGTCCATGAACAGCGAGGGAAAATCCTCGATCTTCCACAAGTATTCGCACTTCTGCCTGCTGATTTTCGTGACGCTCTTATATCTTCTCGTGGTCGACTCGGCCATGATTTACCACTTGTTAGCGCCGTTAGACGCTCGCGTTTGACTGTCAACCGTCGACTATGTTAGTTCTGATATTGAGAATCGTAGTACGAGTCGCGATTCTCTCCTGTTCGACGTTTGTTTATATTGGGTGTCACTCAAAACAACGATTTCGGAATTCGACAAAATTGATGTTGAATTAAGTAAGTTTGACTTTGACAAAACTACGTTAATCAACTTATAGAACTTTTTTGAATTAAAAAATACATGAGAATCGTAAAAAATTAAATGTATTATTGCTTATAAATTTTTTGAATCCTGAAATACTGACAGATCACTATTGTAGGCTTATAAATACAACATCAGACCGCAAGATGGTAGTTTCGTATACCCAAAAGTCAAAAACAACTGCGCGGCTATACAATTCACCATAAAACGAATCAACGTAACATTGTTGGATATTGTTTTTTTGGTTTTCTTCTTTTCCCAATAAATTTGTATGAAATCGGAAAATTTCGATTTCTCTCTGATGTAGCGAGGTACCACTCGCTTACGCGCTTATCTGAAAGTTTTTTTTTTCAATGTATCGAGTAGAGCTGTAAAATGTAGGAGGCGTCAATACTCGAAATAGATTACGCGGTTATCGTTTCGCGCGCGTACTTTGCAATTCGTGCACGCAGCTGAAATGTATGAGACGCGTTCGAAGCCGAAGCATCGGGACCGCGTCTGAAATTTTCAACTTTTTTCTTCGATATCGATTGCCGATTTTGATCATGCGGCGACTACCGATGCTAATAGTGAGTTTTGTCGTGTGCGCCTCGGTCGTAGCCGAAGATTCGTCCGAGAAAACGTGCAACATCCTGTCGGACAAGTGGCCGAGTCTGCAGCTGAAACGCCACCTCTTCTGCGAGTACGACAAAGCCGTCAGACCCGTGGCCAACAAATCCGCTAGCATAAGCATCCAAGTCGAGCTCCGTCCCAAATTTATGGAATTCGTAAGTTCGATCCCGATCGACTTTTGCTTTTTTCTGCACCTATATATAAAGCGTCACGATATTAGTCAAACGCGATCTCGTGTGATTACAGTACAGCAGTAAAAGTCAATTTATCCTTCACACTTGGGTCGAGCTCGTAAGTTTTCTTTTCGTTCGATTATTTCACCGCGAAATACACGTATAATACGCATATTGAAATCGCACTATCAGGTTTGGCGGGACGAGCACCTCAACTGGAATCCCGAAGAATTCGAAGGCGTCGAGTGGATACAATTAAAAAGCGAAGAGCTTTGGCTACCCGATCTCTCCCTCTACAACTCGTGAGTAATTTACGCGAGACACTTTTGTCAATTAGATTTTCTATGATACACGCATTCAACACCCGATAAACGTAGCGCAGAGGAGACCTGAGCGTTCGCCAGACCGGCATACCACCGACCATCTGCACACTGTGGCACATGGGCCAGGTGGAGTGCTCGCCGTCGATCAAGTACACGTCCCAGTGCGAGACCGACTACACGTTCTGGCCTTACGATCTGCAGAACTGCACCATCACCATGGGCTCGTGGATGTACTCCGGCGAGCTCGTCGACTTTGATTTCGGCTACACTCCGGTATATAATATGGTTTCGTCGCGACTCTTCGATCGAAGACTGATGTGTTATATTTTTTGCAACTACAGATCTCGATGAAGGGTTTCGTGGCGAATAAATGGTGGGCAGTGACCAACTACACGACGGCGAGGGAGAGTCCCCAGTTCGGAACGAACAACACCTACCCGCAGTTGTCCGTGTCGTTTCGGCTTCAGAGACACTCGGACGTGTTACGCGCTGTCTACGTAACGCCGCTTATTGGTAATGTGTACTTTGTCGCTGATGCAGCTGTAAAAAAGTTATTTTCCGAAATTTTCAAATTGTGTGTCGCAGTTTTGGCAGCACTGACTTTGGCGCTCTTCTGGTTGGATTCACGATCGACCGAACGACTGATGCTTGCGTCGATTACCTTTATCTGCCACCTGCTGTGCATCTATAGCCTCCATTGGTTGATGCCCTCGAATGGACTTAAATTACCTCATGTGCGTAAGTTATACGATCTTGCCAAGAAATCCTTAATTTAAATTTTTTTCTTACCTCGATCATTCGACTTTCCACAAGTGCTGTTCTATCGAGACTCGATGATAATCACGAGCTTCGCGATCGTCCTCACGACTCTGCTGCGGAAACTGCAATCGACCCGGGGAATCCCCGCGCCGATCTGGATCGAGTCGAGCGTCAGTTTCGTGGCCAACAATCCGGCCGGTCGCTGGCTGCTGCTCGAGGACTGGCCACCCGGAAATTCGAAGGTCATCGGCAGCGACGATCGCGAGCCAATCGATGCAATGCCCATGAAAATCGACAACTGGAGACGATTGGCCCTTATCATCGATTGGCTGGCACTTTTCGCCTCGACGTTTACCTACCTGTTGCTTTTCATCAGCCGGATACCTAAAAGCGAGTACGAGAAATCCTTGACTTCGTTGTGAAATCGTTTTGTTCTTAAATGATTTAATGTTTTTCTTTTTGTACTCATTAAAGATGAAAAAGGGTTATTCATGTAGTTATTTTTATAGCCACTGAAAGTTTAACAAAATAAGCCAATTAAATCTAAACAATTCTAAGCAAGTAGAGTGAATCTTCGATATCTATCGAATGAATTAAAAACAATAGCATTTGCAAACTTGTTAAAATTTTACACCTTATTGAATCATAAATGTACGAGTCAAATTGAAAAATGCACCGATTCGCTGCAGTACACTTTTATGATGCTAAATTCAGCTGCGAATGTAATACTTATACCATGGCGCTTCTGAAAAAATTTATCACCGTAAAAAACACATCTCATCAAAAAAGTTTGGATCGTGAATAAACTGAGATTCTATCTTTATTTTTTCAAATTGAGCGCCGAAAAATACATCAAAAATTATATTCATTCGTTTTTGTGGAACTCAATCGGCTACGAAAACCCCCTCCTCGTCCCTACTCATACTCAGGGGCTTACACAGTGTACAATATTTCAAACTGTCAAATTGAAGTACCTTGAATTGCCATTACGCGGCGCATAATCGCAAAATCTTAAATCCCGCAAACGACTAAGCAAAGTTCAGGCCTCAAGTACGGGCTGAAATTTGTGTAAAGACAACCTAGTTTCTCTTCAATATACGAATAAATCTTTCGCCTTTTACTAAAGATTTCCGTGGAGAGGAACATATTATAGGTCTTATGACCAATTTTTGATTTGGCCGAATGCAAATTCGGCCTCTTGAGTTAATTCAAACATAATTCACATCTCCCTCTTCAGGTTTAGTGGTTAATCAAAACTAACATTTATTCATTAATCACGATCTGACCAGTATACGTGCAGGTACGGCTGAAGTAGTGAAGAATAATGAGTTTGACGTCTGTAGATTAAACAATAAATAATATTTACAAGGCGATGCGATGTATTTTTCTTCACATCTACGGAGTTTTACGAATAAGTTTACATTTCGTAGCGCATTTCATGATGTTTTTTGCACAAGTGCCGGCGATATATGTATAGGAAGTTGTATGAAAGGGGACGGTCGATTGTGTAGCCTTATATGCGCTGCATGCGATCCTCCCGCCACTAAAAGGAGTCTGCACGCAGTGTTGTTGTCTGCGGTCTGCACCGAGCCATTATTCCACACTTGCGATAGGCCCACTTGATGTATTTAAGAATAGTTTACTGTTTATATTCGCGAAATTGTGTGGGTGAGAGATCGCTGAAAAGTTCAACATTAAACAACATGTTTCTGCTTACTGAATCTAACAAGAAAATGCAATTAGCAACGTGACATAAGTGGTCAGTGCATTTAAATGTTAGTATCAATTCATTTAAGAAACTTGTTTACTGTAGAGAAGACTTTTCAAATGTGTTCTTAATTGAATCAATGAATTGTTTGAATCAAACAATTTTTATTGTGTTAAGTATCAAAGGATATATATGATGACTTCAGTGATGGAGTTGTAAAATAAAATGTATTAGACGATTAACCTACAATATTTCTTCAAGTAAAACTCTTTTTGTTTACCTTATATATTCATATTAAAGTCACAGATTAATTTTTAACATTCGCTGTGGTTCTCTAGGAAAAGTCAAGAAACAATGTCTAAATCTGAGAGCAAGTATAAAACTAGGTTCCATCCGTGTCATGGAAACAATATTGTTTTATACGATGATGGCACAGTTGCATACCGTAAGTCCAGTTTTGCAGAATCTTTGGTTTTTAGCGCTGAACCTTTGCAGCTTGGTGAAATGTTCTTACTGGAAATAGAAAAAGTTGAAAGGGGTTGGAGTGGACACATGAGGATAGGTCTTACTCAATTTGATCCCAAAAACATTCATACGTTAGACTCAGAACCAGCTCTTCCAAATATGATGAAAGCAGAGTTTAGCTGGGTATTCGCAATGACTGATAGTAGTATAATTTGGGACAGTTTCTGGGATGGAAGTCATAACCGTTCTGGTAATTACTTGAAATTTCATATTTCATATCAAACAATGATCAATTTATTTGTAAATTGTCTTGCAATTAACAGGTGATTCTTCACAAAGATCTGTAAAAGAAACTAAATTAGTGAAAAAAGGAGAATATGTTCATACTTCTCGTGGTGTTATACCTTACTGTGTCTTAAAACCAAATGTTGATGACATGATAGAAAATCTATTGCCTACAGATCACGGTAGTAGAGTAGGTGTTATTTATGTACCTCAAGCAAATTCTGACTTGGCAGAAATGCACTTCATTATAAATGGAGAAGACCAAGGGGCTTTTGCAACTAATATTCCATACAAAAATGGACCTCTGTACGCTGTAGTTGATGTTTATGGAACTACAAAACAAGTTAGAATCATACAACTGTATAATGGTAAATATTTGAACTTTTTAAATCAAATATTCACTCTGCATATTTACATATGTACTATTTTATTTTTCAGCTTCACAAACTTTACAAAGTGCTTGCAGAGATACCATACTTCAATGTACAAAGATGAATGCTGTTGATTCTCTTCCTCTACCCAAACAATTGAGAAACTATCTGCTTTTCCAAAATGAATGATTTGTTCAAATTATATACTCTTAACACTGAAAATCTCAAGTCTGAAGAGTTAAAATGTGCCTGCGAATTCTATATTTTTAGACATTTGAGTTGTTTCATTACTACTGACATTGCTTTGCAACGTATTGAGTTATCAAATCAAATATTAAAGACTTGGCGATGCATTTTGCTGCATGTAGATAAATTCCTAGGTATATTGAAATATCTCAAAGTCATTAATTAGGTACAAATCAATGCGTACAATTAAAATTAGTTTTAAAAAGATTTATGTATTATAGTTTTAATGTGTTTGTACTATTTCATATTTTTTTACAGTGCACTTTGTGCTCGCTGTATACTCCTTTCACGAAACAAATGTCATAGAGATATTTACTTCATTTTGCAAGATTAAGGATTGTACGTCTCAATGAGCTATAGCAATATATGCGTTGAATTTATACATAATTCTGTATGTAATGTATTATTTGACAGAATTGTAATATTTGGTTTTTAAATAGGCAACGAATTTGGAAAAAAAAATGATTTTTCGATATTCATGAAAAATTTCCCAATTTTTGATTGTTCGCGACATATATTTTATAGCAGTCGAGACGCGCCTTCAATTTATTACCAACGTATAAGCCCTACGCTGCACGGTACCAGGCGGCGACGGCATGTACACGGCGAGCATAACGAGATAAACGAACGCGACAGCCACGAAAGCGATCCAGCTAATCAGCACGGTCAGCAGGCTCCAGGTCGAATCGAGCTCGTTGTCGAGCTTGTTGTTAGCGTCGTCGAGCGCAACGGGAGTCTGAGCCTCGGCCTGCACGAGATCGTAGCGATCGTCGTCGGCCGAATCGGCGAAGAGCGTGATTGCCTTCGGATCGAGAATCGCGAGTAAAAATATTCGACCGGTGCGGCTGCGGATGGCCCCCTTGACCGCCCGATCGAGCCACAGAGGTGTCGTGGCTCTGCAGTGGCCGAGCTTGCGCATCGAGACGGTCAGCGCCAGTGCGAAGGCCACGAGCATCAGCGAGCTCTCGTAGAACTTGACTGTAAATTCGAAACGTCGAGGAGCAGGAATGATTATTAACTTTGTTACAGGACAGAGCTAAACTCACGTAATTTGGGCGAAGTTTCGCCGTTTCGCGGTATGTTGTAGAACAGATCCTGTATGCAGAGCAGGTGGCTGACGAGCGTCAAGCAAGCCATGGCCATGCGCTCGGTCGATCGGCAATCCAGCCACAAGACCGACATCGTCATCACCATGAGAACTGAAAAAACAATTTAGAGCTACCGCTTGCAAGGCCATTCGGGTGCATTACGGATATAGGAACACTCACTGACAGCGGGTGCGAGGTACGCGACGTGAGCTCCGGCACTTCTTCTCTGTATCGTCACCATCAGATAATTCTTGTACTCGTATTCTACATCGTCCGCATTGACCTTTGCCACGGTCATGACGTACTTCATGTTCATGTTCAATACCTCCCACTGGCTGTTCTTTTCCAACTCGTCCCAATTGATCTTGCGACCCTTGAAAAGCACAAACAGTATCGCTCGAGAATCGATCTTGCTACGGTGAATCTCAATTATTGCTCGACGATTATAACGCATATTATACAATACCCGCGAGCCAAGTTCCAACGTGACCTGCGAATCGTAGGCGTAGGAGAAAAATTGAAAGGAGCACTCGTGCCTGTCGTACGGATAATTTGCGTAGTCGGCCTCGCAGTGGGTCGTCAGCGTCAGCGAGGGTATGCACAAGATTCGGCCCTGGTAGCTGAGCTTGCAGCCGGCCTCGGGCATGACGGACCAGTCGCTGCCGTGATCGCCGCTAGTCGATTAAAAAAAAAAATCGAGAGAGAGAAAATTCTTGTTTCTTCTATTCACGATTGTACACGATCGGTAATAATTCAAAAGACTTACGGATTTTCTAGCGTCAAATCGGGAGTCCAGATTTCGCTGGACGAGATTTGTATCACTTTCTCGCCGTCAAAGTCTTTCGGGTCCCACGTGAGATGGGGATCCGTCCAATTCTATATCAATTCGTAATATATTAAATTTTCAATGAAAATAAATGCAGCTTCTTTGCTGAGAGATTATTACCAGTATCATTACGCAGTGAAGGGTGAGCGTATTGGAATAGTCGTCCTATTGAAATTAATCAGGTAAAATAGAAAATACATGCACGAGTGAAGTATGTGTCGCGTGTCGATATATCAACGACTTACGAACTCCAGGATCTTCGGCGAGAGTTGGAAGATTACTTTGGTGACGTTCTTCTGCTGACCCGCCAGCTCCGGCTTGAGATCGGGATCGTAGTCGCAGAACAAGTAGGTCCTGAGCCGCTGCTCGGTCGTTTTGCCCTGCAGCTCCTTGCACATGCTCGCCGTCGGGGCGTCGTGGCAGTCCACGAGCGAGTCCCTCAGACACATCGACGTCGTCGCCACGACGATCAAAACGTACCACCAACGGATCCTTTTTCTGGTCATGACGAGGAAGAATTTTCGATGGTATTGTCGTGCGTCGCTGCGGACTCACGCCGCGCAAGCTGCATGTTAATCGGTTATAATTGGTAAGCGACAACAGCAGCAGGAGCAGCAACACGCCCTGTGAAATTTGATAGTTCGTGGGTCTGCCGAGTTACACGATACGCCTACTGAGATAATGATTTTTCAATAAGTAGCATGCATTGTTAAATTAGCCTCATTGACCTATTCAAGTCGTATCGATTTATAAAATTTTATTTACATTTTACATTTCACTCTGAAAATCGTAGTATTTTTCTTAAGTATAGGATGTCAATCTGTCAAAAACGAACGCCCATCTTAATGGATTGCAGCAGCCTTGAAACTCACAACTACAATTTACATTAAGGGGACCGACCTAAGTTATTTTCCATATATTTATTTGCCAAATTCTTTTCCGTGAATTAATTATTTCCTTGTCTTCGCGTTTAATCGGTTGATCCACCCAAAAATGAAATGACGTTTTTTCTGTAAAACGAGCCAAAATCTAGAGCTTTAATCCCGTGTTTTGCAGAAAAAAACATATCTACACCAGTTGCATGTAGTGAAGACACTTCTCAGATATGTTTGTTCTTTTGCTTCATCGCTGGAAGATGCATTTTCGTATTTTATTTGATGATTTTTCTTTAAAACTGATTATGGCATTCATCAATCTATGGTGTTACCGACTGTAGTAAAAAAACATATTTTATAATTTGTGTCACTTTGTTTTCGTGAGATGCACCGAATTTCAATATTTTAAAATTAGAACAGACCACCGTTATGTATGAACATGTATAAACTCGCATTAACGCTAATGTGTAAAAAAAATTATTGTGCGCGAGGACATGTGATTAAATTTCAATCTTGGATATCAATTTTATAATAAGAAAAGGTAATGTTTCAGATTATGACGAGAGGTGACATCTAATTAAAATGTATCAATTATAATTTTAGGCATTATATACAAGAAATACACTAGTAACACTTCTTAAAGTTCTGTATAATTATAAAGTACATTGAATTAGAGATTGAATAATTTGGTAGAAAAATAACTGCAAGTCATTTGTACGAAAAAAAATTGAAAAAATGATCTTACAAAATATCATTATAATCATAATAATTATTATTACATTTACATCGTTATTATTGTTACTTATAAGATCAAAATTGTCATTTAATTTTGACTCAAGGGACGCGTTTCTAGAGAAAATGTCAAAACATCGAAGTTTAATTGATACCCCCGTACTAATTTTGATTTGTTTACTTTATGATTTTTGGAACGTAATGTGAGCCTACAGTTGATTGAATCGATTTGCAATCCAAGCTAGTTAGAGGCAACATCGTTCAAAGTATTCAGTAGTTTTGTGTAAAATATTTTTAAAATTAAAAGTTTGATAAGTAACATCTTACCAATTTGATACTTGATAAATATGTTTGAGTCATCTGGAACAGTATCATCGTCATCATCGCAAGACGATTATTTCGTTAACCTGGTCGCATCGTTTTATTTTTGGGTAGATCAACCGATTGAATGCAAACACAAGGAAAGAATTTGCAGAAGAGCTGCAATAGCGGCGGCTTGTCACATCGAGGCTAAAAAGGACAGCAAGTGGGAGGACTTCAGTGCGAAGTTAGCGTTTGAAATTTACTCAGCGATTAAAGATGAAGAAATCACAGCAAATCAGCTCCGCAATGTTCAGGTGGATAAATTCGCCTACAACGTGGTCTTCACGGAGCCGCCAAGAAGATTTGATGAGAGCGTGTTCGCAGAGTTCTACGTAGAAATCGAAAGCAGAAGATACCGAATTTGCTACGAACTGTATTTAAGTTTTCACTTCCATCGAAGCGACATCATTGATTTTGATGTACCAGAGAAAAACCTGATACTGACACCCCCTCCTAATTTCTCTTCGATAGTAAGGGAAATGCGCACGACAGTTTTCATCGCGACGCAAGTGATGACTGACATAATGGAGAAAAGATTTCAGTCATTGATAGCCGATCGTGGATATAAAGTTAAAGTAGAGTTATCTGTTTACATAAAATTGAATCTCCCTTATGATTCCCCCATTCACCTGGATGATAAAGACATCGTAGCTCAAAGATTTGCCTTAATCGTTGGAATGTTTTTAGAGTACACGAATCCAATTACTGAAACATTGAAAGATTTAAGCTTGCACAGCGCGTGGAAATTTTTCTTGTTATTAAGATCCTTAAATTATTCAACATGGGTGAATGAGGGGAAACTTGTCGATTTTCATTACGAATCAGACATCACGAACGGAAGATCATTTTCTAGTACAGTCTTCTTGCCCCTGATAAGGAGGGGTTTTTCAATAACGACGAATAACAAAATTTATCCGTTAACATTACAAATGAGCAGCAAGTTCACACCTCTTGCGATCCCAAAAACAGAAGACGTCCTTTTGGCGGAGCAAGAATTGGATGCACCTCCGCAACAATTCCGTGATGTGGTCAACAGAATAAAACATCAAAGTTTCCGTTTTAACTCTCTACGGCCAATAAATGTTAACAAGTTATCCACGGTGGTTCATGGAAAATGCCGTTGTAAGTATAATATTCGCATTCTTTGAAAACTATTACTCAATCTTTAAAGCATGATACTCGAGCCTATGATAATTAATATTAGTAAACGAAAATTCATTGATTGACATTAAATATGAACTGTCGAATTTTAGATGAATTTTGATTTGTGCATTATGTAGATTGATTTTCACGTGCGAAATTATTCTGATAATCTGTTTAAAGATAAACGCAATTGAAAAGCATTTCGAATCATTATAATATGACATTGAATAAAAATAAAAAGTAAATTGAGAGCCAACAAGATAAATAACCCATTTCTTTTTTTTTGTTGTTTTTTTTTTTTTAAGATGCTGTAACAAACTGAAGAGGTCTACAAAGTTTGGTGTACATTTCAATCTAGAATCCGCTCCTTTTTAAACCAAATACTTTTACAAAGGTCTAGACTTGAACTTGTTGAAAATTAGACTTACAACTTCTTATGTGGAAAATGAAAGGTGACTTAAGAATCAATCTCTCCAATATTTGACACTTTTATTACAAGGCAAAAAAAAACCGACCGAAGTAATCTTTTAATTTGTAACCATACATTTGATTAATGTAGTTTTATGTATCAAAAGATATCAAACTATTTTCCATTTTTACTATTCAGACCAATAATCAAGGATCTAGCATTATAAGGTTGAACATGTTTCCTTTGATATTAATGAAATTCATTAAAGCGAATTAAAAAGTATACGAATCCGTTTAATAATTTACACCTTTAAAATAAAGTTGTCCGAAAGAATTATATAACAGCACCAAAAGTCAAATTACTATACTTTTACAATTTTTTTTTGGAATATACCTAAAACACAATTACAATCTAATCCAATGATCGGGAATTTTCGCGCTTCGTAAAAAGTGAAATGTCTCGGCGATCGTATAAATCAATCTCCATCTCCGAGGATCGATTGGCTCAATAACAAATCGGCAACGATATGTATCGCGCATCGCTCTACATTTCCCCACTCGCTCGGTTTTGTATCAATTAATCATAAAATGCAGTGTGTACTCGCGGAACGCGTCGATCGGAAAGGATGCTATACGCTGAGCATGAGTTATAGCGCGCGCAGAGCAGACAGGAAAAAGTATATGCGGCTCGTCCTGTACCGAGGTACACATACCGCTCCATGTTATATACTGGGCCGCTTCGCATATCGAGACTCCACCGCACCGCCTCTGTACCTCACTCTCTTTTCCTTGGATGCACACACACGCGGCGCAGGTTGTTTTACTGCGATCTCGCGCGTACACACGCGGAACCCGCAGTCAGAATCCACCTGACCATCGTGCCGAGCGCAGCGCACTGCAACTCGATGTTCGCGCGCGACTACATTATCGTAGAGTTTATAGTATACGCATGGTACGCATGTTACGCGCGTCTCTCCCTCGCGTCCATCTCTCGCCCTCGCCGGAACGTTGAGAAGTTATTTGTTTTCGGTATCTTGTGTGGCAATTTTTTTGTCAAGTTTATCTCAGTTTGTGACAGATCATTATTTTAGTGCATCGGTGAAATTACATGTGAATTGATAAAAAAAAAAGTTCATCTCAGCAGCAGCCAAAGAGAGCAGGCACAGTCAAGAGACTATTTCCGAACAGGTAAAGACACGAGGACTTAATCTCGTCTTGAGACATTTGATTTCCAGGTTAAAGGAAATTCGCAAAACTGACGGAACTCGAGCGACAGCCGATTTTCAAATCACTCGTGCGAAGATTTATCGTAATATTTTAAGTTGCTCGAGCTGCACTCGGCGGCGATACGATCGATCATATCCCAATAGAAAGCTCAGTCAAGCGCGTGTGTATATAACGATGCGCGATATACACATGCAGGAAACAAATTTCTACGACGATTCGCCGATCCAAGGATGCCAATCTCTAATAAATATGACGCGTGAAATCGCTACCGCGCCGACTATCTTGAGCTGTTAATCCTCGACTCGATAGATAGAAAATTGGATCAAGCGAGTTTCGTAAGACGACGACGACGATCTCGGGCGCGATAAACATATGCACGCAGAGCTAGCTCGATCGAATGGAAAAACGAAAAAGCCGCTGATATATTGGAGCGCGCAGGTGTGCGTTACATTATTAAGTAGATGCTCGGTGATGATCGTTTTGGCGAGCTGCTGCGATCGCGTCGTCGTCGTAAGTAGTACAGCACGAGCTGCACGATCGTTAATAAACACATATTTAAACTTTCCTTCGATCCCGCGCGGCGAAATCATAAAGGCAAAATTTCACTCTCTATCTTACTTCGATGCGCGTGTGCATATAATATATATACATGAAGCTCGCTACTACACACGATATCGGGTATATTAACAATGTCGCGTGCGCGATCTCATTAGAGTTTTTTTTTTGTTCTCCGCCTGAAGCTTCGCGCCTGGCGTATTATATACACGTACGATATACAGGAGCGCGTGGAGCGCGAAGAATTGAACGAAACCGATTTTCACCGATATCTCGAGAAGAAAGAGAGAGAGAGAGTAATTTTTGTTTGGCGCATCTTCTTTAAATACCGCACGGTACGAAGCACAAAAAAACGCGTGTGTGTATAGGCTTGGAGATTTTTTTCAATGAAATTCGCCCGCAGAATTTATTATAATAAATTGGAAAAACTAATCTCACGCTTGACCGAGTATTTTCGTTTGTTCTCACGCCCGCCTGTGTGTAGCTGTGTGGCATGCGCGTCTGGCTACATGATCGGTAAAAGATCTGCAATTCAAATATAATATTTTCGAGCACGTAAAATTACGTATAGTCGGCGGTGCGGAATTGAAGCCGAGGTCGAAATTCAGCCCCGCTAAACGTTTTTCATCGTTTTTACTCTGCGTTTGAACGGTCTTTATGCTGCAAATTGGAACCATAGGCACGGGGCTAAATTGTTTTTCGATTCTTTTTATCTAATTTATGTTGTCGTGATCGATTATTCCTAACGCGAAATTCATCGATGCTGGTCAAGCTGTTTACATTTACGATCTCGAATCTTGTATTATAAAAAACAAATCGTAAAATCACGCTTACTTTGGCCGATCGGTCGGACCAAAAAAGTGAGCCAGGTAAAACGGCGTAAAATTGATTATGATGATAAATTAGGAACGATAAAGGCGATCGCGAGGACAACGGAGATCCTAATGTACAGAATCTTCCTAATTACCCAAAAAAAGACAACCATTACTAAAGCATGAAAAAAAAAATACAAATAAAAACTGGTAACTACGAATAAAATTGGAGCCTCTTCAAGAATCGTTGCGTGCACCCATGCATCGAGACGCTGTAAATGCCGATCGATGCTACTCGAACACGCGTGAAAACATCGAAAGCGGGCATTATAACGCATTAAAAAAAAGAAAAAAAAAGAAGCAAGAAACAACGTTATACGCGATGACCAAGATAGGACGCGAACTCTCTCGCGCGCGAGCTAAAATACAATACTTTGAAATCGCGCGCGATGATTATTTTTAAAGGCCCATAAATAGAGTTAACGGTCGGGTTGTAAAAAAACAACGCAAGGCACATACATATATACTTGGCTCATGCCTTTTCCACACCTCTAAGCTTTTGTATAAAAATGCGAAGGAAAAAAATATTATTACAAAAAGGCGGAAGATTGAAAAAAAAAAATCGCGCAATTCTTACATACAGCTCTGACAATTCGTGGGCGTGTGAGAATGAGCGATCGCATGCGTTTTGAAGCATTAACTCGTATGATATATAAAAATGCATTCGAGGGAAGAAAAATTAAAACTGTTAATACGGGTTCACATGGGCAGAGATCTCGCGTACGGATATGACGTATAGATTCAGGCTGCAGCGCATATAAATAGTAACATATCATGTTCACGCTCGCGCGAGAATTACAAGCTACTGCCACTGCGCATTGCACTGCACTTATTAGTCCTCGCATACTAATTCGCTCGTATACAACTCGAGTCTAGCTCATGCAAAATCATCGCGCTCCGATCATCATCTCATGAATTTTTAATCGTTCGCAAAGGGCACGTTCGTATATATATACAGATGCAGTACTTATTCTTCAATGCTATCTAGATGCGAGAGTGGGATTTGAATTTTTAGTATCATCTTCGCGCGATGTTCGTATAAGCGAGTACTTGCGCATTCGTTTCTTTATTTTTTTCCCCTTTCAAACGTCTCGCCTCGGTAATTCAAAGGTCGCGGGGTAAGTGCGAAGAGAAAAAACATGAAGGTGTCGAGAGCTTTAATAGCCATCAAAAAGTCGCCTACGTCGTGACCTTTAATAAGCTCTCCCTGCTCGAGATCACGCGCCGTTTAATCGGCTACTGCGCATAGCACCGAATTAGCGAATCGCGTCTCGGTCAGGGAGGAAGTCGTTTCCAGCGAACGATCGGCTTAATAGTTTTTCAGAAAACGGCCGATGAAAAATGTACGCGCGCCGCGATCCTAATAAATAAGCCGCGCGCGCGCATACGCAGGGCGTAAAAAGCTGCGAAATAATCATGAAAACGTAACGCACGCGAATGTTGGCTTCTTTTTTTTCCTCTCGTCTGTTCATAGCTCTCCCTCTCTCGTAGGCGCGCAGGCGAAATAAAAGAAAAAAAAAAGGAGAAAAAGGAAAAAGTTGGCTCAGAGAGGAGAAATAAGAAAAGAAGAAGAAAAGCGAGGATACATGTGCACTCGGGGAAGAACGGAATTAATGCCGCGCGCGGCCCCTTCGTTGCTGTACATGCCATATACCGTCATGCGCACGTGGGCACACGATCGCGCGTATTATCCATGTATATGTATCGCGTACTACGCACAGCTAGCTTGTCGATTCCTTGTTCTCGTTGTTTGCGTTGTTGTTGCTATTTTTTTATTTCATCTCTTTCAAATACGAACTAATTTTCATTTCGTACGAATGATCGATCGAATCGAAAGCTCATCTGTCTCTCCTGCGGATCGAAACGATATTCTATATAGGAGTCGCACGAATGCTCCGGAAAATACAACGTGTCCAAGCGTGCTCGTGGACGTGCAGCACAGCTACGCACGTACGTAGGCGTTGCCCACCTCCTCGTTGCATCGTCACGGAGTGGACGAAGCGCGCCCAACTACAAGCATCGTCGGGGTGCATTAGCATTTGCACGATGAGCGTACACACATTGCACAGAGAGTATGTATAATAATAAGCTCGGCGCGCGCGCCACGCTCGTGTGCACCCGATGCCAGGCGCGAGTCTAGCTGGTGTTGTTTTTTTTTTTTTGCTGCTCGATCGTCTCTCGAGCTACCTAACATCGCGCACACGCAATAGATAAATATCTCGTACGGTACAATCGCGTAATATCGTCTTCGAGCGCCACACACGTGTGTGCACACGCCTATATTATATATTACGTAGTATAGCGTACGTATACAGTGTAGTGTACGTAGACGCGCGTATATAAACACTGTCAAATTACTTTTGCACCTCTCGGTTTTTACCGTATTTTTCTACAACGCAGAGAACGAATGGGAAGGAGGAAAAAAAAAAGTAAATAAAAGGCAAGTGCGTTTAATTGTCGAAAATACGTTTAATCGTCGGCAAATGGATAATTATACGTGTAAAAATAAATAAATGTAGGTCGATTACCTGCTGATGCTCATAAGTATATAAATACTATATGGTATGAGATCCTTGCGCATTGATATATACATAAAAATTAAAGCACAAAAACCGTAAGGGCCCATGCT